ATAAAGACTGTCATTGTCATATCATTTTCAAGTGCTTTCACTTTAAACAAAGCTAGTAGGGGCCTACTTGTGCTGAACATGCTTTACATTGACGCCGTGGTATCTTAACTTATGCGCCTAAATTGCTATTTGAGTTAATGGATTAAAATAATACAGCATTAGGGATTCAACGGTAACTTTTGGAACAGCTGTGACCATCACGGACGATGCTGGGTAGGCAAGTGTAGTAGTGTTCAATTAGCCTATTTTATCGAACGTTAACGCCGTATGGCTGGCTGCTATATATTTTGGTCAATGCCTTGACTGGGCGTATATTATAATTCTCGGACAAAGTTCAGTTCTCTTCTCTGATCATTCTCCCCGCCCCACATTTGCGCTCTGCAATTTCAGAGCAACATAATCGGAAGTAAAAGATGCAGTATAGGTCTAGTACACTTGTCGAAAGTCTAGTGTGTATACGTATAGGTGCAAGCGTCGCTGTCTTTAGGCTACTATATAGTATGTTGGGAAAACAAGGGAGGGTAGGGTATATAGTTGCAGTGTTACATTATTAATTTCAGCTTGCATGAGTCAAGTCGAGACTTCACATCGACTAGCCTATATTACATAGCCTATGGGTTGATGTGCAGTCAAGCGGTGCAAGTGTGTCAAAGTCAACGCAATGTGTTATAATTTAAAACTATCACAATATAAGGGCTTTCGTCTGTGATTGTGAGGGTGAGTGCTATATATTGTGATTTTGTCTTTATTGTCAAAGATCCCTCACTTGTCCTCCTCCTCTGTTCCTGACAGTTGTCACCAACGTGACAACCTGTTACATGTAGCCTATTATTAATTTATCACAGTATGGGTGCTGCATGTGCTTTGGTGAGACAAAACAACGTCGTCTGTACCATGTTATAGACCAACGGAACATTAGATCTAGGCTAACAATTATTTATTTAAATTACACCGCTCGTTGGTGTGTGTGTGTGTGTGTGTGTGTGTGTGTGTGTGTGTGTGTGTGTGTGTGTGTGTGTGTGTGTGTGTGCGCGCGCGCGCGCGCGCGTGTGTGTCTTTTGTTTGTCTTTTATAAGGGGGGGGGGGTAAATCTACATTTAGGTGCAGTGTTATAAGTAGCCTAGGTGCATGTGCAGGAGGAGCTGAATGAGGCACCAGAGCTGTGGTTGTTCCGTGAGAGGAACGGTGAAATGACAGAGAGTAGGCAAACAACACTTTGTATCAGTTGGATTTCGCAAAGAAACGGATTCAAGTGGAATAAAGTAAAGTGTGCATAATCAGCATCTTTAAAAATAAATCCGAGTCTGGCCCGTTCAGAATCTATAGTAAATGTTGCATGTCATTGAAAGTAATGATATTGGATTTTCAGGCCCAGTAGCCGCATTTGTGGGCCCTCTCTTGCCTGCTTTTGAGCGGTTTAAAATTGTTCCTGAGTCAACTGACCTCGGAGAAGTGCGTTCAAAGTTCACGGCCCCTGTCCTGTGAATCACCACCAGCCATAGGCGAGGAGTAGAGGGGAGAGAGAGAGAGAGAGACAGACAGACAGACAGACAGACAGACAGACAGATAACTGGGCTTTAGCCTAACCCTGAGTGTTTCCATTCTCAACAGGGAAGATTACATTCTCAAGAGTGAAGGTTGATGTCATAACAGGAAACAGGTCAGTATCGCCCTGGAAAGACATGGACTGGTCTCGCCCTCTCTCCTGGAGAATATAAAGGCCTGTAGAAAACTGTGCGATATCAGTGCAGTGATTGATAACAGGCCGTGGCCTTCTGAATCCTGTGGGTCTGTTCTCCCGCCATATTTTATAGCCTACGTTATTGTAAGTAAATGATAAGTGTATGTGAGTATGAAATCCTCATAGCATGTATGTTGGTAGTCTTTTCACAATATGAACGTGTTAAAAAAACCAGTGTCATTGATAGGGTATCCTTTTCATATGGCTTCGTTTTGAAAACCTTGACATTGCATATCGTATGCAAAAAAATCAGGCAAGAATTAATTAAGACTAGAAATATATATATATATATATGATTTTCGACCACTTTTCACCATAACCACATATATATATATATATATATATATATATATATATATATATATATATATATATATATATATGTATATATATATATATATATATATATGATTTTCGACCACTTTTCACCATAACCACTTTCTTATTCAAAGCTCAAGTTAGCAACATCGATGCATCAAAAGAAGTGGCAGCTGCTGCAATATTCACAACCAAATAATGCTCTTGAATAAAAATGAAAGTATAATTATAATAGTGATGTTTGTTAATTTATTTGATTTCAGACAATTGTATCTGTCTCTTGCCCACAGTGTGGTGTGTATCTCAAAATTACCCCACTTGTGATATCTCTTTTTTGAAAGTTTGTAATCCCCCCTCATCCCTTCATGAATGTTTTTTTTCTTAAAATATGATAGGCCTTTGTGTATTCCTTTATTGGCTTTATGTTTTGCTGTTGAACTTGAACTTTATTTTGTTGCTCCACAGAGCTGACAGAGGTATTTGCTGACCATGAAGTACCGAAGCACTCGTGGGGATGTGAAAGGTGTTTCCTTTAAGGATCTCCTCCTCTCTGGATATGCAAGCGACGGCGGCATGTTGTTGCCTGAGAGTTTTCCTCAAGTGTCCACCGAGTCACTGAGAAGCTGGGCCGGACTCACATACGAGCAACTTGCTTATGAGGTGATCTCTTTATTCATCACTGAGGAGGACATTCCAGCAGATGATCTCAAAGGTAGATCTGAACTCAGGTTTTGATTATCATCATCATCATTGCCTTTCTCACCCTGCACCATGATATGCCATGGACAAAACTTTCCACCTTTCTCTATCATGGGCAGGCCTCTTGATGTTATTCCATGTCTTTCCACTTTCCTGTGTATATTAATTTCTGTGATTCCCTCCCAGAATACAATACTTGTTCCCCCGAGCTGAGCTGCTTCTGTCCAGACTGTATCCAGTGTGTTTTGCTTTTACTCCTAGTATGTGCAGCCTTTATTTCTTCATCTCTTGGACTACTAGAGAACTCTTTCCTACTTCATACAAGGTGCGAACATCCCACAATGCAATCCTGAGAGACTTGTTTGACAGAGAAGGTTTCGGGTGAGGAGAGTCTTTCAGGCTCTGTCCACTGTCCTTCATTGTTCCTGCTGGTGTAGAAGCTCCTACTCCCAAGATCGAAAAATAAAAAGCCGTGTTTGTCCGTGTTTCTGTAATTGACTGTTTTTACTGGGTCGGGTAGTTGACCCTCCGCAAACTGGCATTTTTCGGGCGACCAGACCTATGCACCTTTAGTCGCCTCTTACTACACGCAGTATCATGGCAGGTGTATTCTTTGCTTCCCCATAGTAAAACTATGGGGCCCCCCCACATGCAGAGGTGTCAGGTTTTGAAAGTAATCTTTTATTGTTACCTGGAGATCTCAACCCACCTTTTTTATAATCTTGGAATTGATCCAGTGACCTCAGAGATGCAAGTTTCGCTCTTGACCTCAGGGCCACTGATGTTAGTAATCTTATATTAGCCTATTACAGTAAAATCTTTTTAGACTGTCCCTTATAATACTGCAAATATGACTTACAACAAGTTCAGTAAAATCGTTTCCCTTGACACTGGGCTGTCAGAATTATTTAGCGGAGGCAGAGGACAACATTAGAGCCCCGTTATACTGCCAGCCCCACTATATAATATTAAATATTACCGATTATGAGATATATATATATATAGAGAGAGATTTTTAGTCAGAACACAATCTACTGTTACTATTGTATTTTTGTAAACACTCAGAGCTTGTGATCTTTAATCGGGGTTGAGGGTTATATATATATAAATGTCATATATTATCATTACTAGATCTATAATTATTATGGCCTACTATTATTATTGCTATTATTATTATTGTTATTATTATTACCATTAACTCCATGCTCGTCCCAAGGTTGGCAACAATGTTTGACTGTATTTCTATAATACTAATACCCTCTCACCATTCCTCTGTTATCTTCAGGTGTGCTACAGAGAGCCTTCTCCACGTTCACAGTTCCTGATGTTGTCCCCTTGACTCATCTGGCTGATGGTCTGACAGTTGTGGAGTTGTACCATGGCCGGAGCCTTGCCTTCAAGGACTTAGCCATGAGCTGCATGGGCCAGTTCTACAACTATTTCCTCAGCAAGTCAAAGCAGCACATGAATCTAGTTGTCTGTGAGTACAATTTTAAGGTCATTCTAAGTGGGTAAACTGTAAACCCTTTCACAACGGTATGTTGAATGTGTTTGATACTAAGGAAAGAAAAAAAAATGTGATAGCATAGTGGAAGTATCAAATTTAGCATCTTTTAGGGATTGAAAGTGTGCCAAAGGGGAGAAAAATGAGGCTAAGGCTTGGAGTACTGTTATGGTTTATAGTGTGGTATTTTGTATAAGTTTATCCTGAAGCATTTTACAAGATACACAACCTCCATGTGGTATTTGTTTCAGAATTAAAGCATGCAGAGAACAAGCTCAGAGTTGGGTAAAGACATTTTTTTAATGTCAGTCTTTGTGCATGTATAACATAGATGTACAGTCCATGCTGGCTTTAAGCACGGTCGTCGGGAGAAAGCTTAAAAGTGTGCTTAAAGCCAAAGCGTGCTTGAGTGCAAAGTAGGCATAATCCCGAGGTTTTCATACATGTAGAAAATTTCCCGTGCTATTTCCCTTTGTTTGTAAGTAGGCCTATAGCGGTCACGCAAAAGTGTGCACTGTTATTTAGACACCCGCCATGGTAGTTTTTGTTCCCTTGTTTGTTTTTGTTTTGTGGTCGAATGGGAAATGAAAACTTAATTTAGACGGCCAGTCACCATACAGCACATTAGGTCTACACACTGCCTGTGCGTACCACTGCCCTCTGTGCCACTCATACCACCGCCTTCATCCCACCTCGAGCATGATACACAATCAGGATTAATGGATAGCGAGGGTCAAAGGTGAAATCGCAGTCAGCCTCCCTTTCTCGTCTCCCCGATTCTCTTTGTATTTTTTTTTTGGTCGTGTGTAGCTTTGCCCTAGGCCTAGGCTAGATCCCATGTCCGCGCGCATGGCTGTGTGCATCTGCCTTCCTCTCCGCCCGTGTGAGTGTGTGTGTCCATCACTTGCGTTCTTTGTGTTTCTCTTGACACACTCCACTGCTGCGGTGTAGACTGTGTTCGAACTTCGATGGGTCATCATGAAAATATTGACTGTCTTGTAAATGAAGCGTGCTTGAAGCCGAAGTTACCATGCTTAAAGGCGTGTAATTTATATAGCAAAAATTCGGTAAGAGCCGTTTAGCGTGCTTGAGTCCGAAACGTGCTTTAAGCCGGCGTGCTTAAAGCCGGCATGGACTGTATTTAATTTATTCATTTGTACCTTACCAGCTGGTTGAAGTGAAGAGAAAGAGAGGCTTTCATGTGTCTGCATGTGTGTGTGTGTGTGTGCGGGCGCGAGCAGGCGTGCACATGCGCATGTGTGTGTGTGTGCTTGTGTGTCTGTGTGTGTCTGTATGTGCATGCATGTGTGCATGTTTGTGTACATGGTTGTGTTTGTGTGTACATTGAGTTAATTTGAGAGAAAATTATAGAATGAGTAAGCGAAAGTATGAGAGTAGATGGAGGCCTATGTGAATGTAAGATTTTTATGGGTGGGGAAATATGCATGCACATGATACAGTTTTTAAGAAAGGAAGGAAGAAGAAGACAAACAGGTGGATATGGAAACAAAGAAGGACAGTAAAGTAAAGAAATAGAGACATCTTTTCCTTTGTTTTGTAGTTGTTATTCAGCAGCCTTTGTGCAAGTAGCCCAATGCCATCCATTCGAACCTGATCTAAAGGGCACATAACACTATCATTTGTATAAAAATTCACTTCCCATTTCCTCCCTTGCATATTCTTTAGCTTACAAAAACACAGTATAAAACAGCCCCCTGTCTAAGACGGCCACTATTCTCCTCCACAACGGGTGGCCATCTTAGAGTAGACAGTTTCAATTGTACTTATCTTGTTTTATGAACATTCCTGTGGTACAGGCACCTCGGGAGACACTGGTAGTTCAGCCATTGAGGCAGTGCGAGGCATGAGCCAGGTGGACATTATGGTAATTCTGCCTCGTGATCGCTGCACCGTCATACAGGAGCGACAGATGACCACAGTTTTGGACAGCAATGTTCACGTCTACAGAGGTAGATGCTTTTTTATTTGTTATTCTAGCAGAATGTAAGAAGAAACCCTTCATACTATGAGTGGAGTAGTTGTGTCATAATCGAGTTTGATAAATTTGTATGAATAGATATAAGTGGGAGAACTGTAGAGATGTAGGTTTCATGCAGTTTCCTGGTAAGCAGTGCTAAAGACAACGCAGTAGTCTTTCTTGCATCTGATTTCATATTGCTTATATTTTCTATTTTGTGTTCAAAATAATGGCTTTTAATATTTTCCAGCCATCCCTATGTATAATACAGAATCTTCCAAATTTTAGTTGTGATGCCCATTTGAAGATTTTCTTTTTGTGCAGCAGCACTGTGACTTTGCAGCACAAAATATAATTCTGCTTGGTAAAAGTCAAAGGCAAATATATCAACTCTTGCAAATAAAAGTTCTAGAGAATTGATTTTTTAAATGGTTTTGAATGTGATTTATTTTTAACTGTGGATTTTTTTATACAGGCATCTTCTGTCCGGATACAGAATACAAATCAAAAGGGATGGGTGTAAAATTTGATAGCAAAAATGAGCGTCTATAATTGTGTTCTGTTGTTTCCTTTTCTCTGTTCAGCTGATGGAAGTTCTGATGACATTGACATAGTTGTGAGGAAGCTATTTGCAGACACGTCTTTTGTAAGCACCAATAATCTTGGCTCTCCCAGCTCTCTCAACTTTGCTCGGATCCTGATACAGCTTGTGCACTTCTTTTATACCTATTTGAAAGTGAGTTCCCTTAACAATAAAGTGTTGAAATAATAACCAGCCGTTTTTGTTTCATAATTTACTCTTCAGATAAAAATGTTATGCTTTACAGTATATTTCTGCTTCCAGTACGTTTTACAATTGCTTTCCTGTATGTAAACGTATACAATAGTTTTTCTTCAATAGGGCCTAATGATCACTTTGAGTAAAATTAAAATCAAGGTAAAATTTGTCTCCTATGTCTGTTGCTGTTGTGTAGCCAATTATTGAGTCTTGTTTTGTTTTTTTTGTTCAGTTGTGCACTTTTGTAGACAAGCCAGTAATTGAGTATTATTTTTTTATTTTTTCAGTTGTGCCCTTCAGCAGACAAAGAGGTTGAATTGATCCTCCCGACAGGTGGTGGTGGGAATGTGACAGGTCAGCTCTCACCCTCAATGATACTTGGGAGTATATCCTCTTCAAAACATGCTTAGTTATTTATAGCTTAACCTGTAAAATTTGTAATAAGCCTGAAATTTGGAAGTTTAAAACAAAATTGCAGTTTCTCAATCTGGAGCTCCCCAGTTCGAGGTCATCTGGAATTGGCCCACAGGTGACTTTGCCAGTTTGTATTTTTGTCAACTTTTAAAACGATATAGCTTCCTCCGCTATCCCACATTTCTTCACTGCTTTGCGTTCTCCTTTCCTCCCTTAACTCATTCGCTACGTATTATTTTCGGCTTGTGGACGAATTCTTTTCGGGAGGGCGAAATGAGATGATGACTAGTGCGCAGTTCGCAGGTCTTTGGGGCCATAAATTCAAATAAATATCAACATATTATATACCAACATTTTCAGTATGGTTTGTAGAATACACCTGCATTATTTATTTGCGTATTTTTCAACGTTGGTTCCTGTAAGAGGCGATTATGCAACACAATTGTGATTGGATGCGGATAAAATTGGAAAAATAAAAAAATTTATAATCTCAGGTGAAACTAAAAAAACATGTTTGCACCTAGTCAAATGATACCTCAAAATAACCATAACTGTATATAGAACAGGAAAATATTGAAAAATGTGCAGTTATTTACATACATTCCATAATATTTGTACATTTGGATCATAACATCCGATATTGGAAAAAAATAATTTTTAAAATAATTTTGAAAAAGGATCACAAACTGAAAAAAATACGCGTAACTTATATGGAATTATTCAGAATTGCACTTGGAATAAACCTATACATGTCTTGAGTGGTACTTTTTGATTAATTTCACCCAAAAGTAGTGATTTTGGAGAGATAAAAATATTTTGACTATTTAGATCTAGGCCTAGATCTAGCACTCAAAAATATTGATTTCTCAATTACAGTGCACCGGCAATTTGCGTCCAATAGTATCAATATTATAAAGAAGAGTCCTACACTTCTTTAGTGAGCAAAATAATTATACATTTTGTTGTGTAAAAGTACTAAGACTGGTGTCTGGGCTATAAGTTGGGCTTCGCGATAAAACAAAGTCGAATAAACTACGAAATCATGTTTCAAAACTGAATCAAAACTTCCGATTTTCGGTGGAAACGCTTGACCCGGAAGTCAACATTATATTATGACCTTTATTTTAACATGGATAAGTGGATTGGAATAGAAACCAAGCTAAAATTGAACGTCGGTTCTCGAGCCGCCGGGGGCGGCTTAACGTACTGACGGCACTTGAGCCGCGCCGCCCTCCACGGCTCGGCGTAGCGAATGAGTTAAACACCCGCAAATGCGTTTTAATGTTGAGTGTGATAGTTAATAATAGTAAAATTCAGTGGTCTCTGCCTAAGAATCTGATCATTGAAAGACCCAAAAAAGCATGTTGACAGGTGTTTTTCAAGGCTCTTACTGGATCATATGTTTTATGATGGAATATGACCCAATCATGAAACAGAGCCAATCACTACACTACAAAAAGGAAAAGAAGTAATATTCTGTAAAGACAGCCTTATGTAAGACTATCGAACACTTTGACCTCGTAAGAGGAATGAGTGATCGAACCAATTGAAAACCTTTCAGCGATTGATCCTCTACGCAAAGCTCATGTGTGTGCGTAAGAAAAGAGCTGTTAAATTTTATGTCAGAGCTGTCTCTCTTTCTCTTTAGCTGGGACAATCACCAGGAAAATGGGTCTTCCTGTGCGGTTTGTGTGTGCAGTGAACAAGAACAACATCTTGTCCCGGATCATGGACGATGGTCAGTGCGAGCTTGGCGAGGTTGAGGGCACCCTGGCTCCTGCAATGGACATTCAGGTGAAAAATGAGTTGTCAGTAGGAAGTTTGATTCTCTCCTAAATTAATTGCTACTTTTGTAGTTTAAGATCATGTCTTTTCACCAACTCCGATTTGTTTTGATTCTGTTATCGTATTCTTTGGTTGACATGCTTTGCCAGATGAATTTGATTTCCTGGATAATTTGTACTGAGAGTAATAAGAAGAAAAGTTTCTGTTAATTTCTTTGATTTGACAGAGAAAAAGTCTATTCCTCTAGAACCCCCAAAAAATTATATTGTTAAAAATAGAGATTTTTAAAATGGTGCATGGAAATATATGAAACAGATAAACTTCCCTCCTACGTTAGAAAGATTTGTCATGGGTGTGTTTTTAGACAGCAAGTTAAAGTCTGATTGAGAACACTGAATATATGGTCCATCAAGGCTAACTGTTTTCAGATATAGGTCATGCAGCTCCTGAGGGTTAAGTAATTTACCAAAGCTAGCTTGTACGGACTCGGTCAGGCATCCCCTGATTAAGATCCATAGACATTTTTTTACTTTAACTTGTTTTGTGGCTTCTTCTGTATTTTTAATATTTTATTTTTGCGTGGGTTAGTTGAAAAGAATTTCATTGCTGACTCTGTTTTTTGTCTTCCAGTTTGCCTACAACCTAGAGCGTGTGTGGTATTTATGCAGTGGTGAGGACGGAGATGCCATTAAGAAAATCATGGCCCAAGTGGACAATAACCAAGTCAGGATTCCTGCCAATATTTTGAATGAGGTAAGTTTGACAAAAGGGCTGATTTTTTTTGCTTTTGAGATAGACTGAAGTGTAGATTTTTGCAGCGGTTGTTACAGCTATACTTTGAAAAAAATCTCAATACTTTTGGAAATAGTTTTGCTCAGAATGATGTGCAGCTTTTTTAGTGGTTGTTACAGTATAAATACTTTTAAAAAAATCTCTGCATGTTTATCATTAGTTTTACTCTTTTGTGATTTCTTGTAATGAAGACCATATTACTCACTTGTAATTTAGTTATTTCTGATGTAGCTGCAAGGTTTTAACAGATGGAATTTTGAAATGAGATTTCTCAGTAAAGTGTTTTAAATGAACCAATACATTTTAACTTATTTTGTAGTTTACCTATCAATGATTTCTCTGGTATATTTCGTGTATCCTCTCATCTTTTAGTGAGTGAATTATTAATTGCCTAAAAAAATAGTTACTTTCTAGTGAAAACAGAAACAAACTCTTTCTCTCTCTTTCTCTCTCTCTCTTTCTCTCTCTCTTTCTCACAGACACTACGACACACACACACACACACACACACACACACACACACACACACACAGACACACACACACACACACACATGCACAGAGCAACCCCCCCCCCCCCCCCACGCCCGCACACACATATAACAAAAACATCCAATGCATTCATGATGTAGATCCAAACACTTTCAATTTCAATGCTAGAAACAGAGCTTCATTTTTGAAAAATGCTTTGAATAAATTTCAAAGAGCAGATCTACTTTCATTACTAAGTGAAGTTGTTCAAATTTTGTGTTTGTTTTTTTTCAACCTCAGATGAAATCCTTTGTGAAAGTGTACACCGTGTCTGGGGATGAAGAAATCAAGACAACGATCAGTCGCTGTTGGCGAGAGAATCAGTACAACATTTGTCCTCACACTGCTGTTGGAGTTTCTTACTTTTACCAGAAGCTCTCAGATGGGTATGTCAGATCTTAAAAGCCAAGTAACATTCTATTTCTTTCTGACAGTAATTTTAGAAGTTCACTGGGCTATCCTTTGTGCTTTCTGTTATGATTTTTTTAAAATTTCATTTTTCAAATTTTTTTTTTCTCAACGAAGCTTCTGTGTTCCTAGAGTAATATAATTTTCCCTTCTTCTTTTTTTGACACATAACATAAAAAGTATTTTGGCTTTTCCAATTGCTCCAAACTTAACTGTAATCCTCCATCATACAACATCAAGTAAAGATGATGCATTGAAACTACAGTCTTGCATGCACAACATAGTGGACATGCGCAAAGCAAACAAAGCAGTAGGTGATCAGAATTTCAGTCACAAGTTTTTTGTTAGGCCCTATACATTCTTTGTATTTAAAACATGCGCATAGCTTAAACTATTTGTACATAGTGAAAAAATTGGTATCAGCAAGGGCAGCTCTAATTGAACAAGATGGCAGATTTCATTTATCAAAACAGTCATGATATGAGAGAGAGAGAGAGATAGAGAGAGAGAGAGAGAGGGGGGGGGGCAGGCATGGTAGGCCTTATGAGTGTCCCTGTGGCTTTATGCACCCTGCATAATTTAGCGAAATTTGATCATTTTTTTCATAATTTCTGATTATTTTCCTTTATCATTCTTTGTTAAAGTTAACAGAATCGCATAATTTCACATTTTTGGGCTCAGTTTGCATAATTTAGGAATTTTTCTTGCGTAAAACGACGGAGACAGAATGTTTCTATAAGCTGAGGACAAAAGTGTAGGCCAAGGACGTGTTCACAAATATATCACTAAAATCAGCAGTAATCTAGCCTGCACTCTTCATTTGCTTGTTGGGAGTCTGTGGTCAGACCAAAGGCATATAGTTATATTGTATTTTCACCGCATTTGTCAGCGTGCTCCCTTTTGAACAGAGATTATATGCTATGTGACAGCTTGGTGGTGTTTTACAGATAAGACTAGGTGAAAGAGTACAATGTTGTTGAGAATTGACCATGCCAGAGCAAAAGAAGTGGAAAGGCTTTTCAGTCGAGGAAAAACAGCAGAGGTGAATAAAAAATAAGCATCAGTAACACAAATTTGCAGATCGAAGTGACTGTACTATGAACCCAACCTGCATGTTAATGTCGCAGAGGGGGCATAATTCATGTAAAATTTGGACTCAATTGTCCATCTCTCTTGTTAGTTATAGCCTGAAATTCAAAGTAGCGAAATTTACATAGAAAAGATTTCGGCATCTTGCAATATGTGTGCTGAGCTGTATTCTTTCACTTATATTTCTCAAGGATTTTATGATTTTTTAACATATTTTATGTTGTTGTCTATCAGCACCAACAGCAGTTCACCGTCTGCAGTTCTTGCCACAGCATCCCCACTCAAATTCCCAGAGGCTATCCGGGCATCCGGCGTTCCCGCTCCGACATCAGAGAAAATAGAAACTGTCCTTTCAGCTCCAACCCGCTTTGTGGATCTGGAAAAATCACAGGACTGGACGGAAATTGTGAAACAGAAAATGATTGAAGCAACCAAGAGCTATGGTTGTTGAGAATTATGAAGTTCTTCTCTAAGTTAGCAGTAAAAAAGATGGACTGTCAACTTACATTTTTTTAAACTTATGATAGAAAACAGCTTACATATATTTTTTTATGAGTACCTTTTACTTATATGAGATATTTTGAGCCAAGGTATATGATTTTAAAGTTTTGAAATGACAATTGTGCAATAAATGATATGACGAAAAGATGTGATATGTTTATATTTAGCCTTGAATTTATCATGTGAAGATACCAGTATAAAATTGTCAGGTCCCTCAGCTTGACTGCTGTACTTGGTTTTGACATCAGTTTGGAAGTTTGATTTGGCAGTCTATGTGGGTTTTGTATCTTGTTATATGTTGCACAATCCTACATGAAAGGAATTTTGCTGTTATACTTGTAAATCTTGTGCAGAGTGCTTTGGTTGTGATCAGTACCTCAGAGTCAGATTACAGGCTGGCTCAGACTGGAACTAGAGAGGAATGCATATATGAATGCTTAGCAATAAACATGAAATGATTACACACCATCCGTCTCTGTTATTATAGCCACTAGAGGCTTTTAGAAAAAAACGTGTAGTGCACCATGAACTCTTTGTTTCCAGATCCCCACTGAAGTGGTATTTTGGGGGTACTGATTTCATCAACCCCCAGATCCTTACCTGGTCCTGTGCTACTTTAATTACCTGTTCTCACCGGTATTGTGATTCTCTGTCTAATTAAGAATAGTTTGAGTGCTCACACAAACAAATCCATTAACCCTTTGAGCCCTGACTTCCTGAGGCTACCGTGCCCCTCTGCCTGAGCTCCTGAGCGATATATTACTAACATTCATGTGATCATCAGAATCTAATTCAGAAAGATCTTCAAAATAATCAATAATGTCTTGTGTGGTAAACGCTGTTTTCTGTACACGTTTTGTCTCAGGCGGGCAGGGTTGGGGATGGGGGTCTCGCTCTCCAGTGTACTGGTGGCTTAGCATACGGACCGGTTTTACCAGTGGCAAGGGCTCAAAGGGTTTAACATTTGACTTAAGTATAGCAGTTTTAAGTTAACACCTTCAAATTGGATGCGTAAAGTTGTGGTATATCTTTTGTACAAATAATGCTTTAATAATTTTCATGTCAGTCTTGTCACATGAACGTATTTTGCCTCTGTACGGTAATCTCATGACTCTGGACTTGATGACAATTGGATTAGAAGTACAAGGTGGAGAGAGGATTTGAGCATGAAATTGAATATTATTCACTGAAGGAATCAGTTTTTGGCTATATAAGGTATTGAAGTGTAATAACTTTGAAGCTGATATTTTCAAAACTGTCTACCTATCTTTTTTTCTTGTTAAAACATCTCTCAAGACATCAGAGAACAAATGCATCCCAGCTTCATCTCAAATGTCCGCTTGAGAAAGGTCAGAGACACTGGAAGCCTGTATGCATACACAGAAAACATCGTGGATAGGGAAGAGAGGAGAGATTTGTGCGCTAAAAGAAGGAGTGCGTAAGAAGGGAAAAAAAAGAAAGGTCAAGTATCGGGGGGAAAAAAAATTAAGACAAGATCTTTAAAAAGGCTCATTTTTAGTGAACATTGAGCTAGTCAAATGACAAGATGTTAAGCTCGTAGTTTACTAATGAGTTGGGTGAAAATATTTGGCGACTTGTGTATAGAAGCGAGAGTATCTGAGAATGGTCCACTGAAATGTGTTAAAGACTCAAAATTTCTGCAATATCAAATGTAAGCGGTAATGTTCTTAAAAAACAATTCTTATTATCCTTTTTAGAAATGAGCATGCAGCCAATATGAATCTCCAAATTCGTTTTTGAAGATCAGTTTCCACAGCTTTGCTTTCATTAAAAAAAATGTCATTTTGAGGTATTGCAAAATGCAGAAAATAAGGCAGGACCACAGGACTATATCAACAAAAGCAGAAAGTTCACACAAACTACAGCTGAACCTGCTCTAGGGACCATCTGTTCAAGACGATCACCTGTACAAATGACCACTTCCCACTTCGTCCCTCGCATTTTTTATACAACAAAATGACACTGCCCAAGATAACCACCAGTCTAACACAACCATTTTTTTTCTTGACAAAGGGTGGTCATCTTGGACATTTTCAACTGTATATATATATTATATTAGTTGGTACATGCCATGTCAGGGTGTCCATGAGGTAGGAGGCTATTACTTCGTTTGGCCTCATTTTCATATTGCTCTGAGTGAGCTGCAGTGGGCATATTGTGGAGGTTTGACTAAGCACCGCTTTTGCCATACAAATAATCCAAGGAAACTCTCAATTTGAAGACTAAAAATGAGCAAAAAACACCAACAGGATAACTGTGTGAGACCAAAGTAATGGTGTATTTACACAAAATCTTTCTTTCCTATCAAACATCTATTGACCCTATCTCTCCTCCTATTTTGTGTTTGTTACTCTCTTGTAACACCTCTAATCTTTGGCACTTATATGACATAGTGTTTCATGTGCCATAAAACTCTTATTAAAACTCAACCATGCATACCAGAGAGAGGTATTATTGTGTGCTCAATTGCCTGTCTCCTAATGGACAATATACTACGGCGCTAGAAATATTAGGATTAAAAAAAAACTCTTTTATACAAGGTGAGCAAGAAAATTTGTCGCTCATTTTTCTTAGGATGATTACAGTAAGATTGTTTGGCTCAAACATCCTTCAGTTATTTAAAACCGCAGGCTTTAGATTTCCACATCGATTGCAGTATCTGAAAGCAAATTATGCTAGTCAACCATTAATCCGTGTTGAGCACTATATAAATGTCATTTATTATTATTATTATTATTATTATTAACCATCCTTGTCACTATACGGTATATACCGCCAGAAAAATGAAGTTAATTTCTAGCATTCACAAAAATGTCAGTACAAACTGTTATATTGTTGGTGTTAATGTTCAATCACAACACAGACAAAAAGACTGAAAGGAATAAGACTCTAAAATTTTTATAATTTTGCTGTATATTTTATTAGCACATGATCGTGACAGAGTCATTGGTCAGATATTAAGTCGAGTAAATTCTGGACGGAAAAAAACAATATTTTCTGTACACAACAAGAGATAAAAAACAAATTCAACAAGACGGTTGCACTATTATTAACAACATCAGCTGAAGAAAGTTAAAAAATTAAAGAGCATATTAAAATTGTAAATGCATTTTGGTCACAATTCCTTAGTGTATTTTTTTTCTTCTAACCCACTTTTATACTACTAACTGCAAAGAGTAATAGTTGAAAGTAGGATGGACCTAACTAATGACTAATGGTGAACAGGTGTCTCTTGAACCTAAAATTACAGAAACTACAACATTTGTAAGGTGCATGCCTGAATGGAATGAATGTGCCATGAACATGAAAGGCCAAAAACTATGAACAAAGAAATCCCATGACACTTATCTGCATTCAGCACAAAGAAAAGGGTAGTTAAATTCTGTATTGTATAGTTACATTACCTAAACAGATCGATGAAACTAAACTTATAATAATAATAATAACAATTATAGCAATGCACTTCTACAGACACCAAAGGATTGATGTTGCTGAAATATTTAACACACTCTGCGAAAAACAGTAACAATAACACAAATTTCTCTGATGAAATAGAACTTAAGTTCAAATGTTTACATGGAATGTGCTTTCAAGTCATATCAGGCAAGACATATGTAAAACATGAAGAGGACGGAAAAGCTTTAGTAAACAATAAAAAGAACTTAGTAAATTTATCACTGTCAAAAAATAGATAAAAGGAAAAATAGATTTTAAAAAGTTAATCTCACAAATACAAAAATATGTACAATTTCAGCCTAACATTCTGATTTTTACCCTGTTGGGTTAAAATCAAAACGTTTTCCTTCGTCCATCAGAATAATACCTTTATGTGAGCATCTTATAGGCACTTTGATCACAGTTATGCTGCATTAATGTAAATATGTATCACATAAGGGTAATAAAATCCCTCTTGGACTTTAAAAAGCTTAAGAAAACATTGAAATATAATTTCAGACCCAGCTTCTTCAAAAATGTATTGTATGCAAGTCATCACCCCACAGTTAGGGAAAAAATGCAATCAAATGAGGAAACCATGAGGTACCATACAGTCTGATGTGAGGAAAAACTATGATACTTTCATCAATTTAATCCATGTCTTATCTCACCTGTTTATTCACCCCCTTTCTTGAGTTGTTTTCCCCCTGATATCTGTTTCTTCCTTTTCCTGCTTCGTCGTATTCCGCCTAGTTTCTAATTCACACCATATCTTGATACAATAGCTTTCCAGGATGTCCACTTCTTTCCTTCACACAACTTATTTATTTTTTGCTCCTCCAATTTCTTTTCTTTTTCTTTTTGTCCCTGATATCTGTTTTAACTCTTCACTAAGAAATCTTTATTCTTGCGTTCTTGTTTTAGTATTTCATATTATGTATTTTTTTCTCCTTCAATTTCTTGTCTTTACTGGGTTTTTTGTCCCTTGTACACATGTTAACTCTCACAAACAATCTTTACTCCCATATATTAAAAAAAATGTTTTCCACATTATTTATTTTTTCCCAGACTTTTGTTGCCTCCCTCTCCTTGGGGCGGGCTGAGTGGGTTCTTCCACTGTTGCCTGTTTGTCTCCTCCGGCCTGAGCCTCGGACAACAGCCTCACTATCCTGTCCTTGTTCATGGTCAGCTGACTGGTCTCCTGGCGGGCCTCAGCCAACTGTTCTTGAGCTGTGGTCAGTTTGTCCTTGTGAAGACCTTGGTCCTTCCCTCGGCTGCTCTCAAGGAGCTCCAGTTCTGCGCTGACCTCTTCTTCCAGTGCGCGAATCTTGTCCTGCTGTTGGATCAATTGCTGGTTAACTCTGGCAAAGTCTGCACTGAGCTCATCCACTTTGTCCTGTGGATAAATGGTTTTAAAAAATTTTGTTTAATTGAAAACAATTACACAAAGGAATATCACTTATAAGTACCAAAAAAAATTATGAGTTGGAAAAGAAGGCACTTAACACAAATTTTCCTCACTTCACCCAGGTGTGAATGGGTACCTTGCCATAGACCTGTGAAAGATTTTTCAGTATTTTAGAGCCTGTATAATGGCAGCGTGCACTGTATGTTTTCCACGAAGTTAAGATTGTTTCCCAGTTGTTTATTATTGAAAATTTTACTAAGATCTACAACATGTTTACCCTTTACTTTCTACTGGCGGCTAGCATTCCCTGCCCATGCACCAGAGTCACTATTAATAAATATACAGTGTAGTCTGCTGTTAGCAAAATTTGCAGGACCACCTAATTTTCTTTTGATTAGCCGAGTTTTTGGTTTAGAGAGGTTGCTCAAATGCAAAAAAAATTTTTTTTCGGATTGATCGCGTTTGATTTAAGCAGACTCTACTATACATAGTGCAAGACAAAAGTAACTTAAGACAGGTTATTTGACCTATTAGAGGAAACTTATAGGTATTTTTCCCAAGGGTGCTGCTTTTCATTGTAAGTAAAGAAACAGCTTGAGTTATTATTTTGGCACTACTTTCACCACAGTGTTGGTTATTTGAATGGTAGAGCTTCAGAACCTACAACCATCTCCAACAGGATGTTGTACAAAATAAATAATCTTCTTTCAGAACCTTGGCCAAGAAAAGCTGCCGAACGTAAATTTGAACCTAGATTGGCAGTACTGGCAATAATATTAGTGTAAAGGTGCTTATATTCAGACGAAAAGATGATTCATAACCAAGCATGTCAAAATAAATATGCTATACATGTATAAATAAGAACTACAGCTTGATGATTGGTATACATCCACAAGCCATGACAGTCTTCACGTTTCTGGAGAGTGCTACAGAGCACCAACTCTGAGCATTGCCAAAGTGCACAGGTCACCCAGTATAGAAACAGACAATATTCAGTCAAAAACTTGTAGGATTGAATCCTTTATCTAACCTTGCAGTCCTAATAGCAAAGCAATAACAAATGAAAACCCAGAAATATTTTTGGGAGTCTCTCTGTTAACTGATCTTAACAAGAAATTAATATAGCATTGTCATACTTAATTCAGGTGCAGCCATCATCAGATATAAAATAACATTGTTGTATTGAGTCATAGCCGTACAAAGAGATGGGTAAATAATAATTACAACATAACACGAATAGGTCGAACACAGCAGACTCGAAATCACGCATCCTTCGAACCATGTCTGCAGTCCCATTTTTCTTCTTCTTTATCTCTGTAAGATATCCTACGAACTACGGATCCCTTGAACTATTGAGGCTGGTCCTGACAAATTCGAGCTATCCGTGTCATAGTGTATGTAGGAGAGAAGCAGAAAGACCATACCATACCTAGACAGCTACCAACCACCCATAGAATAACAAATGGGTAATTTTAGAACTCCAAAAAGAAGGAGACAACACAAAAGTTCCATGCATTGTCAAGAAGAGAGCAAAAAACCGTAAACATTCCAAATTTTACCTGAGCAGAGTCTGGGGTTGGAGCAGCCTTCCGTGGTTTGTCTGTTTTGTCAGCTCCGTCTCTGTCCAGTGAATTCTCAAATGTTTGATACAAGGCGTTGCCACTCATATTTGCCATCACAAATGATGGAGCAGCCTGTTCTTGATTGGCTGCAGAGTTTCCTGAGGTAGCAGAAAACAAAAATAGCACATACATAACTTAGAATCTTGAGGAAGAGTAAAAATACTTTAAAACTCTGAAACGTACCTTTAGAAGGAAGTAAAAGGAATCATCTTGACATGAATGTTTAAACAGAATACTGCTGCCAGTACCATTTTCACTATGCAAAGTTTTTTTCTGACTGATAAGCCATTGGTGAACTTGAATTTTGTTATTTTGTTTAAGCTTCTGAACTTTCACAGCACTTGACATGCAACTAAAATTAGCTCACTATTCAGGAATTTATATTCAAACAGACAGTCTTTACAACTGTATCTGTTATCCAATCTATTGCTGCATGCAAGACACAGACAGTAAAGTGTGGTACTGGTATAAATAAGGGTAGGTAATGTGTCCTTTCTATCCCTCTGTTATTTCTGTCATCGTCACCTCTTTTACTTCTTTCAACACTGCAGGATCACCAAATATCGATATTCCTCTCATCAACTCAAAATAACACGAGTGAAAAGAAGCTTATTATACCCTCACCTGACGTCGAAAATTTACTGCTCAGATTTGCCATTTGTGACACAACATTTTCATGTGATCCTTGACCTTTAGCCTGATGAACTTTGTCCTCCATGTCTCCCAGCATGCTCTGGAGCTTGTTCAGAGAGGCAAAGTCATTGTACTTGGCAATTCTGTTCGTGGTGGTCACGTGGGCAGGGAGAGAAATAATAAAATATAGCATTTTGGGGGAATTTAGCAACATGAACTAATAGGATAACAACTTTGAGATCTTTTTTAATAACCAAACTTCTATGTCTCTCTATATGAATACTGTTAGTACACTTACGTCCACAAAAATATTTTATAGGAGCTTTTTTCAGTGACATAGTAGGCCTTTACACTTGCACAAAGAGAGGCTTTGTGGCTTAAGGCTTACCCTTGGGACGGGAGCTTTCAGTTTATATCATTCCTTCCCATGGAGCTTGCATCATGAAATGCAAAAATATGAGAGGCAAACACCCCTCAAAACAGACATATTTTGCTCATTTCCAATATTAAATTTAACTTATAATCTCACTTCTTGTATCAGCATTTACTTCTTTAAAAAGTCAATTTACACGACAAGCAGGAATAAAATAAGAACAAGAAGACACAAAAACTAACTTTTCTACACCTGAACCTCCACTAAAAAGCAAGCACGGTACCTGAAAGTTTTAGTTTTAGTTAGAGTTTTAAGACATTGGCAACATAATTAGATTACATTAAATGCCGAGGATTAGAGAAGTAATAAGACAGTAACAAACAAAGAAAAGAAGGAGGACAGATAAGGACAATAAACATTTGATAGGGAAGGAGCAAACCACACCATAACATACAAACAAAACATCATTAACTCTTTTATCTCCAGCAAGTTGCTCCCAGTGGCTCGTGGTTGGAACTGTCATTCCGGTGAGCCGATCAGCAGCTCCGGCACATTCTTTTAAGGTGACTTTGACATCAAATTACTTTTCGGTATTTGCTGAAAACAGGTCTCTTTTATCGAGATTCCATTCATTAGATGACACACTATCAAAATAGGTTGACTTGTTTGATGTAATGATCAGTTTAGTGACGTTTTTGTCATTTTTAGATTTAGTACCACAATAGGGCCTCGGCATAGTGGGTTTAACCCCCTCAGAGATAAAGAGTTAAACATCTTTACATGGGAAAACCTTTACACAGTACCTCTGAGCCATTCTTTCCTTGGTCAGCTGTGCCCCATCTCTCATGGTATCAGGCATGAGACGCACGTCCAACAACTCCTCCATCATGCGTGTCCGGGCGTCCTCGCTCGGGCAACTGTCAAACATGGACTGGAGAAGCTGCTGAGCTTGGGCAGGGCTGAGATTTGAGCCAGGGTCTGTTGCATTGTTCTCCACCCGCCTTGTCTTAGACATGAACAAGTCATCACAGACCACAGTAAGGGCACGCTGGTATTCCTTCTGGAATTCTGGCGATGTGTCGTCCCTGAGGTCACCTGGATAAAAAAAACAAAACGCATCACTTTTGAGATATAGTGGAGTCAGTTTAAACCAAACACACTTAATCTGAAAAAGCAGTAAACCAAAATAAAATAAAATCACTGATCTTGTTTTTTCTTTATATATGAGCAACCTCTCTAAACTGAAGGTGTCAGGATAGGCAGATTTGCTAGAGATGCTCTTTTCAACATCTTATTTAACCCCTTCACTGCTGAAAAATTTCCATCAACATCTGTACCTAGAAAGTTAAATGTTAATTCAAGGAATATTTAAACTCAGAGAATGGTTTCAGAATAAGCAAAATCACAAGCTGTAACTAAAACAACTAAAACATGTGTCAACCAGATGAAACAATACGAGTGGAGAATACAAGCCAGAACCTACGTCTACCCAGCAGTGAAGAGGTTAAGCTAGTTACATCATAAACTGTAGTATAGGGCTAGAAACCACTATTATTTCCAAATAAAAAGAGACAGACTGGAAGCGCCAGTGAAGACTTCAGATAAGCCCTAACAAAATCAAATTGACATCAAAGTACAGGTGAGGAAAGGCAGGCTAAGGCAGACACGAAGAACATACTCTCTGGGAAGACACAACAGTAAAATAAAGCTCAAACCATCAACTTTTCGGTGTTGTTAATAGCGTAACAGTAACATACATTGCTAGATTGATTATAGCAACGATAAGTCTCAACAGCAATTCACAGCCAACTTACCAGACTTGATATGAGCCAGGCAGTGTGTCAACACAAGCACGTACTCTCCCACCGTCTCCAGGCGAGCAGCTCGGAGGTACAGGATCCTGTTGTTGGCATCGAAAGCAAAAGAGTTCCGGTACATGTTGCGAGAGAGCTGAGGGCTGCTGGGAATGCTCTCCGCCAGCAGGATGTTGACGGGTGCATGCTGGCAACGGCGAGCTATGAGCTGAGCAACATGGCAACCAAACTTGTAGATGACGAGAGAGCGAGCATTCAGCTTGTTCAAGTCCATGGGCTTCAGTTCTTTGTCGTTCTCCCAAGACTTTTCACGCTCGTCTACAAAACCATCACCTGGAGGAGCAGTAGGGTCAGGAATAGGAACACCATCGTCTAATAATAGTGGGAAGTTATTTAGTACCTAGTACCTTACATGGATGTTGCGTGAAAACTAACAGTGAACACTCTTTTCAAAGCATACACATCAGGCATCTGAATGACATTCAAATATGTGGCTTGTTATATTCATTTATAGCCTACTTTTTGAATACTGTGATATTTGACTTTAATAATAGGCCTACCTAATGATGATTCTTTCGCACACAAGTCAGACAAACATTTATACTAGATACTAGTACAGTCACTTTCTCCCCCATTCTAGCCACGAACCACTCACCTTCTGGCACACTCGGTGCAGACCTAAGACTGCCTCCAGCCACCGCCTGTTTCATGTTCTCCAGTTTCTGGTACAGCGGGGAAGCCATCAGCAGAGACATGAGCTCAGCCTCGTTGAGTGGAGCGGCCATTGCGTATGCTGGGGGCATCTCCTGGCTGCCCTGAGGCTGTGCTGGTTCGTCCGATGCCCCAGAGGTGGGCGCTGGTAGGGCTGCTGCAGTGAGCAGAGGCATTGACTGCTTCTGAGCACTGAGACCATCTGAGTTTAGAGCCTGGTTCAACGCCAGAATCTGCAACAAAATCCATTATATATATATTATCAGTTTCAAGAATTTACACCAGCCTATTACCATCGAAAGGTACAAACTTTAAGGACAACATAAAACACAAAGCAAAAGACTGGACTATTGTCCATATCTAAAAGCATTTTTTACCACAAAAGTAAAAGAGAAGCGGCAGATAGATCCATTCATTTTCTTTTCCTATAGAAACCCATAAGGAACTGTCCTACAATATCAGCTCTTTCAAAGCCCCAATCGGCGAGACATCTTGCTACATCAACCCCCAACCCTGGAAATAAACAACACCCATAAACTGAAATTGATTACATCTTGAAAAGACTTCCCCTTTCTATAACATGGCATCAAAGCCAAAGGGCACAATCCAAAACAACAGCTGGGTTAGCAATAAATGGAAAAATCTAAATGAGAGGAAACTTCCTCTTGGAAAAGCAGAACAATTTAGAGGTGACGTCCCCTCTGCCAAGCATGTTAAAAACACATCAGCAGATTAAGGTTAAAATAGAGCAGGAAACCCAAAACTGAAGAAACTCCAGTCAGTATTATCAGAGATACCTTCATGGCCTTTAAGATTTAGAGCAAAAACAGAACATAAACAAACAAATCAGTTCAACTATGAGTTGAAGACCATGTAGTGAGATAGGCCTACCCTTAGATCTAGTGGGTGTGAAGCGTGTGTGTTTGTTTATATGTGTGGGTGAGTGTGTTTTGAACATGTGAGTGTGTGTATGTGTGTGTGTGTGTGTGTGTGTGTGTGTGTGTGTGTGTGTGTGCGCAGCTGGGGATGATACAGAAGCAGTAGAACAGCTCTTTTAACACAACACAAGGACTCTCACATACCTCGTCATTCTGCAGTCTGTCTCTCTCACTCCTGAGCTGAGCCTCCATGGCCATCTTCTGCTCCGCCACATTATCCTTCACCTCCTTCTCTCTTGCCTTGAGCTTCTCTTCCTTGCGTTTCTTGAGTTTGTCCTGCAGATTACTTTGAATGCGCAGCCTGTCCGCTTCCATCTTGGTGACCAGCTGGTTCACTGACCGTTCGTGTTCCTTGATCAGTCGGTCTTGCTCATCCTTACTTGCTCCGTTAGCCTTCATCTTTTCCAGATCGGCCTGGGTAAACATGAAATAAATATCTTGCTTTAACTAGTCACTTCTAACTATGCACTTCATCATCAGTTGATGTACAATGAGAATACAGTAGTCTCCGCCTAAACGCCGGTGCTCGGGAGGGCTCATGAGCATGTGTTTTCACGGAGCGTGCGTTTACATGAACCTTTGCAAGGGGAGGAAGGGACGTAGTCATCTCAATTCCTTATTACTCTAGTAATCTCCCTTGAAGGAGGGGGTCATTTTGGCAGATAAGGTGACGACACCTGACCGTTTTTTGAAGGATTCCCCGACAGGGGTTAAGAACACAAAGGCGTTGAATGGGGGGGGGGGGGGGGGGGGGGGGGGAACAAACTCAAAGTAAGGAATATGTACTATAAACGTCGGGAACAGATAGCCTAAGAGAAAACTGTTGGCGATAGTCATAGAGTCGACGGACCAGCCATGTGGCTTTCCAAGCGACCGTCCACGACCGTAAATTCATGCAGAATCATCCTCGAGAAACATTTTCTCTTGTGACTCGTTGAACAAGTACGTTATAAGTTCTTTAAAAGCAGCTTATTAGGCTTACTTGGCTAATCTTTAATCCTATAGAGGCCTGTCTAGTGTTTTACGGCATTTACGCATTTCGCGCATCAGGCCTAGATCTAACTAAACCCTCTCTGATCTAACTAAACATTACATGCAATCACTCAAACTCAAACACCAGTCAGAAACCTTCTCTCAAAGATACATTTCCAGTGACCAATCAAAAAACATTTCAGTCCCCCCAATCCCCCCCCCCCACCCAACATTTAACCGACCAGCCCGAGACCGAGACCTATGCGTCAGTGGAAAGTAGTGTGTGTAAACGCTGTCTATCACTCTCTTTGTCCGGCGTGAGGGGCACTCTCACCAAATATCCGGTTTTCTAGTAAATTCTAGCTTGCCGTATGCAGTCTGTGCAGGTTATTATAAGTTATAGTGAAAATTTCCCCTTGCCAAGCTTAACTTGTCGGTGTGTTTCGCGAATCGGAGCGTACATTTAGAGGGAGTGACCGTGCGTTTGTACGTCTAAATCATATAGTAAAAAAAACGTCAGATGACGAAAGCGTGCGTTTGAGTGGAGCGTGCTTTTGTATGGCGTGCGTTTAGACGGAGACTACTGTACCTAACTGTATGAACTAACATCTTTCATTAGCTGATCATTTCTAACTGTTTACTTCATCACCACTTTTGGTACAGCAAGAATACCATCATGAACTGAAACATTTTTTGTTAACTGGCCACTTTTAACTGTTATCTTCATCACCAGTAGAAACACAATGAGAATACCAACTCCACATCGTTAGTACCAAAAATGTTGTCACATTAACATTGGTCGAAATAATGAAAATGCAATGGAGTCTGCATAACAGCAATCTGCGGGACTGCCTAATTTTCTTTGGTTTAGCCAGGTTTCAAATTTAGAGAGACAGCTCAAATTAAAGAAACAAAATAATTAGAGATTTTCTTTTCTTTTAACTTTTCGATGTTTTCGGATTAACAGTGTTTTGTTTAAGCAGACTCCACTGTATATTCATGGTGAAAGATTGGCTACTTATAAAACTTAAATCTTTAAATCTTTGGTTTAACACAATTCACTATGCGTTGCCGCGGCAGTGCACTTGTGTCCACCTGGCTTTCCACGAGCCGGGGGAAAAAATCGGTCTGAACTCGACATACTAAACTCAGACACGAACTGTGTCCAAACTATTCAAGCTATTAATATGAAATTTAGCTTAGATTTTACTTAAAATGTTCTTTCAATATTATTAGAGAGAAAGATGAAGGAAAGAGCAGAGAAAACTATATAGCCTTCATCTGACTGCCACTCATCGGCACTCCAATTAGCCATAGCAATTTATAGTAAATCTATGGTCTAGATCTAGCTTTTCTTCGACCTTTTCAAGGCTCTAAAATCAATCCGATCCCCTTGTTTTTCTAGACTTATGTCTACTCACTTTCTTTGCCGCTTGTATCTAAAACAAAGCTCAAAACATGCTCCATGTAATTTAACAAACACAAAAATAGCTGTGGCACTATTGTTTTTAGCGGCTGTTTTTTTTGTTCTTCTCGTCCATGAAGATTTCAGTGCTCGCTTTCTTGCCATGATTGGCGGTGACAAAACAACAAAACTAACTCGTACTTGGAGAAAAACTGGATCAGAACAAGCTGGCAAAAGTTTTTACAAGCCACAAGTGACCTATTTTTTTCAGTAGAAACCTGGATAAGTGGTTCGGGTTCAATTTTGTAGACTGGTGTTTTGATATGACTATTGTCGTAGCTCGTGGACGGAAGCGCGCGGTAGCTACAAATATACTCGTAATAAGGGTACAATAGATTAATCAACAGAATCTACTTAACTATTTCAAATTACAATTTATATCACGACAATTTGCACAGATTCAAGAGGTTTTGCAAAATAGTTATTAGTTTTGGAAGAAACAAATGAAACAAAACTTTATGAATTTCTCAACAGTTCACTGAACACTTTAATTCTTACCTTCATTTTCTCCTTCTGCTCCTTCAACATTTCCTCTTTCCTCTTGTTCAGAGCTTCAATGTTCTTCTCCTGCTTCTCCTTTTCCTTCTGTGTCTCAAGCTCCAGTTCCTTGGCGAAAGATACGACTTCAGCTTCCACACGTTTGCCCTCAGATTTCTCAAAAGCTAGTAGAGTAGCAAAAATATAACAAGGGCATCAGCACAGTCTCTAACACCAAAGAGTTAACATAGCTTGAAACATTTCAAAGCAAAGTGACATTGCAAAGAATCAATATAATATATTCTAAAATAAGATAAAGCATACATTTATTTGCAACATGATAGCTGCATGATTGGTAATTGAGCCCAGAAAAGACTTAAAGTTATTGCAATCTTTTGGGATACATCAATATTACCCTAGATTGTTCTTTCTTTAGATCTGACTTAAATTTATGGCCCTTGCCTTCCCAAACATTATCTCAAAGGTTTCACCTACGTAATTTTGAATAAAAAAAGTAAAGAACTTTTAAAAACAATAAGTTTAATCATGGGAAACCCACTGGGTAAGAGAACATATAATATAAAGGAGTAAAACGACCAAAAGCAGCAGAGATAAAGATGTATGAGTTTCATGATCTCTGTCTTCTTACCCTCCTGTTCTCTTCTCATCTCCTCCTCCTTTTGCTTTCTGCGTTGCTCCAGCTCAGCTCGGACACGCTCCAGTTCCCCAGCGGAGACCTCAGCATCATGAGCCGCCTGGTGGTCAGGAGAGAATTGACGCAGGGCTTCCGCAAACTCCTGCAAAAGACAGAGAAATAACCACCAGGAAAAAAAAAATTAAATTACAGACTACCTGAGACAAATTCACGCTTTCTCATAAAACACAAAAAATGTATCTTTTTTAAAGGTTAAGACTAAGATGTTATTGAGTGGCGTTGTTGTTTGTTATATCTCACCAGGAACACAGTAAAGAGAGCAAACACAAGAAAGTGTGACCAACAATCATTCAAACTGTGACTTTGATGATCTAACGACATTTGGCAAAAATGAAAAAAAGGATACTTCCCATTAATTATATAGACATTTATGCCTCTCTAAATATAAACTTGAATTCACACAATCATTTCCCACAGCAACTGCTGGCAGACAATCGAAGGAACCTGAGTGATCATTTTCATCACATTGTTCACATACTGAAAGTAGTTTTCCGTGCTTATAACAACAGACATAGCTGATAATTGGCTGCTTCCAGTCCACTTCTTTACTAGAAAGAAAAGGAATTTATAATCATAACAGTTTAACCTGCCTATTTCCGTTTGAGAAGACAGAACTTTCGGAAAAAAACAACAGATATAAGAATAAAACATAATATTATCTACTGAAGATGAGTTTTCTTCACCTTATAGTGTTTCTCTTTGAGAGCTAACTTGGCACGAGCAAACTCTGCCTCCCAGTCCCGGAGAGCTCCACGTTCTATGTCGGCTTCTTCCTGGGCCAACTGACGTTCCAGCTTGGCTGCTTCAATTTGTTGTTCATTCAGGAGGGCTGCTCTTCGCTCTGCTTTTTCATCTGGGCTCAAAGGCAGTTTCTGAAGCAAAATTGCAGTAAACAGATATATATGAAGCCAGTCATGAAAAGCATCTCAGCATTGTGAGAAGGTGCACATTTGCAAAACATAAAGTCAAATTAAAGGCATTGAAATCAAAACTTCATAACCTACACAGCACTTTTCATTTCATGTTCAAAGCAGTAAGATACATGTCTTAAGTGTCTTCTTCTCCATTAAGCAAGGTCAAAGGGGAACATAAGGCAGAAAATGTCCAGGAGGTCAGTTTAACACATTAGGATTTAATACCCTAATTAGCCTAATATCACAATAGTCATAAACATTTTAGGGGTTGAGGTAACAAAGCATTAACCTGAGTCTCACTAAAATAACAGAACATTTTTTACAAATGCAGGTGTTTTTACACCTGCATCAATACAATTTAGATCATTTAGCAGGTGGCCTTCTGACCCTGCTGTCAGGGCCAACCCTGGTTGATAGATACAACTTCACAGCAGAAAGGCCGAGATACTCAATAAAAATCCCCGAATTGAACTAAGGTCGCCACAGCAAAGTGTCTAACCACTACACCACAGATGCTGGCTCACTAGAATCCAAAATTAGATATGTCGCAATTCTTCAAAGTAATTTCATAAAATATAAAGGAAGAAACCTCAAATGGTGAAGTCGGTGAAGCAAAGCAAACGTAATTGAGTTCTCAATTTTGGTATCATGATTTTGAACACACAAACTCATACAAAGACTTATCTCTTTCTGTACCAAACACCAATTCATAGGCACTTTTCCCCAAACTGATTATGTTCTGATAACTTGTGACACATAAAGAGGTATATTACTACTCAAGTGTTGACCATGAACACAAGGAACAAGTTGGTTTTACCTCAAGAGCAGCCAGTTCCTGTTCATGTCGTTTCATCATCTCATTTCGCAAACCATCGTATTTCTTTGCAAGACGACCTCTGGCTTCATCCACGAATACTCTCTTCCTTGTGGCAAACTCATCTTCAAGGTCGCGCAATTCCTGGAAGTTAAGAAGGAAACATTGGCGAATAGAAGCAGAGAATAATTGCAGTTTTTCGACTTTTTCAAATCAATTTTCTAGGATGCACTTTAAGTAACAACCCTTAATTAAACAACCCCCCCCCCCCCCCAAAAAAAAAGAACAAAAAACCAAAAACAAACACCCTTTCAAAATGAGATATCAAAGCATTTACCGTTATATAGCAAGAAACTGTTATTTTTAGCTAAGGCATAAAGAATCTATGGAAATGTGATGAAGAAAGCTGGTAAAGTCGAGTTAGTGTGAGAAAATCAACTTACAAAATAGACTTATTGCTTCGAACACATATGCACACAAAAGACAGGAGCCATTCATCTATACATATAAATATAAATATATATTATTATTTAATTCTGGCAGCACCGACAATTGCATCACTTTTTAGAAGAAACGACACACTCATCAGGTTTCAAAATTTAAATGAACGTAAGCCTTCAATATTATATTCCTAAGAACATGGCTGAGCTGGATTTTCATGATCTTGAGTTTAAGAATTTATAAAATTGAATATTTCAATCACTATGCATGGTTATGAAATACTGCAGAATTGAGTGACTGCTTTCCAATTCCTTTTTTAAAAATAAGAGCCGTTATTCAGTATCGGTTCAAAGCTGCACAGATAAAAGCAAACAGAGATCTCCAAAGCAGTTGTAGGAGGAAGGGGGCAGGGGGCTCCAATGACTGAGTGGTTCATGAGCTCAGGCTAACAATAATGTTAAGCATGTGTCTGTGACACGGCAATGTGGTGGGTAGTCTCTTGGGTGTATCGTTGAGCATCACACGATAACATTAGCTCAAAAACAATGGCATCTAGCAATGATGTGTGGAGTGTCTATGTTTGAAATAGTGCGCATCATTCATGCATTTATATATTTATATATTTGTGCTTTTAGGTATGCCATTGTAAAACAAACTTTGCGAGTGAATCAATAAAGTGGCATTCATTTACTTTCATTTATATTTAATGATATATTCCAGAGACACAGTGACAGCAAGACTTGTCAATGGGTCACGACTGTAGTGGCAGTCGAAATCAATATGATGGTCTAAGCCCCATGTTCTACATTGTTGTGCTACAGGCACACAGACAGCAAGTTAAATCTTACTGTAAGTACTAGAAAATGTGTTTACAAATTTGTTTTTAGTAGACTAAACTCTGACATGTAACACCCACCTGAGCATGTCTCCTGGCAAGAACGGCTTCAACAACTTTGTCACTGTCCTCCTCACCATTCTCTCGAATTCCTTCCTCTATTGCTTTCTGTTCAATTTGCACAGCCTGAGAAATTGAGAACAGAAAAAAGATGTTCATGAAATTCAATTGCTTGAAAGCACATTTATTCTGTCAAAAATGTTATAAACAAATGCTGGTACAGCATAATATGAGTAGTATGCCCCTTACCACACACAAAGGTTAAAAAAGTATTGGGACATCTTCATAAACATTTATCTCTGACAGCATGAAAATCTGAAAAGCCCAAGTTCAAGAATACCCTATTGGAAATTATAATCCGAGCAACCCATGCTACAGTCCAGTAGAGCCCTAAGAAACCCATTAATAGCAGCAAAGAAAAACCCCCAGAACAAACAAAAATCAAAGTGATCAACCGCATGTTCCATGATGAACAAATGTAAAAGCAATCTGTCAAATAGGGTTCTGTTCCTTTTGTGGCTAGAAATTTGTAAAAAAGGAGAGAAGAGGAACAATGACGAAAAAAAAAAGATTACAATACTTTACTACTATTACCAATATAATAGCCCTCATCAACAACAGAACTAACATCCCTAGCAACCACACTTGAACAAACCAAAACAAGGCCTCTGGCACAACTTATAGACTTTGATGTTGATACTTAATACTCTCATGGAAACTTTAAAGAAAATCAAAATGCCATACATCCTCAATATGAATGAGATAATATAAGAAATACAGACAATATATTATGTATACTGACCCTCCATAGGAGGAAATTGGCAGCTGATTAAAATACCTTATTTGTACTCAGTCTGGCTCAACTCTTATCAGCTGAATTAATTTCAAGGATTTTCCTGAACAGCTAAAAATCAACTGTGCTGTCATTCACAAATTAATATGTTTTTGAATCATTGATGATTTTGGATCCAGGTCTATTTCGTTCACCATGCCAAAAAATTAACCACTGGCAACATCAGTGTATTGTAGAGGGACATATGTACTTAATTAGGGGAGGTAACGACCACATGCTGTGTGCCGTTCTGGCAGAAGGGAGGTAAAGGGAAACAATATGACTTAAAAGTAAACCTTAAAATTCATCACTGCCACTTGTTAAACACTTTTTCTTCACCTGCTTGAGCCTGACGTTGTCCAGTTCTTTCTTCTGCTCCAACATCTCTGACATGAGCTCAGCATCCTGGCGACGGCGCAGCTCCTCCATTCGTCGTTTCCTCTGTTCTGCCAGTTTGTCCCGTAGGGTTCGTTGCTGACGCATCTTCTCATTGTCCAGACGCTCGGTCAGAGCATCCACCTCCTGGGCATGAGCTGCCATCAGCTGGAAGACACAACAGAAATTTTGTAAAGTACGTTGGAGGCAGAGCAAGATACGGTATGTCATGAGGTTCAACAAAATACAGAGGGGGTTACACATTTCTGTAACTTGACTACCATTTCTGGTTGTCAAATATTTTAGAGAACCACCTTCCTTAAAAAATGGCAAAAAGCAGAAAATAGAAGTGAGACATAGCTGTTTCAATGGTAGTCTATAATTCGGTATCCCTTCCAACTAAATTCCTATGGCAGACAAGTTCTTCCAAGTTTATTAACCTAGTGCATGGCAACCTGCTCAATAAAGTAGCTTAAATGTTATCAATTACATATTACATATTTCATGCACTCAAAGGTGAACTACCAGACAGAGAACCCTAGTCGTGATATAGTATCAAAAAAACATGTACAGAAATGAACAAAGCAACAGACTACAGTCGAAATTGTCTCAGACAGCCACCCATCGTCGAGGAGAAAAGTAGCCATCTTATACAGGTGACCGTCTTACACAGTATCATTATAATGTAAAACAACGCAATGGGAGAAATAGGAAGTGGCCGTTGGTCCAGGTGATGGTCTTAAACAGGTGGTCACTAGAGCAGGTTCGACTGTACTTACAGCGGCCATTTCGTCCTGACTAAGGTCTGTCCTGGCTGCCTCCTCCGCAGCATGTCTGCTCTTTTTCTCCCTCAAGGCTTGCTCTGTCTGAGCATCCAGGGCCCGGGCCATCTCCTGCTCCTGGCGCTGGGCATCGGTGTCTAACTTGACTGCTAGCTGGTCACGTTCTGTCTGGTGACGCTTCTTTAGTTCTTCCTGGGCTCGTTCCTGGTGAAAAAAAAGTATGTTCTAAAGCACAGTCTCTCTTATGGTAGAGAACAGAAACATAACAAAAGCAGTAACCAGTAACCGGAAAAGCAACAGAATTTTTGTTGTACAAACACAGCTATTATTTTATCATGAACTGAGAAAATAATATTATACTACTACCTCCTACTACTCCTACTCCTACTACTACTACTACATATTATCATTATGAACTAAGCAAACAATACAAACTAAACAAAGAAAGAAGTATTGAATCCTGCAGCTATGCCTGCTTTGGTAACTTTTACTCTTAGAGCATGGCACACCAACTGACTAAATGCTGCATTATTGCTTTTTTATGGTTTTCTTTATTCATCATAAATACTTTCTGCCTGCCTGTACTATAACTGCGTGTCCTCATATATCAAAGCTTTCTTCTTTTCTTACAATTTTGGTGAGTAATACATGCTTTTAACTTAAAACCCTTATTTTTTAAGCTGAAAATGCTAACATAACCATATTTCCAAATCAAACTGTTTGTGACAAAGCGGGGAATAGACTTCCAACTTGTAAGTGTTAAGTGATAGATCTAATTTTTTAAAAATTACTGGAAAAAGTCACTCAGTCACAAGCAATAATAAACAGAAGTAGAACAAAATGCGAGAGAAAAAAGTGTTTAAAAAAGAACTCTTCACAAGTCAATATGTACTACTAAAATAGAACCAGTATCAATGTAAACAACAGCCTGGGTATTTTTTCTTAATGAGTATTGAGCATAAATAAAGGAATATTCTAAAAGTTAAAGTCAATGTGATCATTTGTGTCCCATTCAAAGGAAAACTAATATGACTTCTCAACAACTCCCTTCATTTTATCTGGTAGTCATTTGAAATTTATCACCAGTCTTTTCAGCAGAAACCCACTACATCTTGAGATTTAAAAAGCATCGTTTAAAAATTAGACCTCTCCTCATCTGTGAAATAACCATTACCAGAAACAAAACAAAAATACCCCCCCACCCCCCCAAAAAAATCACTCATCATCACGACACATACCTGTTGTCTCTTCATTGCCATTTCCTCTGGGGTCTCCGAGTAAGTGACAGCCGGCATGTGTTGTAGGTCAGCTCCAGCCACAAAGCCATCGTCCGCCCCCTTCAGACCAGACATCTGTTCATTTTGCTCAGCAACAAACTTCTGAGTTGCCAGTTCTTCGAGCTTTCTCGCGCCCTCACGTTTCTTGCGTTCGTTCCTCGATGCTAATTTGGCTTGCAGTTCTGCCATCTGGCGTGTCTTTTGTACTTCCAGATCCTGGTCCAAAGAGTCCAGACGACGACGGTGCTGGTCTACAATTCTTTGAGCGGTCAAGCGATCAGCTTCTGGGGTCAGAGCTATGAGCTGAAGATAAAAAGAATCAAAAGGTACATCAACACTACAATCAGAGAGTTTGTTTCTGTCAGGATGAACTTAACAGACCTTTAGAATATTTTAATAGGACTGCACCAAGTAGAAAGTAAGAAATGTACCTAAAATAAAAAATTGTAGGAAGGACCCCAACAGATTTACATATCACTAGGATTCAAATAAAAACAAAACCTCGCTATATCGAATTGAAATTTGTGGCTAGTTGCATCACAGTTTTTTGGCAGTAACCTGGCAGTACGAGAGACAGTTTAAGAACAATTCACAAGTCAATTATGATGGACACTAAAAATGAGGATTTCCCGACACAACAATACAAATAAATGATATATGAAACAGAAAACATAATAAAAAAGAGTCAAAGCATTTGCTGGAGCACTTGTAAAAGTGTGTGCAAACAATCTAAAGCCAGATCATATAGGCCTATGGCTAAGAATTTGATGTCTATTACTTGCTGACAATAATCCTGACCTGAAAAAACATTTAAAATACAGGCACCATCCAAATCACACAAGCCTAAGATTAATTCAGTAAAATAAAAAGTGGCTGCAGCCAATAAATTACTCAAGATCAATAAAAGATGCAGTTTAAGTCTAAATATCATTCTTCTACATCAACCAAAGTGGCCAAATATGGCTGCTGTTGTGCTGACTTTCTATGAACTATGTACCCACAAATATAAAACAAAGACATGGGTTTCCTATTTTTTTGTGTGACAGCAAAAAAATCTTGTTTGTTTGTGTTTGAGTGCTTAATCAGCTGAAGGCACTGTATGCTCCCTGTGAAGCCGAAAATGTTTCTACGTGTTCTAGGGTCTGCTGGGGAAATAATATAGTGTAAAGCTCACAAACTTGCCATCGAGTGGGGATATGTGCTATATGAATGCTATTTATTATCATTATTATTATTGTTGTTATTATTATTATGAACTGACGCAGTCTTATCACAAGTATTGATCAGTCAGTACATTGATATCTAACCTGGTCAGAGAGCTTGCGGTGTTCATCCTTGACCAGAGCTGTATGTTCCTCGTCCAGAGCATGAGACATCTGCCGTCCAAGCTCTGTCTCCTCGGCCAACAGCGCTGCCTCCAGGCTCATCATCTCCTGCTGTTGTTGTAGCTCCAGACCGGCCAGAGCACGCTCCTTGTCCTGATGCCGGCCTTCCTGGGTCAGCTGGCTTGACAACTAACACAAACAGATGTAAAGCTCAGTATAGAACCCAATTATACATTATATTGGTCAAGACATAAGACAACAAAATAAAAAAATATTTGCAGTAAATTATTTTAACTTTCAATAAAATAAACCTTAACAATTTCTATGCAGCAACTTCATTTCATTCTTTTTTGCAGACATTTAATTTTCCTTCAAGATATAATCATATTCTATTATAAACAGATGTCATGCTTTTTATTTCACTGCTTTTGTACTAGAAGCATTCTATTTAAACAAACTAAAAACAATGAAACTGTGAATCATGCAATGTCATAATGTCAGGATTTATAACATACCTAAAACCTTGAAATACCTAGCGTCTGAAAAAAAAAGGACGCATGTACATGGGTTATTTTAGCACTAATTTGATTTTTTAAAACTTCCAAGAAATAAAATTCAACCAAGGCTGGGACATCAATTTTCATCAATTTTGGTGAAATTTTTAGAACTTGATATAGTAAATTTACTTCAAACTGACACATCCCCTTGGATGAATTTTATCTGCTCAAAGTTTTGTTGAAATTAGTGTAAAGATGATGGCATTGTTTTTAAAATGGGTCTTTTTTATTTCAAGGATCTTTTAGAAAAAAATCTGAAATAGCAGTTGACATCACTTTCAACATTTATTCCATTATTCCAGCTAGGTATTTCTAACCTGTCCTCTTTCTTGGTCATGTTGTTGCTGAAGTTCTCTCAGTCGCTGCTGCCGTCGTTTCTCCATGTTGGCCTTAAAACGCTGCTGCTGCGCCTCCCTCTGGCGGTCAAACCTCTTGTTCAGATCTGCCTCCATCGCTCGTTGTTTGTCAATCAAGTCTTTCACTTTCTCCTCTGATACCAAGCCCTGGGTCCCCACGGCCTCCTGTTGACACACCACATAAAATGAATGCTTCAAAGGCTATTTATTCTTTTGTGTCTATTTGAGTGAAGCTGGAACACTTGGCTAGAGTAAAGAAACTTGACAATATAGGGAGAGAAGAAGTGATGTAGAGAACAGGAAAATACATAACAGTTAATATCACATAAATACACTGGAGAAACAATAATGTTAATGTATGTTACATTATGCTGCACCTCCTGCAAAAGTGCATGTGGTTCTGTGCATTACAACCAACCCATCATGGGTGTGGATGCTTTTCTTTAAGATTTTGCATCTAAACTGAGTGAAGACATTCTCTTTTGAACTCTTCAAAGTATATCAGCAAATGAGATAAGGGAGAAATCAGTATGAATCCGATCCTTTATGAACAATTGGTTTAGAAAAAAGACAGGAGAGTTTAATAAAGAACAAAGTAAATTTTGATGACTTTCTGTATAAATCTGTTAAGGCATTTCCATTTTTCAAACCAGGAATGTGCTGGAGAAGAACCTACCATCTGGTCTGTGAGATTACTGGACAACTTCTGTCGGAGCTCATTGCTCAGCTGATGGTCAGCATCCATCTCAGCCTGGGACTGTCCGGCCGCCTGCTCAAAGTGGGCAGCGGTCAGCTGTTCCTCTTCTGTCTTCAGTTTGGACTCTGTGTCATCATGACCTCGGACGGGGGGAGGAAGACCAGCCTCCAGGGCCTGCACAGAAAAATGATGAGATACAAACACTTGATGAGATAATGTATCCAAAAATACAGTCACAGGAAAATGATAAGATATAAACAATGGGAGAGATAGTGTATCCAAATAAACATACATAGGTGATTTTTTAAAATTCTCAATGGAAAATGATGTGATGCAAATATTAAAAGGTGATTGTTAGATTCCCAAAGCTCACACAGAAAAATGATTGAGTATAAACAAATGACTAGCTGTTGTTAGGGAATAAAATGTTCACTGAGACACAAACAATAGACTAGGTAATGTATGGACATAGATATTCACAAAGGATTTATAATGTTACACAAAAGGATGATGAGACACAAATAATATGACCGATGATGTGTGAAAATATACTTTTGCTGAATCTTCTAGATGGCAAGTTTGAGGTTGAACTAGACATCAATGCATAATTTCACGTATGTCAGCACACAAACACACAGGTTCATACAATCACAAAACACATTCAAAGGGTACCTCCTGAGAGTGCTTGTTCCTCAGTTGTTCTTCCCTATGTCTTCTCCTCTCTGCCAGCTTCTGCCTCAGATCCTCCATCTGTCTCTCCCGGGATTTGCTTAGCTTCCCAAGGGCAAGGTGCAAGTCTTTCTCATGCTGAGACAAAATTTCCTTGATTTCACCATCCTTCAGGTCACCTAGACAATGAAAATTCACAATACAAATGAACACTATCACTAACTATTTGATAAAGGAGAAGGGGAAGTATAGTTGCATTGTAGTCTACTGCTAATTGGCTTGATAACAGCCATCTTTAGACAGGAGTTGATAAGGAAACAGTATTGAAAATAAATAGGAGCAAAACACATCAGAGGGCCCATCAACAACCCACTCTGTGAAAAGAAAGAGAAAGACAAAAAAAAAAGAGGTGGAATAAATATAGGTCACAATGATGCCACAAAAACCCCTCACAAACCAAATTTAATTTTTAAGTTTGTTATGATAAACTAAAGGCATTGATGGGCACATTAACCCTTCGAGCCCCATATATTTTTAGCAGCCCTTGTACCTCCCATCGTCCCAAGAGCATATATTTTCAGTTTCAGGGAATACTGAATTTGCCCATTTTTTCGAAATAAATTAACTAACTAATTAAAATTAAATTTTTATAATATTTTTTTCAATTACTTTTAAATATCGTCATATGTTATTATCTAAACCTTATTACACGGATACTCTATTACCTGTTAGAATGCATGCCTCTTTTTCTGAAATACTGCTGTATTGGCTGGGACTAGGGTTAGGGAGTGCACAAAATGGCTGGGGCTGGAAGGGTTAAAAGAAATTCTACCACAAAAACTAAGATCACAACTTCTCTTATAAAGAGCACCAACAGAAGTATGATAAAGCATGTATCATCATCATCACTGCCTTTCTCCCCCAGCATCACGGTTGAGGTCATAAACAAACACTTTCTACCATTCCCTATCTTGAGCTAGCCTCTTGACATTATTCCATGTCTTCCCACTTTTCTGTACATCATTCTCTGTGACTCTTCTCCAGTTCCAGGTGGTCTTCCACTTGATCGCCACAGCCCACATAACAACATCTAAACAAAAATCACATGAAATAGAGATAAATAGACCAAATAACAGTCCAAACTCAGCAAAGCCTACCTTGCAGTTTGGACTCGAGATCTGCAGCCAGAGCAGCCATGGTCTCTTTCTCCTTGTTGCCGTTGTCCTGTAGCAGGTTCTCCATGGCATCACGCTCCTCCCTGGACAACTCCTGTTCTAGCTGTATGCGCTCTCCATTCTGTCTGCCTAGCAACTCACCATTAGCACCAGAGGCCTGAGATAACAGATATTAGCAAAAGGTCAATTAAAAGTAATTGACGTTTTTGACGTCCAATTATTGTAGGAAACCAAAGAAACAAAAAATGTAAGGCCATCTTTCAATCTTTGCATCAATTCAGTCTCTGCAGGCCTACTCAGCCAAAGAAACAACATTTATATAAATTTATAGGTTTACTATTTACGCCCTTTTATTCTCTCCATCCGTGGACCAGAGCAAAAGGCTGAGCCTCACAATCTTGCATGACAATAGTCTTAATGTCCCTGAAAGTGGAAGTTATCTGCAATTAACATCTGCACTGTTACTTTTGCACACTGCTGATGTTCTGTTAACTTATTAACCTACTCCTCCTCGATGTTTCCTTAATCTTGAAATTCTTGAACCTGGTAAGCCCCAGGTGTGCCAACCTTACAGAAATAGCTCTGAGCTGGGTTACCGGCCCTACAGAATTCCAAGAAATATGCTCCACACCCGTTAACCAGCCTTATGGTATACCAAGAATTACACCTCAGGTTGGCTTACAATCCGAAAAGGTTCCGCCCAAACCCAATATTTAAGGGAAAACTTTCTCACCTGCATGTGTGCAGCTCCGCCGGTGATGTTGACATTCGTCACTGTGCTTGCCCCAGCAGCCTTCCCACGCTGGAGCTGTTCCCACATTTCTGGGCTGAGCGGGATGTTGCCAGAGTTGAGTTTATCCAGCAGGATTTTCAGTGCTGCCATAAGGTCATCCTCACGGCCTTGACTTGTGCCTGGGATTTTCATTACAATTTTAAGGGTCTGACACATGACGCATATATACCTTTTTACTGGACATTCAGAACATTGTTGTGGGATTTTTGTAAAATAAGGAGTTCTTGTCTCTTGCAAAAAGTTGGCCATAGGGCAAAAATCATTCAAAAGTACATGTTTCTCCCAAAACCTAATAGTGTAACCACCCCCTAGAAAAAGTCCTTCAACTGATAACCTCAGTTTTCAGGATATTTGTTCACTTCAAATTGCACATATCAATGAAAGTTTACTTTTGTCAAAGTAATTACAAACAATGAAAATGTACTTGAGGATAGTAGCTGAGATTACCCTCCCCTGAGCATTGTGCAAATGTGGCAAAAAATGTCTTTGACTGCCACATCCATAAATGCACTATATACACTTTGGGGTACAGTGTCTTCTAACATCTTTTATCTCAGACCTTTGGTGCTAATGGTGAGCTGCTAGGTCGGCAGAAAGGAGAGCGCATACAGCTGTAGCAAGAGTTATCCCTGGAGGAGCAAGATTTCTAAGTCTAAAACTCACCGGCAAATTTGCCCTTAGTTCCGCCCTCTCCCATCGTGAGACTGGCTCCGACAATTGTGGCACCAGCAGCAGCTGCCGCAGCGCCTTGCAGACCGTCCTTCTCAATGGCTGCTTGGCGGGCTTCAAGAGCAGCCATTTTCTCTGGGTCAAGGTCATTGAGCAGTTTTTTTAGTTCTTCATTTTGCTGACAGATGCGGTTGTAGAATGACTCGAGGTCTTCTTGTTGACGGGCCAACTGAGAGGCCAGATGTAGATTCTGATCTTCCAACTTGTCATACAGAACCCGAACATTGAAGTCATCCAGATCGTCAGCAGATTTACCTGTTATAGAAGCATTTACATATTATCAGGTCACAGAAAGATGACAGCCAATAGACAAGCTGAGCATAAACTGCACTATCCAGAAAAAAACCTAACTCTTTATATTAGACATTACTTAACAAAAAATGTCCAGCAGTTTAGCAGCATTTTCAGCATTTTTTAACAAGCCTAAATTAAGCTCATGACTTTCACCTTTGTGAAAACAACTTTTGAAGCTAACAAGCATCATTCTCAACACTTGCCCTGGGTACAGCTTTCATACTCTTCACTGTGTCATAAATAGTACAGTGAGAGGCTACATTCCCATTGCTACTTGATTACCAGCGGACTTCAAATTTACACATGAGCTTGCTTTTTTCAGATACCAGGGATCATAACAGGTGGAATATGCGTTTATTCATTTATCTGATAAAAGCAGAACTAGTGCTGACAAAGGTTCCAAAGTAAAGATACTATGCTGGTATAGAATTGTTAAAATAACAGTAAATACAGAGTACATAGCACAGAGCAAGGCCTACCTTTATCAGCCAGAATGGGATCAGCCTCAGCTCCCTCCACTCCTGGTCTGGGGCCAAGAGCATCAGTTTTACTGAAGATCAAATACACAGTTATTTTGTAACGAGAAAGCCTGTCAAAAGAGAAGGAGCTTGACTGAAAATAAAGAACAGCCTTGGACAAATTTATAGAATTCTGATGGGACCTGAAGTATTGTCTGATTCTTCTCAGGCTATCTTTGTTTCTTTGTTTCTAATCTACACACTCTTTCTCTTTATTTTAATCCTCATTTTCTGAATTCTCCCCCCCACCCCCACAATTTTAGTAAAAAGACAAAACAACAGAAGACAACAACACTAACTGTGTAACTGATGTTATGAACACATTCTGCTTCATTTCATTGCGTTCATGCATAAGAAGTTTGTATAAAAACATGTAATCACCTGATATATCTCTCTGGCCAGTTATCTGGATCATAACGTAGGTACGATGGTACAGGTGGCGGCAGACCAAGTTTCCTGTACTGTGGCTTCCAGTGTTTGACTGGATAGATTACTGAGTCATGAGGACGCCAGACAATGACTGCCACCACAAGAAGCAGTACCAAGGCAGCGAAGAAGGCAATCAAACCTGTGTAGTGAGGGAAACAAATCTTTCATAAATCAATCTGAAAGTTTCAATAGGACAAGTCATAAAAAAGATAAAAAGTGTTATAAACGACCTATCACACCCCCTTTCCATGCAAATTGTAAGATCATGCAACGGCAGATATGTACCTCTATAACCAAAGAAAGAAAGGTATAAAGAACTTTTTTAACCATCTACCATAAGGCTATTGTCAGAATAAGCATCAATGTGTATTGCTCTTTCGAGTATGTATCTATATAACTCTATAGGTTTTGTAATTAAATTCCTGCATGTGGTTGAATGATGCATCTGATATGATATGTACATTTTGTCAGCTTTACTTTTCTTTACATATTAAATTTTAATTAGAGTAATATACAATATAGATTTTTATGTATACCTGCATGTGTTTATACGGTCCTGTACAGCCAAGAAAAATGTTCCTCTGGGATAATAAAGTATTATCTTATCTTATCTTAACTTGAGTCCTTAGGAAAGTAAAACAGTTGTCAGATACATCTATCTGGTAATGTAAGGCTGACATCAATATCTAAAGACCCTCCTAGTGTCTAAGAAGATCTTTATAAACCCAAACAGAAGTGTTACGCTTAATGTTTGTTAAACTACGCTTCTACCGACAACAATTGTCTCATAAGAAATGACATTTCAAATACAAACTTTTAAGGGACAAATGCTTGTCAAGGACATATGGGTCAAAAGCCCTTCTTTTCTTTGATCAAGGGGGGGGGGGGGGGGGGGTAAGAAAAAATGGGAAGGGAGAACTATCACCTCATCACTCATCACAATTTCAAAATAGCAATCGTTAATTTCGTGAGGTCTCATGACACTTTTCTCAACAACTGATTAAACATCTTCTTTGAATGGTTTATCTTTTGCTATCTTTCTGGTTAATTCCTTTTAAAATAATGTTCAAATATCTTAAAAGAGAGAACATTCTGTTTCAACTTATGATAACCAGTCCACGTTTAGAAAAGCTGTATTTCTTGTTGAAGGGCATAATGGGTCCGTATATGACCTTTTGGCATGATGGGGAAGATATTTACTTCAAAGTGAAAAGTAGAGCCATTTAAAGGTTACTCAAGGCCAAAAAGGGATGAATGGAGTCAAAGATACCCTCCAAAGAACAACATGAAGATCCTATGAGCAATACACCAGGGTCACATCCGACAATCACATCTCCCCTTGACACCTCGTAGCGTAAGAGGACAGAAAAGGTAAAAAATGAGTAAGTCTAATTCTCTACTTTATACTCGCAGTTCTTTAGGTATTTTTCCAGTCTCACTACCCTGCAGAGACAAAAATCTCACCAACAATAATTCCCCAGTCGGGCTCCTCGTTGGCCACACTCTGCTTGTAGACCCCAAGTCCCACCAGGTTGGAAGATGTGGCCGGCATCATGCGGGCTGAGGTGGAACTACAGGAAGTACCAGTCGCCTTCACTTCAATCGTCACCTCCCTGCAGATAGCAAATTATTCTAGTCACATTTGTTTCTTTAAACAACAGGTCTTCTTATCTTCTGTTACAGTTAGCACTGGACATGAAAATCTATTAAACGTAAACAACTATCAAGTAGTTCTGTGAGACTTTAAGATCACATGCAGCTCAAACAAAACAAAACCAAGGTTTTTGAAAAAGGGTGCCTCAATACCTGACTAAATAACCTTTCTTTTCTACCTCCCTGACAGAATGCACTTTAGCACTTTTTACAATTTGAATAAAATATAGATCAATACTCGCTATACTATTTTTTTAAGAGTTAAAAACTATTGCAGTATGTTTTATGTTCGTACCAAGAAGGCTCTTGCGCATCAGCAAACACATAAGTCCCAGCAGCTGTGAAAGCATGAGCAAAGGATGTGATGGAAGCATTGGTGTTGTCAATCAGGTTCTGTAGCTGCGTGAAGGCACCATAGTCAAAGGTGGGGTTGGAGTTGTACAGATGATTCTTCACATATACCTGAAAAAATTCAAATAAAGACAGTCTTAGAAAAAGGTTTTAAACACATATATCAGCTAATCATCATTAACAAAAACAGCAACACTTATTGAAACATATTAACAAAATTCACAACAACAAAATTTCAAATTGCAGAAACAACTGAAAGATATTGTCGAAAGAAAATTCACATTTCATCTTTTGAAGAATCCTACATCAAAGAAGTACAATGTTTAAGGCTCTTTTTTTTTTATCCAATACGCCAACAATTTTTTTTACAAAAGATCGGATAGAAGGGAAAAGATGCCCACTGTCTAGACAGAAGGACATTGCACGTTAGCAAAAAGTTAAAAACAGGAGAGGGGCTTACAAATCCTAAACAAGACTGGCCCACAACTTAGACCCCTGAAAACTTGTAAAACAGTGTCTATCTGATGTGTTAAAACTTGCTGCACCACTCTAGAGCACAAACATGAAGTCAGAACGCTAAAACTCACAGGATAGTGGCTTGACGCACGGTCGGTGGAGTTGATCCAGACATTAAAGAGAACAATTTCTCCCAGCTCCAGACACAGGGCAGGATTGGTGATCATGTTAAAGGGGATTGTGGTTGACAACAAACGTCTTCTTCCTATCGGCACACCAGAGCCCAGTGTTGGCAGGTCATCTGTAAGGTGGGTCAGAAAAGTAAAACACCATTAACTTGTAATCAAAGAATTCATTATGATCATGATTCTAAAATTATAATTTATTCACGCACGTTTGAAGAGACATATCTGAATATTTATCACTATCTCTAAGCTTTTGGAAAGCCTGAGCATGAACAGCTGCTGGCATGTAACCAGCCTCAGTGACTCTGTTAATCAAATGTCTCATGACAGTAATAATGTTTCATTTGATGGGAATGATGTATTCATCTCCTTTTATCAATTTTAAACAGTCAAAAATAAATCTAACTAGTGGTTGTTTTTTTAAATTTTCTATTTTCCACAATAAATTTAATGTCCTTAATAAAACACCTTTCACAAGGATCATAGTCTCTCCTTGCTGAGCCAAAAATTGAACTCATAATCATAGGGTTGTGGGTCTGATGTCATAACTACAAGACTTACACCCCCCCCCCCTCCCATGTCACTATCTAAAACATAATATGAAAACATGGATGATACAAAATGCATACTGATAGAGGAGACACCTCCAGAAAGCTATGATTTCTCTGACTTGATCATGTAACCAATAATCATATTTACACAATATATCTTGGGCAGATGCAGCATCAGTGTACACGGAGCCCGCCACACCGGTGTCAAAGAAGTTGATGACATAGACATTGCTGGAGCCGGTGGTGGCCTCGCTTGGCCCGTACACATCCGTCTTGGTCTACAGTCACAGAAAAGGGAACAGAATTTCAATATTATCAGAACAATAACAAAATAGTATGTGCATAGCACATCTCTTGCTTGAGTTTCACCAGATATCATTAACGATACATTATTTTGATTATTTGTCTTTGTACATTTCTTTCATCATACCAGGTTATTTGAGAACAATAAAGAAGAGCAATTTTGACTTTCAAGTGAATCAGTGGCTTGGTCAAGCTGTAACCACTAGATTTACTTAAAAGTATGTTGTGAACTTGATGCAGCATTTTCTAGCTGCTTATACTCCAGTAGTCAGCCATAAAACATGTATAATAGTCTTTTAATTACTTTACGTCCACTTTCAGTTTTGCTCTTTTATTAGTCAAGAAGTACCAAGATGATAGTAAACATTCAGCCATGATTTCATAGGGAAGGGAAGGGTATATTTTCTTATCGAACATCTTCACTATATTCCAGTATAAGTATCGAATATCATGACAGTCAGTACATATCCTACTTTAGCATTCCTATTCTCCCTTTTCTTGGTTCATTTTTCATTTCTATCCTCTTTTGAAACCAATTTGGGTTTTTTTCCATTTGTCAAGCAAGTTTTCTAAATATCACAAAATCAGTGCATTTTGCAAACTTACAAAAGCGGTAGTTGTGCCAGTGACAGGATCAGTGATGGAGATACTGATGGTTCCATCCGAGGCCAGCTCTAGCTGTACGCCCGGCTGAGTTGTGCTCTGACACGTGATGTTGCAGATCTCTGTGTAGTCTTTGTAGTTGTCACATTGGCAGCTAAGCAAGACAAAAAAACAAGACATAGCATATGGGGTCAATAGGTTTTTAATTTTCATAGCATAAATAAATTTCAACAAGATTCTGACTTGATGAAAAGTAAGACTAATCCAGTAAGCAATATTTGATAAAGTTTTAATACACTATGGTAGAATCTTTCAATTTTATTTACATCAGTTAAGAAATGGTCAATGAAGATACTTGAGATATTAAAATCGACAGAAGTAGTAAGCAAAATAGGCCATAAACTTGGAAGTCAGTTGAACTGTAGGCGGAAGAGCACAGGGTATACAGGAGGAGGAGGAGGAGGAAAAGAAAAAACAAACTACACTGTACTTACTATCCCAGACTGACTTGCACCGATCCTCCATTAGGGCAAGTTGTGGTACAGTCCACAGCACTGGGGTTCTTGCAGGTTCTGTCACTGGCCCAGCGTACCTCCGTGGTGGAACAAGAGCTGTCCACAACCTGCTGGCAGTTCGCATCCGAGTCTCCATTGACCGCTTGACCCTCCGCCTCGTCGTAGAAGATGTAGCCCGAGAGACACTCGCAGCTGCCATCAGAGGGCTGGTAGTAACGGTATTTGCCGATACATGAGCACATTGAGCTGCCCACACTTGATGTTGCCGAGCTACCACAGACCCGACAGTACTGCTGACCTTCAAGGTCATTGTAGGTACCCTCTGGACAATTGGTGCAATCCGCATACTCTGTGGCTAGTTCTCTGGTTCCATACATGCCCTGGAAGTTAATATGGTGTAATGAAACTAGGATGAGATATATTTGAATCGAAGCAATCAACAGTAACAGTGTGACTACTTAATCCTACTTATGATAAGTTTCAATTGGGTAATAAAAGAAGTCTTAGTAAATTATTTTTTTTTAAAATAGGATCATATTAGATTTAAAGACCATAGTACCCTAAACATTTAGAAATAAAGTGGCATAATCCTGGGGAAAGAGCAGTATTTTTTTTGTTCCAGGAACACACTTGATAAAGGATACATGTTTAAGAAAATGTTTTTTCATTCCCCTTGAATGAATATATGAAGTCGGTTAGAAATAGAATGATTTTAGATAGAAATTCACTAGCTATTATCCTCATTTAAACATCATTTGTCATGACAATTTTTCGTTGCTGCAAAAACCATTATCTTTCCCTACCACAAGGAAAAGTGCTAATCAAATTGTACTTTGAACAATCTTTGTACTTGAGAACAAGGTAACTTTGCTGTGTAAACAGTGGGGTTTTTTTGTTTTTGCAAGTCTTACCGCAGGACATGGCAGATACCATGGGGAACCTTCAGGACAATAGGAACCTATAGGGCATGGGTTGTCAGTGCCATGGTGAGTCATCGCGGGACAGTAGTAGCCCGCAGGGCAGATGTAGCAGTCCGCTCTATCCGTATCATTGCCATAGTAGCCGGCAGGGCAAGGGGAGCAAGATTTGGCCAGGGTGTCTCGAATGCCACTTGGGTGGTCAGCCTTGTATCCTGGACGCAAATAGAAAATACAATTAGCAGGAAATACGAACCAGACAAAAATGTTTTTCAGAAAAGTATATTTATAATGCTGGAACTCTATATCTGATATATCTGTCAGTTTTGTTTGTTTGTTTGTTTGTTTGTTGAAATTTATGCATGTCGTTGTGGTACTGAGCTTTAGAGCTTTTGTGTGTGTGTGTGTGTGTGTGTGTGTGTGTGTGTGTGTGTTTGTGTGTGTGTGTGTGTGTGTGAGTGTCTGTGTGCGTGTGTGTTTTGTAAGCACCACCGAGCACTTTTTATGGATTCTGGCGCGTTATAAATTCATTTATTAATATTATTATTATTATTATCTGCGTACAAATATACTGGTATTGCCTTTACTAGTATAGTGAAATTGTCCAAGATGACCATCCTTCATCGAGGTGACATGCGATTGTCTTAGACAGGTGGACATCTTGGGTAGTATCATTATAATAGTTTTAAAAATGCAAGGGTGGAAGTTGGAAGTGGCAATTTATGCGGCTAATTATCTTGGACTGGCGGTCGTTAAAGCAGATTCGACTGTATTTTTATTTTGTTAGTAGTCGACTCAAACTTCCTCCTAACATTTATGTAAATAGTAGGGTGAGTACCCCTAAACAGTCTCACAGAAGGTGCTACTGCAGGCACCATTCCCACTGCCATTCAGCCACCAGTTTGCTTCACATCTGGAGGCAAACACAGTATATCATAGCTCCAGGCTTCAGTGCAGACAGAAAGTGTATGAGTTCACCAGCAGCTGGACTTCACTCGATCGTTTGCAACAGCGATTATGTGTAATTGAGAATTCAGGATAAATCTGATAACTTGGTTCGTGAGAAATATCTTTTGTACATGCTTATCCATTATCTTTTATTAGTACTAGATGTTCAAAACTGTCTAACATTAAAGTTTTTAAAAAAAGTTATTGTTCACAGCTGATTTTTACTTCACAAGGAAAAAAGTAGAAAAATACCTAGTGGGCACATTAAGCTCATGTTGCTGCCCTCGGGACAGTAGAACGGGTAAAGACACAGTATGGGCGTGTCTGTGGCGTTTGGACACTTGTAGCCACCGGGGCAGATGTATGGATCTCCAGTTGTTCCATTACAGAAATATCCTGGCCGGCAATCGATTTCAATTGAGGCCCCTGTAATAAAAAGGAAATAATTGAAACAAGAGTGAATTATTCGAGCACATAACAAACAACAAAAAACTTGAAAACACGAGACTGATTTGTGGAATCTAAAAAGATTAGAGTTGGAAATTAGCAGTTTAACAAAGTCAGCATAATAACAGTCACATTTCACTCCGATGTAATTAAATTAATAAAAACAGTGGAAAGAACTAGAGAGGGCAGATCACACAACAGTCCCTACTTTTTTGTTTTAGTAGAGGTTTTACGGTACTCGAATAATGAATTTTCATAAATCAGTTTTATTCTCATAGCAACCTACCCTCTGGACACTCAAACGTCTCTCTGCAGGGTATGCCTTGAGTGTTGTCCGTGTCATTAGGGCAGTAGTACCCTGGTCGACACAGGGGACAGTCGTCAGTTGATCCTGCCCCAGGTGTGTCCCTCATGCGTCCCGCTGGACACAGGCGAGGCTCATCTCCCTCCAGACAGAAGAAGCCGGGAGGACACAGATTCCACTCATAGCTTGCCATACCTGAAGACACACAGAGAAAATAACCAAAGGGATACACTGAATTAACACACACATATTGTAATATAAAGCTGGCTATACTTGTACAATGTTGTTGGGGAGTTAAAAAGGGCAAGAGAGAGATACTTGTACATAAAGAACAAAAAAATGACAAACCCTACAGGAACATATCATGATACAGCTTTTTTGTTTAAAAAAATCCAAAAGATAAGTCTCTATAGAAATTCAAACGTAAAGCTAATTGAGAACATCATTTGCAAACTTTGACGTATTCAATTGGTAAAATAAAAAATTCTAAGACTAGTTGAACAATTCAATAGTGTGATGGTTTTTGTGTTCTTGTTTCCACATTCTTGTGTGCATATTAGTTATTATTCCTCGAGCACAGACATGAAATATTGATGTTTTGAGACAGTGTATAACAAATTTAAACAAATGTAATCATATAACAGCAGTCCGACAGTATCAAATTGTTACGCCAATACAGTTCAACCTGCTCTAATGGCCACCTGTATGAGACAATCACCTGTACAAATGGCCACTTTCCATTTTTCCCCTTGCATTTTTTGGGGGCATTATAATGACACTGTGAGATTGCCTCTTGTATAAAGTATCCTCTTTTCTCTTAGACAATTTTGACTATATCTCCATACCAGTGTAGTTGCACCAATAGCCAGCTGGACAGGGGAAGCAATCAGTGATGACAGCTGCTCCGGTAATGTTCCTGTAAGTCAAGCGAGGACAGGGCTCAGTGCCGTTGCCTTTCAGACAGTACTGGCCAACAGGGCACGGCTCTGGGTTGGTGGTTCCTGGGGTAGAGAAACATATGTTCCAAGTCTTGTGAAACACAGCTCGCTCGGGTGAAGGGTTTAAATCAGCACATCTCATAATTCTTAAGTCACCCTTAAACTAATGAAGTTTGTAAATACTCTATCTGCCTTAATTTTAAAGTGAAAAGCTCGGCATTGCGCCAAGTAATTTTATTCTATTTATTAGATGATTTATTGACACTCAGATGAATATCAAATTAGCATTATCATCTGCGGAACAAAGATCAGAGTTGAAGACAATCAAATCATGAACAGAGTAAAAAAAAGAAAAGTTAAATACAGAAGAACATACCTCTATCAATAAGTTCAATGATAATTTGTGTAGCAATAAGAAAAAATTGTGTCACTTGTTGCTCTGAGTTGGCTCGAGATATCTGGCCAAAAGCCTCGATTTTCTCATAACCTAGTGCTCCTGACTCCCCTGTTTTTATCAACTTTTAGGGCTTGAACAGATCTATAATTTGATACCACATTGGTACACAGTCAAAATGCAACAAATGACTCATTTTGGCGTGAAGTTTTGCACATATCACCCTGCATATAACCGCCCTTAACACAATCTCCTTTTACTGTAATCTTAAACTAAAAACTAAAACCACAGCTACCTCCTTTCAAAATTCACATCTCCATGGGGACAATCTCCAACAAAATTACTGAAATACTGTCATTAACAAGGTGCATGCACCTCACAGCTATTTGAAGGTAAACTGATTAAGTAAAGCCAGTGCTCTTTGAGAGAAAGAACAATGGAAGAAACTCATATCTAAGAGCTTAAATACCTTCAGGACAGAGGGATCCGGCAGGACAGCTAGCGCAGTCTGACTCCTGAGCAGCTCCCACTGTGTCCCTGTATGTGTCGGCAGGACACGGCACTGGGAGCTCTATGCCGTCAGGGCAGTAGGAGCCAGTGGGGCAGAGGCCAGCACAGACAGTGTCAGCAACACATGCGGTGAAGTCTGATGTGGAGTTGGGCATGTTCTCCAATGAGCCTGACTTGCAGTAGTAGCCAGCTGAGCAGTTGCCATACAGTTGGCCGTTTCTGAGAAAATAAAGAGATGTGGTAAGAATGTAAAATAGTAAAGCATTGAGCTCAGAAACAAGAGAACAGAAAGACCACTTCAGTCGTCCTTTTTGAGAATTTATCTTTTGTTCCTTCTTTTCACTTAAACATTTCTGAGCAAGTAAAGAAACGTTGGAAGTTACAATGATAAAAACAACACTGCAGAGTAATGAAAAACTGGATCTAAAGTAAAAGCAGTTCAAGTAAAAACAATTGTGAGGCAGTGTGGTGAAATCAGGTGCTCGTCAATATAATGAAAGTGAATAAACTAGCATTTTTCAGCAGGTTTATGGATTTTTATCGAATTTCGTATTTTGGCTCAACACCTTTCATGCCCACTAAAGAACACATTTCTGAGTGGATTTTACTGGAAAAGGTTGATTAAAGACACAAAAAATGTAAATTTTGAGTTTCCACTGACTCTCAAGCTAAGGATATTATAACTAATCTTTGGCAGCCATTTTCTCACTAATTTTATCTCTGAAACCAGGTGACCCCCACCTCCTTCGTTTGCAAATATCTGAACTTCAATTCAAGAGAGAGGGGTATTTTTTTGCTAGAAGCAAGACAAATGAACAAGCTTTATGACAATATTAATAACTCCATATGCCCCAAAATTGACTAGCGCCTGAATCCACCGCGTCGTGACACAATTGTTCAATTGAACCTTTTAGTTTGTTAACAATATTCCAATTTAAAAGATAAGCATAGAAATATCAGTCTTCACCTGCAAAACTGCCCAGCCTCACAAGGCAGGCAATCTGACTGAGACTGAAGTTTAGTCATGTTGTCGTATGTGAACGTTCCATCTGCACAAGGGATTGGAGTAACAGTACCTACAGAGAAAATACAAAAGAATACATTTTATGTCATCATTTCGACAAGCTATGCCGGTATACAAAATTTTGTTTTCTCCGCATTTCTTGCAAGGAGGGTCCACCTAAAGGACCATTCGTTTCCTACTGATCATCAGACATGAAAACCAGTTTGTACTCTTAGACTATACAGGCTGATTCTCAAAGCTACAATGATTGCACATCTAGATATCTTTGGATATTGCTAGAGCAAAAATTTATTGAATTTTTGTCAAAAGATAAGTCACCAAAATACTTTATCTTCCTTAGTTGTTTGATACTGCACCAGTTGATGAGATGGTACTATGTAAAATTTACAGGTTTTTAGCACTGGATATGGGATAAAGTATGCAAGGCTGTTATATATGTCTGGTTTGGATGATGAAAGACTTGCGAGTTGATTCTCTACAGAAGGATGGTATATCAAGTTAAAAGAACAACCCATTATAGTCTTTCATTAAAGAAATCACAACATTAACATCTGAAACACAGACAGCTTATGAAATTACCAGTGTAACTAATAGCTCTGCTTACCATTTGGACAGAAATTGTATTGTGGGCAGTCCTTCAGTTCTGGAGGAATTGTGCTTGGGCAGTAGGAACCTGCCGGACATGAGTCACATGTCCACTGACCGCTACTAATTTGGAACAAGCCTGGTGGGCAAATATTAGGATCTGCAGTGCCTTCAGGGCAGTAGTAGCCGACAGGACACAGATAGCCAGACGGTGTCGGAGAGATGATGCTGTCGTTAGCTGGACAATAGTAGCCCTGTGTGCACAGACCTGCTGGATCTGTCTGGCCGTCCTGGTCACAGTAGTAGCCACCAGGGCAAGGCAAACAGTCTGTCTCCGCCTGACCACCTGTGGAGAAAGATACAAGAGAAGGAGCCTAAGTTCATCGACGTGGAGTTACTTTTTCAGTCTTGTATCTTATCAGACACAGACCAGTCATTTTTGGAATTGACATATTACTGTAAGTTTGATTTCAACCTACCTTGTCTGTTTCATAGTTATAAAATTCTTTGCTTTGATGCAACGGACAAGAGGATCTGAAAACTGATACTAGGAGCACTATTTGTCCATTGTACTGGTTCATTCTCCGGCAGCAGATTGCCACGACCCACTGGGATAAGATATTGAGAAATATGTACAAAGTGTCTAGACCATGTTAAGAGGACAGAAAATATAATTAAAACTGAAAACTTTTCTTTCAGGCTTATCAATAAAACAAACACAAGGAAAAGGATGCTTCTACAATGTGTGTATTACCAAGTTAAAACTACAGTTAAAGCTCCAGTTCCCACTGAAGTTTTAAATGAATTCTTTACAACAAAGCAAGACATTATTCAGTGGTCCCACTCCCAGACAGTTTTACAAAAAACTTCACAGATCACCTGCTTTGATTCTTGATTACTTGATTCCAGAACTGGGGTCTTCAGAGACGGATTCTATCCATAACGCCTAACCCCTCCTCAACAGGGTTGAAAAATTTGATTCTTTAACTGATTCAGCCCGCAGCACCGCTCACAGCGGCTGACAATCTCCTGTGTTTTGACGAAGAGTCACTCAGAGCAGCTCTTATCTATTGCTCCCTTTTCTTCGCATCACTTTCCTCTCGTCTTTTTTCCGAACTGCTTACATTCCAACCCTTTATTCTGGTTTTATTGAATATTATTTTGTATTCTGAACATTTTTGTATGTCACACATAAGGTTTTTATCAAATTAAGATATTCCTTTATCAATTTTTTGTGAGACCACTTGTGAGGTCACGTAGCAGTCACAAATTATTTGTGTCCGCAGTCAAAATTAACTGCGGGCTGAATCAGTTAAGGTATTAATTCAGCGTAAATATTGTTTCTCTACCTGTGTTATTCCTGATGGTACCAGCCGGGCAAGGCACCATGATGGTGGTGCCCTGGGGGCAATAATGGCCAAGGATGCACTCTCCATTCAAGGTGTAGGTCATGTGGATGGATGGAGCTTGGCTGTCCGCACCACCCTCACAGAAGTAGCCAGCATCACAATCACCTGTAGGTAGTCATTTTATTTATCATAAGCAAAAAATAGGGAACATTGTAAGGGGTTGCACTTCGCTCTGCGGAAAAAAGTCAGATAGCTGTTCTCCATCCACCCCCCACCCCCAGTATGGGTGTACATGATGCATGCATGTGTGTGTGCGTGATTGCATATGCAAGTATGCATGCACGCACGTGTGTATATTTATCTGTGATTGAGTTTTATTGAGTTTTTGTTCAGGGCGTGTCAATGCAATAACAACCATGTCTTGCAAAGGAGGAGATAAGGACAATAATGACACTGAAAATAAGTACAAGGAGCAAATCACCTACTTAACAATAAGCTTGTGAGTGAGTGAGCTCACTTATGCATGAGTATGTACATATGTGAGAAAGCACAAAAGTATTAAAACATGTACGTGTGCAAGTTTGTCTGATTACGTGTTCATGTATGAAACATAAAACAAAATATACTGTGACCACCTAGCCCTAACCTAATTATGACAACTTGTACATTAAAGCACACCTGTAGGGAAACTGTTGCCAACGCCTTGACAGTACTGGCCGGTGGTGCAGTCCGTACACTGGGAGGCCAGGGACAGACCTGTGATGTTGTTGAATGTTCCAGCGGGGCACGGCACCAGCTGACCCTCAGGGCAATAGTAACCTGGTGGAAAAAGAACAAAACAATTCACAGTCAAGTGTCATTATAACGTGTCCTCTTTAGCAGAAAAAAATAGGTTTACTGATGCTATGATAAGCTTTAGTCCTGGTATTTTGTAGTTGTAGTATTCATCATTTCACCCTGTAGTTTTTATTCTTAGACTTAAAGCAAAGAAAAAGAAACATGGAAATGAAATGTATACTATATTCTAGAAAGCACATTTCTAAGACTTACCTCATACTGCAAATTTCTGTAACTTATTCCGTCTTTTAATAGAACCAAAGTTATGTCAGCAAACATAAAGCATCATTATAATGTCTTAAATATAATTGATACTCAAATGCTTGTACATATCACAAGACATATTTATATCTGTATATGTGTTCAATACTATGAATTTCAAATTTATAGAACAGAAAGCAATTATCAACTTCCAACTAGACGAAAAAAATAACCTATCCTGCCTTACCAGACTGGCAGGGTTCAGCCATCGTCATGTTCATAGTGGGGCACATGTAACCAGCGGGGCAAATGGTACAGTTGTCCATGCCTTCGTATGGCTGGTATGTGCTGATGGGACAGCCTTCCTCTATCAGAGCTCCCTCAATGCAGAAGTAGCCAGCAGGACATATGTAGCCTTCACTGGTGTTATTGGGCGTAGGTACGGTGCTGCCTCCAGTACAGACATAGCTGAGGACCAGAGACTCAAAGATTGAGTACAATATAACTTTCAAAACATGCATTGTTTATATACATCCTAAAAAACTGTCCAGTACAACAATACTCCAAAATTCTAAAATATAGAGTAAGAAACATGTTGATGAAGTAAGAATATAAAATAAACATTTAGATAATCGTTGATCAGATGCTACATAAAAACCATAAACCCACAAGTACATTATTAATTAAACAAAATCCTTAAGAAAGATAAAAATTACAGAAAGACAGAAATAATAATGCATTATAGCCAAGCTGATAATTTCCTCAGGCTACTCTCCTTGAATTGCCTAATTTATTAAGAAATGTAATGCAACTGAACTTCAATCTCATGGATGTTGCACTCATATATTTTTTAGAAAATCCTAGAATCCTACTTCAAATAAACTTAATGCAGTCAGGCACGGAAAACTGAAACGTGTCAGGGATCAACAAACTTGTTTGACATTCATAATGCAGGTTATCCCATAACGAGAAATTAAAGAGATATCAGTTCGGGAATGACAAATTGTCTGAGCTATCAGTGATTTTGAGTTTCCCATGTTCATGTTATCTGTACCCAAGTGTACCAAGTCATCACATACCCGGGTGAACACAGTGGAGCATCATCCACCTTGGTGAAGGCCTTGATGTTACAGTAGCGACCACGGGGACACGGCTCACAGCCATCGGGACTGGTCACTTCCCTCTCTGTGGAGAAAGTCCCTCTCGGGCATGGGATCGGGTAGCTTGTACCGTTGGTGCAGTAGTAGCCGATAGGACAGCGGTCGTTGCCAGTGAAAGTGGAGTTGTCGGTGGTGTTTACCTGTGAAAGAATGGAAAGGTAGTTGATGCAGATTTCATGTGTGTGTGTATGTGTGTGTATGTGTGCGCGCACATGTATGTGAGTGCGTGCATATTTGTCTGTGCATGTTTGTGTGTGTATGTGCAGGTAATAGTACTTATATATGTAAACACATGTAGGGGTGAGAACTATAAGACAGAGGGTTGAAAAAAAAATTATAATCATAAAAGTTCTTTATAGATTTTAGCAGACAGTAGCAGCTGCTTCACTGTTGGCTTACATTGTCAAAGACAGGAGTAGGAGAACTGGCTCCACCAGTACAGTAGAAGCCAGCCCAGCACTCGCCAGTGGGGCTGTCCAAGCCGTCCCGGTCACAGTAGTAGCCGGAGGTACAAGACGTGCAGTTGTCCACGGAGGAGTAGTACTCATCTGGGCCAAACGTTCCAGCAGGGCACGGGAATGACTGACCAGCTGTCGTCTTGGGTGGGCAGTAGTAGCCGGCTGGACAAGGGGTTGGGGTGGACACTGGACCTCCTGGAAGCAAAAACAATACCATGTGTGTCAGCAAATTTGTATTGGCATGTTACTGCTTTTTAAAAAATGCAGTAGCCAAGTGCACAATTAAATGAAGATTACCAAAATGATTGTCAAGTAAGTTAAGGTAAATAAGAACAAACTTAGTATAAGAAAAATTGCAAATATTGTACTTTCATTCACACCAGCTTTTTACTTTATGAAACGTTAACACATTCACCATTACATTAGCCAGCTCATAAATATATAATTTGATTGTGAAAAGTCCAGCCATGAAATGACCTACGTCTTCAGTATCATGCCCTTTCTGTCATTGATATAATGATCCATGAAATTTGACAGCAAAGATAACAAGATAATGAAACTTTTATTTTTACATGGTCACACACACACACACACACACACACACACACACACACACACAAAGACACACACACACACACACATATGCAATCAAATGTTTCAATGATAGAGGCATGACTCTAAAAGAGAGCCCTATGGGCTAACAAAATCTGTTCCCTAGCTTTTGAAATTAATTTTTCATTCTGAATTCTAATCAGACGAACCAAGAGACAGTAGAATACTAAAAAAAACTACCAGTTTTTGATAGGAAATGTTCCTTCGTTAAAGAGCCCCATACCTTAAAAATTTGTACTTATATTTTTATCAGTAGGCCCTATACATATATTTTTATATATATATATATATATATATATATATATATATATATATATATATATATATATATATAAAAGATGTATTTATATAATGTGATTGTGTGTGTGTGTGTGTGTGTGTGTGTGTGTGGGTGTGTGTGTGTGTGTGTGTATGACGGATGTGTAAATGTGTGTGTCAGTGTGTGTACATGTATGGGTGTGTATGTACACATGTGTGAGTGTACGTGTGTGAGTGTGTGTATGTGTGTGTGTGTGTGTGTGTGTGTGTGTGTGTGTGTGTGTGTGTGTGTGTGTGTGTGTGCGTGTGTGTGTATGTGCTTTGATTAAAAGAAAACTGTTATCAGATATACTCCTGTAGAACAAAAACAAGAACATAAACCACATACATTACTTTCATGACAACATCACAGCGAAAAAATGAAACAAAGAATACGAGGTCAAGTCAGCAACAAAAGATTTGAGCTGAGACCTACAATAAACAAAAGGTTAGCTTAATTTTCAGCACAACAAAAGAAAGGTTGTTAGTAATTCCCTCCATTTAGGCCACAAAATACACTCTCAGACTGAAAAAGATGCAGTCAATCTGAACAAGCAAAATAAATGTATTGACACATAAACATAAATTTTCAATAGGAAAAAAGATATATCTATAAGCACCTTAAAAAGTTTGTGGGTTGGCACAGAAAAGCCCATAAGTTCCACAATCATTATTGAAATCCTTACCTATTTAAAGTCTTATCCAGCCAAATACAAGCACTTTACTTTTTACTTGAAGTCATATCCTTGTTTAAGTATAAAGTTCTAAAGTTTATGAGACATTACAAGTAACATTTCCCTTTGAACAAAAAAACAATTTAAAAACCAACTTATCTCTATGTCAACATAAACTTGCAAATTTTGATAGGCTTTTCTGTTCAATCACAAATTTTCTGAGTACATGATAGACCTGTAAAAAATTCAATAAAAAAAAAAAAAACAAGAAACAAAAACAAAGCAAAGAGTACTTTCAAGAAAAGAGTAATACTTTCATTTGTTCTAGTTTCTTTCACAATATCAACACATGTGAAAATACTTTGTTAGAAAAATTTTAATGAAGAGAACCACAGACAATAAAGTTGTCCTTGCAATTTATACATGGTTGTTTCACTAAGTACTAGGCAATTGATTACAGAATATATACCATCAGCCTGCTGTGAAAATAATATGTTAAGACCAGAATTTTTTTGGTCTAATTGCAGTTACTTAACCTATGATATCAGTTACATGTGCTCAAGAAATATTTTGTGGAAATTCAAATTCTAAATGTTGAAAAAAGCAAGAGACAATATTTAATGTCGGTACATACAATTGTTAAACAAACAAAACACTTTGTCTTTCTCCTGTAAAATTTTGCTTTCTTGGCTTAGTACATTTAACAATTTGCAAATGATATTAAACATTTTTACCCACCAGTATACCTCATGATGCCTCCTAAAAGAGCTGTTGTTTTCGGTTACTTTTTTCTGAATAAAAACCCTTTCCTGAAACCTTTTGCAATACAAAAAAATCTTTTATTTGGCGAGTAAGTTTTGCTTGACAAAAATAAGGTGTGGCAACCAATATGGAACAAAAAAACATTTAACTTTGGATTCAAATTTTCAATTCTTTGTATTTTGTATTTCAATTTATAGATCTGAATTGCTTAAGGCATCAATTTAACAATCAACTCCACCTTGTCAAAGATGCCAAAGACCAAATTATGTCCACAGAAAAACAATATATATAGATTTTAAAAAGAAAACAATGTAAATCTGGGGATTTGGGATGATAGGTCATTCCATGGAAACGAAAAAGAATTCTAATTGGAAAACGTACAAGAAAACCATACTTTTAAATCAAAAAGACACACCAAAATCACACTATTTTTGTTTTTACGCTAGAGCCTTACTGGACACATAAAAAGTCATTTCGAAGATTGACACTCATCCCACTAGGTAACGGTAAAGAAGAAGAAAACAGGAAAGAAAGAGTGGCAAAGATGAAATACCAAAGAAAACATCAATAGCATACGACTGAGTTCAGACGTGCAGGTGCTCAGTTTTTTCCTACCACATTCTACCAAAAGGAGGATTGCACCCTCTACTGGTGTACAATGGGTCTATCTAAAATTCTGATCCCCTGAGGGACCAAGATCTAATTCTTTGTCAAACAGAAACAGCACAGACTAAAAACATAGAAAGTTTATAAGAATTCACTTCACTAAAAAGTATTTTATAACACCCTACGACTGAATCGTCTAACAAATACAACATAGTTTTAAATCCAAAGGAGTGTATGCTGTACCATACTTAGGACTTCAGTCTTGCACGGAAGTCATATCAAGTTCGTTGGTGAGAGTGGGTTTCACTGCATTTTTTGCAAACCAGCTTAACTCTTTATCTCCGGCAAGCCGCTCCCAGTGGCTGGCAGTCGGAATCGCTTTGCCGGTGAGCCGCTGAAAGCGGCTCTGGCACATTACTTTAAGATTACTTTTCGGCAATTGCCAAAAACAGGTCTCTTTTACCGTAAGTTCATTCATTAGATGAAGAACTATCAAAATAGGTTTGCTAGTTCCGCTTTAATGACCCATTTAATGATGTTTTTGTCATTTTTAGATTTAGCACCAAAAAAGAGCCCCGGTGTAGTGGGTTCACCCCCCTCGGAGATAAAGAGTTAAATATATATTATATATATGAATATATATTGATGTAATAATCAGACAGCAACAATATCATACACGAAAAGCGTATTAGTGATGTAAACAAATACAATAACTGTAAACAAAATGATGCTTGAACTCCTGATAAGTTCTCTTTGTTTTAGTAATGAATCAAGCAGCCATTAAAATACATTGCAATATGTGCATTTAACCAACCAAAATCCACGCCATCGTTCAACACCCAATTGCTATGGATCCACAGCATAACAATAACTTCCACATGCTAGATGCAAAAATCCACATAGAAAGGAACGAAATGACCAAAACACTTATTGTGTGGGTTTTTACCATTTATGACTGTAACATTGGCTGAAGAGAAAAAATGGTTTTATTAAGGTTAAATTGATATGAGATGAGTAATTTGAAAAACCCCCCAAAATAATGATTTTAATGAGAGGTGAAAATAATCTAGTTTTAGACATGAAATAAGGAAGTTGTTAAACAATTAATAGCTCTTGCAAGTGCATATTTATTAACAAAGGTGAGAGGAAAAAGTAATCAGTATTATAGAAGGGTGGGTTCAAAGAATAGAGACCAAAACAAATCATGCATGAAAATTACAGAAATGTTGGGGTACAAAAAAGATGTGGAAAAATCCACAGTTAAAATGAAAGGCATTTATTATGAGGAAGGTTTTACAGAAGAATTTCATGTCCATAGGATGTTTTTCAGAACGGTTAAAAGAAATTATCATCAACATATTATAGAGAATCAGTTTGGCAAGACTCCAAATAGTATGTTCCCATGAGGCATAAGCGTGTAAGTCAATGAAGGAACAGTCTACCAAATACAGGAAAACATTAAAGGGTGAGATGAAGTATTTCTGGTTTAACAAACAGTATTGAACAACAGTGTACCAGAAGACACAATCAAAATCTTCCAATCTCTAAAAACATTTTGCAGAAAAGCTATCAAATCCTTAGCTACTTCATCTTTAACTTTGGTGTCTAGTAGTAGTAGTTGTAATGTTCCATGCTTCATCTTTCTTACCTGCATTGGGATCACAGTAGTAGCCAGCTGAGCAGTCTACGCATGTGCTCTGTCCCTGGTTTGGCTGGTAGGTTCCGTTGAGACAAGATGTAGGGATGACCGCTCCTGCCTCACAGTAGTGACCGGCCCAGCACAGATAGGTTCCAGGTGTTGGTGTGTCTTGACCACCAGGACAGTAGTAGCCAGGGTCACAGAGGGCAGTAGGTACAGTGTTGCCCAGACCTATTTCATAGGACAAATAGTTAACAAATTGTATGAGAGACACTATAATATACGTATCTACTCACAATGTTGCACTACATGGATGCTCAGCTTTTATAATGACCTATTTTTTTCCCCCTGTAGTAGAGCTCTTATAACTCACTAGTATCATCACATATTGTTGACTGTACATGTTAGTCCAGTCAAAAAGGTGTCAACTCACAAGTGAAAGACTGAGTATCTGATTTCTTGCTGTTCCTGATTAAGACATAGCATTTATGGGAAAGGTTCTTTGCCTATCTGACCAAGTTTCTCCTATGAGAAGAGACCAAAAATATCAAACAGAGCCTTGGAGATAAAAACAGAAAGTTGCAATGAACAAGCAACCAAAGTGAGTTGAAGCCATAAGACACTTCAGTGGAAAGGGACACAAGTCTACAATATATCTCTTCAACTTGAGAGAAAAGCTAAACAACAAACATTTTGACCTCCTACTTATGCAATATTAAATTCTTTTTGTTAAAACTACAAATAAAACCAATCTCACCTTGACAGTAAGATCCAGCGGTACAGTTGGTGCAGTCTCCCACACTCTGTCCCTGTGGGGAACCAGAGAATGTTCCGGCAGGGCACGGCTCAGGTACACTGGTCCCGACTTCACAGTAGTAGCCCACGGGACACACCCACTGGTTGGCTGAGCTGCTGGTGCCGTTACAGTAGAAGCCACTGCTGCAGTTTCCTGTTATCATAAGTGAGTTTATTTTAGATGACAGAGCTGGAGGATGACCAAAAAGGAATCCAAAGATCATTAAGTGCTGAATGAGAGTAAGGGAGTCTCATATAGCCTGTATCATTAAGTATTGAGAGTGTAAAAGGATGAAGGACACAAGAATATTGAAGGTCTGGAGTCCAAGTTGTGTTTGTAAAAGTCACCTTGTTAAGGGAAGGTAGAAGAAAACCAGGTCTGCCTAGAACAACAACCCACAGCAAAAATTAATAATCAATCTCCATCCAATAACAAAACATACCCTAGCATGGAAAGGAATACTATATTCTGGTATGAAAATGGGTAATATACATTACAATCAGCTCCACTGCTAGTTGCAAAACCTAATGTCGATTACCCCTGAGATCACAAATATTGTTTTCTCTACCAGAATTTACGTTAAGAGCCCAGAACTGTTTGTACATGGGAGTAGGCGCAATAAAAATTATCTACATCATCATTATTATCAGTATTTTTTAAATCATTATTTTCACTATTTTCTTCATAACCAAGAGATAGTTTGACCCTGACAAAGGCAGCACCCACCTGTGGGAATGGCCAAGCCTGGAGTCTCACAGTACTGTCCAGGGTCGCAGGCTGTCGGTTTAGCAGAGCCTTGTGGGCAGTAGTAGCCGATGGGACACAAGCCACCACTGGTCATTTGGAAGGCTGAACACACACAGTCCCACATCGGAGTGCATGTGTCGTTGGAGTACAGATCACTGGAATTTTGCAGTAAGTAATCAGATAAGAAGAGTGATGTATTTTTCGAAGCTCAAAGCACTTTCCTGTGTATTCTCTTATAAACATGTAGCTGCTGCCCTTGTTACTGTCCAATAGCTCATTACCTAAGTCCATTGTCATGAAGTAGACGTAGCATCACCAGGTGCACAATGATATAACTGATGGCTAAAGTGAAAATAAAACACTGGCTTAAACATCTCAATACGTTGACATTAGAAAACAAATTCAAGCAATCAGAATGTGAGCCACACTTTGGGCCTTCTACACTTCAACAAGTGAACCTGATATTGAGACTTGAACAAAATAGGTAAAGAAAGCTTAAGCACTTGTGTTGGAACAAAGCACAGGTGAATTCTGAGTTTGCAACAGAGATAAGGATATGCTTCTTTTAATATCACAATAAAACCTTCTTTCATTTGTCACATCATATAGCCAAAAGAGACTTTTCACATGTTTAAAACTACTCAAAATGACTTCTCTTCAAGACAAATTTACGAAAAGCCGTTGTCATCACCAAATAAGACTGTTAAAACTCCAAAAATGCAGACAAATTTATTTCCAAAAAGTAGAAAACTGACTTGCAATGTTGTAGTTCAATAGGGGTAAAAGAAAAGAAAAGAAATGTAATGTGTTCGTGCACACGATGCGAGTTCATTGTGAACACAGCAGAAAGTAAAGTTGTAACAATTGCTTCCTTCACATCTTTTCATATGTTTATTCTGTACACAGTTGAAACAAAAGCTAATAAGAGTTGCCATTATCTCCACAAACTAACCTTGTTGTTCCATTGACTGTAGTGAGGTTTCCAGAGTCATAGGGCCTGCGCTGGAAAGACTTGCCGGCACAGAAGAAGCCCTCATCACAGAGTCCAGTGGGGATCACATTGCCATGTCCCTCACAGTACTCACCAGGAGGACAGTCCTGGCAGCTGGTCTCATTGGTAGCACCTGAGTGCAGACAACAGAATGGTACCTCAACACTGAGTAACATTTTACCTTCACATGCCACAGATAGAGCAAAATTCTATGTTGCATCAGAACAATTTATAAAAACCCTCCACTTCTAGAAACATGCTTTGGGCCACAGTGCAAAAGTTCATTATGGGCTGATCAGTTAACAACGATTAACAACAAAAACAACAAAAAGTATTGAGATATAAACATGGATCATGAGACAACAAAAATATTTCAAAGTACAAGGAACTACATGAGGCATACAAAGAGAAAATGGTGATTAATTTTTAAAAATGGGGGTAAAAACCATGATGGACAACTAGAGCATAACATTTTTTCTAACAAATGGCCATTTACCTGTTGATAAATTATTGCAAGTCTTGTGCTGTGTGCCAGCACATACAGTTCAATAACGTCAGTCTTAAAGTTACTAGAGTGGCTTTTTTCCACATAGCATTTAGTGCTGTCAGCATACTTTGAAGAGAAATTGGAGAAATTCGGGCTCATACAACCTCAGCGACATTATTCTCCTATGACAGGGGTTAAGCAGAAACATAAAGATCCCAAAACATAATAATCCATGATTTAGCTGTTGTAGTGAAGAAGATTGTGATTCAGGCATATACAGCCAAGCGAAATGTGGTGATCTTGGCTCTGTTCACATCAGCAAAAGATTTTATTGAAGTTTCAAGGCCAAAAGTCCTACCTCTAAATAAGTGGCTAATAATGTGTTCCACAGGCCCCTTTTCAGGTCAAAGTAGAGAAAAACTTTCATCAGACTGATGTCGGCTGATATGAGAGAATAACTTGACAGTTTGGGACAGAAACAATAGTAAGATGGACTACCTAAAAGATCTTACTAAAGGTTTTAAAAGTTAGCACTCTCTCAACCAGACCCTAACTAGTGAAAAGGTAGAGGAACATCGGATCCGTCACCCTTATATTTGCATGCATCTGTGTCATAATAGTAACTCTTTTTGCCTTGCACGCAAAACATATTTAATCTATCCACAACATTGGAAGATACTTTATCGAGTATCACAGCCTTTCTGGTGGAGTGTGATATTCCAGACAACCTGGCCCCAACAGGCAGAGTACTAGGCAACCAAGCAATGCACCTTCTGAAAGATCTGAGTTGTTTTGAAGAAGACATAAAATATTTACATTCAGTCTTGCTCCTTCTTACCTGTATTGTTGTTGTAGGTGCCTGGAGGGCAAGGGTACTGAGAGCTGAACTCAGTACTCTCTGGGCAGTAGCTACCAGTGGGACAATCAGATGGTGTAACTGTACCATTCTCACAGAAGTAGCCTGAACAGGATAAAGATATATATTTTATCAAAAAATATTATAATCTGTATTCGAATACAGGTATTCCAGTTTGTTTATATAAGACACATCTATTCACCAACAAAGCCATAAGTGATAAGTGGATGCCATTCAATGGTCTAATTATCTTATTATTCATTCACAGTGCATTCACAGTCCTAATCTGTTCTATGAGAAACATGGCCATTATTGCACTGACTTGCAATTAGTTACAATTTAACAATGTTATATCTCAAAATACAAAGAATGGGGATTTAAAATATGCGATATTCTAGCAACAAAAACATTTTACAAAAGAAGAACTCCCATACATGAAGTTACATCATCCTTTGCAGCATTTTCAAATAAAATAGATGAAAATACTGTTATCTCATTGCATATTGCTTAACAAAGCCTTTTATTGAATGAAACAGGCACTTGCTTGCAATACACTTTCACTAGCACTACTGGACCATACTTGTGTAAAAACATGTGGTTGATTCTGAGACTTTTTTGTAACAAACTACAACAAATTTTTCTCGAAAGACATGATATTCAAAACACCTGGTGAAATATATTTCTTTTAAAACACCTACGAATTATAAATTTTCCTTTGAAATAAGTCATTTTGACCAATGAATTAAGATCTGACTCTTATTAGTAAAGCACACACTAAATGTAGAAATTCCATCAAGAGACTTTGAGCACATACCTTCAGGACAACTCAGACAGAGCGGCATGGCTGTGTGGGGGGTGTATGTGCCAGCAGCACAGGGTTGAGGAGAACTCGACCCAACAGGACACTGCGAACCAGCAGGGCATTCATCCCCTTCACCAGTGTGGGTTACACCACTGTTTGGTGTGGCCACATCAACACCTGGAAAAGGAAAACAAATCTTAATGTCTGTGAGTCCATAATCCTGAGCAAGGGAACGGGTACTCTTAACTGCCTCATGGAGGGTGAAGTTTGAGGCTGCATTCACATTGTCACTTGGTAGAAAGCATTCTTTGTGTTCATATTGTGAACACCCTGTTAAGGGCAGCCAAGGCTTATGGCTGTTCTTGAATGCAGCCAGAAGGCATATATTCACAAGAACCAAAACTGTATGCAGCAAAATCCAGACCTACGGACACAATGCTCACTGTAGAGGTGATTAGTTAAAATGTGTAGCATCCTCTCAGTATAGTAATAAGAGAGCATATTGTGTGAGGGTAAGAAAATAAAAAGTGTAAAGGTTCTTGAAAAAAAAAAGGACACAAAATTTGACTCAAAACTGAATTGATCTTTACTTTACTTTTACTTTTATCCGCCGCTTATACCCTTTTGGGTGTCGCAGGAAGAAAGAGACGTCTCTCTGTCGCCAGCCAGAGAGCTTGGGTCAGGGGGATGCCGTGTGTGGTTAATGTTTCCCTGACTCCATCTATCCAGGTCCTTCTCAGTCGCACTCTAGCCTTGTTGCCATCGAATTTTTGGATGTAGGCACGTTGTGCTGGATGGTGTGTTGGTAATCGTAGTAGATGTCTGAACCATTTGATTCTTTGGTGTTGGATGTGATGCATGACATCATTTGTGCCCACCATGCGGATTACAGTTTCTGATTTTGTCTCACCTGGTCTTGTTTACTGCTTTTCTAAGGCATCGCATTTCACATGTTGTAATTCTTTGCTCTAATGTCTTGTTCGTGGTCCATGTTTGGCGTTGATAGGTGACTGTTGGGATGAATGTGGTGTTGATCATTTTGAGTTTTGTTGTCATGGGGATGTTAGGATGTTTCAGTAGTGGAGTAAGCTGGTAACTAACATTATAGGCCTTTTGTATTCATGTTTCAATTTCTCTGTTCAGTCGCCCATCCTCTGTGAATATACTTCCGAGGTACTTAAATTATTGGACCTGTCTGAGACTGTTGTTGTTGATGTGTATCTTGAGTGGTTCTGGGTTTCTGCTTACTTTCATTGTCTCTGTTTTGGTGATGTTGATCTTCATGTCGTAGTTGTTACATTCTTCGTTTAATCTGGTTGTGTGGTGTTGAAAACTTTGTTCATATTTGTGCGCCAGGCTTTGGTCATCAGCGAAGAGTAATTCATTTAGGGCGTCTGATTCTGTGTTGGCCTCTTTTGTAATTCTATCCATATATATGATAAATAGTAGTGGTGATAGGACACAACCTTGTTTTACTCCAGATGTTATCTCGAACCATTCTGCCTAGCAATTTGGCAGCGGATTATTTATCGCTAAACACACAAAAAGAAGAAAGAAACAGACTGACATAGACGGAAAACTGAATTGATGAAATGTAAAAATTGGAGCATCTAAAATAGCATGAGTGATGAAACTTTCAGAATACTGAAGCAATGATTTCTTGATCTCCAGGCTTAGGCCTTCACCTGGTCCCTATCCCTTAATTATAACGAAGGAAATCATTTATTAATTTTCAGGACGGAGAGACTTTCCTTCATGAATACCTTTACAACTCATCAAACTGCAGTCATCGTTAATTAATGCCACTTGCCTCTTTTGCAAGCAGTATGCACATACTACTTGACATCTTTGCACACACTGAATGGAACCATACAACTCATCATCATAAAGTGCAAGATCTAAAACGGACAATGGTGATCATAATTTGCCAATCATTTCTTTGCTTGGTTGCTCTCAATAAAACATTATTGTCATGGTCTTTCCCCGCCACACAACTAGACGGTGAAAAATAAGCGAGGTACCTGACACACAGTAGTATCCGCCTGTACACTGAGCAGTGGGAGCTGTGAGGCCTGGGGAGTCACAGTAGTAGCCACCAGTGCACTGGGTACACTCTGTCGCATTCGTGAGTCGCTCACTGGCTCCATAGGTGCCCTGTGGGCATGGCTGGTCATTTGCACCAGTACCTTCTGGGCAGTACCTTCCCTGCGGGCAGGGCTCAGCCTGGGAGCCGTCAATGCAGAAGAATCCAGCAGGACAGATGTCGCAGACTGCGGCACCGGTGTGGTTCATGTACGTGCTCACAGCGCAGGGTTGAGGGGAGGAGGAGCCAGTGGGACAGTAGTGGCCCACGGGGCAAATGTCTCCAGTGACACCATCTGAGGAACAGGAACAGAATACGTAGGTTCTGAATTTATTTTTACATTCCCTAACTTTGATGCTCAGGAAAAAAAAGTTTTCTACTTGTAACTTCGTATTTTTTAATAAAGAAAAGAAATAAATTCTACAAAATTTTAAAAACTCTATGCTTTGTGTCAATATTTGAAAAATACATGTAAAAAATAAAAAGCATTTCGAAACTTAAGCCTATAGTTCAAGAACTGCTGTCCTGTAATAGTAACACAAAAATTCAATGGCACTTTCAGAAATAAAAATTGGTCATAAACAAATTTCACCAACAAACCAGAAAAAAATTAATATTCTTGGTATGACAGTAGACTACCATCATCAAATAACCTAAAATCAAATTTCATTCCAAGTTGAATTGGGTTTTTTTTTTATTAAACTATTTTTTAAAAGACTGAAAGAAACCAAGGCCATTTCTTGTCTTATATCTCCGAGATGGAAGCCTCACATGGCTTTATAATAACTCCCTTAATAGATAGCTTTACTGCCTCAGTCATTACAATCTAAAATGGGTACATAACTGACTATAGACAGCAAAAGACCTAGTCAGTTTGTAAGTGGTTTAATGCATGTAATCCACTGTTCGCATAGTACGATTCCCAGGAAGAGGAGAATGTTTCTAAGTCTTATTCTCATGTCTGCTGTGATAATAATTGTTGTAAAGTACACATAGCATGCTCTAGAGCTTCGATATGCACTATGTAAATGCAATCATTAATAGAATTATTTTAATATTTTTCCTTTGAAAGATTTCACTCTCTAACCAGGAAATAGATATGACAATACACATGACATGACACTGTAACTAGTGATCTGTTAGATGTTACATTGGCTCACCAGTAGGGGTGGATGTTGCTGCTCCGGCCACACAGTAATAACCAGCTGAGCACTGGTCAGTAACTGAGTTGTTCCCCGCGTGGAGACAGTAGTAGCCAGCGTCACATGACACGCACTCTGAGGAACTCGTACTACCTGCAAGTACCAGAAAAAGACATTAGGAGGATCGGATGAGGTCTGCTACTTCTGTTTCTATTCAGTTCTTCCACTGTTCTCATTCATTTGTGACGACATTGGGGTATTATTGTACACACCTGTTATTCATAATTCAACAACAGAAGGAGGCATGATAATGCAAACCCATAGAATCTACAAATTTTTAAAAGGTAGAATAAACACAATTTACATTCATGAAGTTTTAATCTACTTAAGAATTTATTAAATTTATGAGAATGCCTAACAAAAATAGCTGTAACAGGTGCACAAAACAACACACAAGGCAAAGGAACATTGAAATAAGACGGGAAGCAGAAAAAACAACTCATTATAGTCCTTATCTACAGCTGTATTGTGTCAAGATAAAAAACAACTACTTTTCCATGTCTAGAAATTGTTAAGGAACGTAGAGACAAAAAACAAAAAAACAACATAAACCCATATGAACTAACAATTAAAGCTGCAGTCTAATCTTTGCTTTACCTTCCAAAGGCTGGTAAGAACCAGCAGCACAGGGCACTGGGGCCAAGGTGCCCTGAGGACAGTAGTTCCCCACAGGGCAGCGGTAGCCATAGGTCTTGGCCACTGGCTGATTTTCTGTGGAAGCCAGCTCACAATAGTATCCAGCATTACAGTCTCCGCTGGGCTCTGTCAGTCCATCTGTTGCACAGTACGAGCCCGGTGTGCAAGGGAAGCAATCGGTATAGTTTCGTAGGCCAGTGATGTTGTTGAATGTTCCGGCAGGACAGAATTCACCTGAGGCAAACATAAAATTATGGTAAATATTCATCAGCCTTTCCGTTTCATCAGGGTCACCTTAGCCTGGGTCGAATTGTGGCCAACCAAAGAGAAAATAGCTAAATGCAGTTTTTCAGAGTTAGTTAACTATTTACCGGAATTTCATTCTTCCACAGAAAACTTAGCCAGAAAGATGCAAAGAGAATTGATGATAAAAAACTAATCTTAAAATTCACCTTGGCAAACCTGCTCCTTTTGCCAAAAAGGCCAAACCCACACTTATCAAAATCTGAGCGGTCATGCTGTAAAAACGGCAATGGGGGTGCTTGTAAGAGCTGATATATTCCTTGTTTTGCAAACAAAACATGACTTGTATGATGTTAATATCTTTGAGTTTTAGTCAGTTTTCCAAAAATAACAAATCAACTGTTCAGTGTAAGACTCAGTCATACATCACTTTTCACAATGGCGAATGGCAGTTACCTTGGAATGATCCCTGCAAACAGTACTGTCCCCTGGGGCAAAGGTCTCCAGTGACACCATCGGTGGGCGTTGGGCTGGAGGCTCCAATCAAACAGTAGTGGCCAGCACTACATTCACCTTCAACCGCAGTCAGTCCCAGAGTGCCACAGTAGAACCCAAAATCGCAGGAAGTACACTGACCTGAGAATACAAAAAAAAAGAAAAGAAAAAAAAAGGAAATTAAATTATCTCAATATAAGAAATACAAATCTTATCAGGATAGAGGATAAGCATTGAGACTTGGTAATGAAACAAATACGGCACAATAGGATCACAGATGAAAGAACTTAGGCAGACATGGCAAAATCTTTAAAAGTTCAGGCAAGATGACCAAGAATCTGTCACAGTCAGAAAAAAGTTATCAACTATTACTGGTCCTCATATAGAGAACACACCACAAAATGAAAAAAGTCTAACTCGAGCCAAAAACTATAATTGTCAAGAATACCTTTTTTACCCATTTTTACCGCATCTTGCAAAAGATTATTGCAATCTATAACATTAAAATAATTTTTACTTATCAAATTTGAAGCTAAGCAGTTTTTCCTTATTATAAAAGGTCTTGCTTTTTATGGGCTTGCAGTCTTTACCATTTAAAAGCTCTCTGTCATCACAATACACATATCCTAATGTCATATATCATTCTTTTGCCTGAATTATGTACAATTTCAGGGACACACGATAAAACTGAAGCCATACTTGAATCCTGATTTCCTGTGCTGGCACTGTATGTACCCAGAGGGCAGGGGTTCGTATACTTGTCTCCTGTGCCATCCGGGCAGTAGTAGCCAGCAGGACAAGTGACTGGGGTTATGACACCAGTCACATTACCCAGCTCATAGGGATCACAGTAGAAGGCTCTTGGACAGGTGTCACATGTGGGCCTGCCAGTGAGTGCCTGGTATGTTCCTGTAGACAAACACACAAAGATTGCACATGAAAACATAAATTCATGAACGTGAAACACGATTCTGAAAACTCTAAACTTTACTATATTTATATATTTCAAAATGTGTAAATACAAAAATCAAGAGTGACAGGCAAATGGATAATTATTTTTTTAGCTACTCATAAAATGATGAAGGAGGTTGACAAAAATAAGCAGCAGTAACCATTCAATTAAGGAACTTTGGTTTTTAGTTGACACTGCCTGTTTGTGCCCCCCCAAAAACACTTGAGGATACAAACCAACAGACAATTATGACAACTAAATGTGATTATGATAATTCCATTATATTCCCACAGAATTTATCTTTCTAAAGAAGCCACTTCCTCAAAATAATTTCGGCTTCACAGTCCAACAAAAAATGAAGTGCATTGATAAAAACTAAAGCAAAGCAAATGAGTCAAACATGCCCACCTCTGTCACACATCACTGGCTGATCCGAACCCACTGGGCAGTAGAAACCCTCTGGACAAGCATAAGCTGCCGGGGAGGCTGTGGACTGACCACCTGGACAGTAGTAGCCACCATCACATTGACCGGTCTCTTCTGTCAGGCCTGTACCACTACAGTAGTAACCTGGACAAGGATAAACATGGGACCATTGGAAAAATCACAAGGCTGTCACTTCTGACCTATTCAAATGCAAAGTCAGTATCAAGCTACTTATTTTTATGTGTTCATGGGTTTATTTGCTTTGGCTTTACTGAGGTGTGAAGCTATGACAATTAATTTGATTCAAAGACATGATTATAATTACAAACGCTATTGAAGGTTTGCATTGATAAACATATCTTCTCTTCAAATGAAATGTATATATATATATATATATACATATATATACAACATGTTTCTAAAGAAAGGGATGCCTGGGTAACAAAAAAGCTGAGCTGTGCAGGCTGCACACTTAATTGTTAGCAGAACTGTCACATTTGGAAAGGGAAAAAGCAAGACAGCATGAACATTCTAAAAGTTTTTAATTGTCTTCAAATATTCCTAATTTTAACCCTCTATACTAAACAATGGGGTAAAGTAGAGTAAATAAAAGCTTTTCTTTTGCTGACCTACTTCTGAGAGGGACAGGGGGTAAGAAAGAGAAAGACAGGTCGAGCCAAAGCGAGGAATGTGATAAAAAAGAGAAAGAATGTTAGGCAACCATCACAATATTTCTCTTCGAAGTCCTTCACACTAAAAGGTATAGATCATATGTTCAACTAGCCTGGGGTACAGTCCATGCACTCTGTGACATTGGTGTTCCCTGTGGCATTGGAGAAAGTTCCGGTGGGGCAAGCTGTAGGTGTGGCAGAACCTTCCTGGCAGTAGTAGCCAGCAGTGCAGACAAAGTTAGTTGGGTTTTGCTCTGTCTGTCCCGCAGGGCAATAGTAGCCAGGGTCACATTTGCCTGAGAGAGAGAAAAACAGCCACAGGACGTTCATTTGAGGTACTATCACTTCAGTAGCTTTTATAAATCCAAACTGTCAGAAAAGAAGTCTAAACTAAAAAGAGGTTCCAAAATAATATGAATATATTTTGCATGTATGTCCTGCGTAATTAACATTTGAAAACATTGACATTTATATCTAAAAAGTTAAAATTTTACGTGGTATCAAAAACTGAGTTTTAAAAAGTGAAAAGATGTACAAGAACCATGGAAATTCAACAACAACATCAGCAGTCACTCCTCCATTCCAAGCTGAAATCTACAGACTATTTCAAAAATATTGTTAATTGCCTGTACATAGCCATTAATTGATTTAGCAAGAGTCCCTACTAATAATCTGGCAAAGTAACATAACACACACAAATCCCATGCACACACACACATGACACAAATGAACACTTATATGCCCAAACAAACACATACATGCGCATGCATGTACACACAAACACACACACACACACACACATGCAGGCATACACACACACATGCAGGCATACACACACACACAACAAACACACACATATACAAATGCAAAACACACACACACACACACACACACACACACACACACACACACACACACAACAAACACACACATACACATACAAATGTAAACACACACACATACACACACACACACACACGCACACACACACACACACACACAAGAACACGCACAAGCAAATGTAAATACACACACACAAACACACAAGACAAGACTAACCTTTGGGTTGAGCCAGCTCATAGTCATCACAGTAGTAGCCTGCAGTACACTTGACTGGAGCGGAGGAACCCTCTGGACAGTAGTCACCGGGCTGACACCTGCCTCCTGTTGTGTTAAACTCAGGACAGGTACACACATCAATGGCCGAATAGTTGCCTGTCATTGAGAAAGAAGGAAAAAAAAATCATAGAACATGTCACAACATTTTGTAGGCCCATAGAGTGCAAATCCACCATCACATTAAGAAGCTTAAGACCTTCTGAGGAGCATTCTAGTTTTTGGGGTTTTAAAATTTTATCTTAGAAATATCACCAATGGAAAACTTTAAAAAAGTTTTAGATGCAATCTGATGGCTTTGGAGCACCAGATTGACAAATATGTCTGTTTATGAGATCATGGTCTAGCAAGCTCCATGACACAGACAGTGGGATGTATGCGATAAGACTCTCAAATTCCTGACAGCGAAATCTGGGACGGTCCTGGGAAAATTGGGATGGTTGTCTAACCTGCGTCACTTACCCATTACAGTTGGCATTGCCTGGAAAGCAGCACCCGTGCAGAACCAGCCAGCGCTACAGTTTCCACTAGGAGCAGAGAGGCCAGAGTTGCCGCAATATTGTCCGGCTGGGCAATCTCGGCAAGAGGCAGACGAGTCCTGTCCAATATCGGGGTTGTAGGAACCAGCTGGGCAGGGGAACTCTGAGGCATGCTGTGTGCCCGTGGGACAGTAGTAGCCAGGATCACAGGGGGTGGCACTGTAGTCGCTTGTATTGGCCACGCAGTAGAAACCTCCAGGGCAGCTGTCACATGCCGACTTGCCTAATCCCCACATGATAGGAAAAAAAAGACCATGTTTGCTAGTTATCCAAAAGTCATATCTTCATAAAATTACTTTTGCAGGCATAGAAAGCCTAAAGCTCACAATTACTTACCATGTTTGTTAGTTACCCCAAAAGTCATATCTTCATAAAATTACTTTTGCAGGCATAGAAAGCCTAAAGCTCACAATTACTTACCTAAAAAGGACTTGGTGGACGAAAGTGATACGAAACCACCTCCTGAACAAGATTCTAATTTGTCTTAGTCTCCCCCGCCGCCTCCCCTTTCCCCTGACTAAAGTTGGTATTAAACTGCATTTTGAGAATAAGAGTAATGAAAGAAAAGGTTTTAATTGCATTTCCAAAGGAAACAAAATCAGACATTGTGTGACCATGGACTGAAGCAATAACCATTTAATCATAAGAATGAACCTCTTACCGCTTAAACACCAATGCCAAGAAGTTTTTCTTTTAAATTCATAGTAATATTTAAACATTAAAAAAACAAATCATTGCAGTGATTACAGATTCTAAGTCAGTCCCACAGGCCGAAATGCGAAATTCTTCCAAAACATCACTCTTTTCATTTCTTCATTCCACACATGATACATACTCCTAGCAGCGGTAACTTCTCCTTTCTATCCTAGCCACCTTAATTTCACAACACTCACCCTTCACACCGGCGTATGTGCCAGCAGCACAGATGGCAGGCAAAGCAGAACCTTGAGGACAGTAGGATCCCACAGGGCATTCGCCGCCAGTTCCTGTATGTATACCAGTGTCTGTGGGCGTGGCGGTATCCACTCCACTCTCACAGTAGTAGCCTGCCTGGCACTCTCCATCCACGGCGGGTGAACCGGGCGTCCCACAGAAATGGCCACCTGAAAAAAACCCAGACAGGACTTGAGCATCATTTTGGACCAGACCCGAAAAAAAAATTCATTAATTAACTTTAAGTTGTCACCATTTTCAATATTCAATAAACGGTAGAAATAAAAATATTGTAAATTACATTTTTGGGGGGCAGCATTAAGAGAAATCTAATCTAATTTAATTCATGATCTTAAATTGGAAAGTTTTTTATATCTAACATGTAGGCACCTACAGAATTTAGTCATAAATTACATCTGTTCATGCCAGTCCATTATTAAGAGGGACTTTTATTATGTATTAATCAAATAGTGTAGTGAGGACAAAAACCAAACTCTAAAATTTGAACTTGTCAACTCTACATATCATGAAGATACTATAAATACCCGAAGTCACCACAGCGATGCACAAAAGGCTCAAGACAGAGTTGCGTTTCAAGGACTTACAGGACTAAAAATAAAGAAAATTTAAAATGTCAGGGACATAACCTGTCTTTCTCGTGCATATGCTGTTATTAATTTTTCTTTTCAAACCCAGGCAGCCTATTATCAAAAAGATAGGATAAAAACCATTACGCCTACAGTAGAAACAGTCTAAGACTCCCACCCATTGTTGAGGAGAAAAATGGATGTCTTAGACAGGTGGCCGTCTTACACTGTGTCATTATAATGTAAAAAATACACAAGGGAGGAAATAGGGAGAGGCTGTTTGTATACAGGTGATTGTCTTATACAGGTTGTATTTTTGCCACTGACCTGTACATTGGGTACACTGCACCTCCTGAGACAATCCTGTGGTGTTGCCAAACGTTCCTCCAGGACAGGGCTGTAAGTCTGCCCCGGTGCCTTCTGGGCAGTAGTAGCCCTGGCGACACTCGTCAGCACGATCTCGATTGACACAGAAATAGCCAGCCGGGCACACATAGCACTGTGAAGCACCTGTGTGATTAACGTACGTCGCATTGGGGCATGGCTCAGGACTAGGTGAGCCCTGCTCGCAGTAGAAGCCTTCTGGACAAATGTTTCCTGTGAAGAAAAAGGCCATACCCACGTAGAAACACTCAAGGTCTCATCTTAGAATAAATATGATAATGCACTAATAGCACAGCATTTAAACTTCAGCAAATAAGATCAATCTTGCAATCTATTTGGATATTTTAAAACTGAAATGCCAAAATGAAAGAGTAGGTTCTTCAAAGTAATCTATGCAAATGTATAAAGTATGACCAGGGGTATTGTATTTTTTGTCACATTATGATTACATTTTCAAAATCGTGCTGTCTACTCTTTAATCCCTTCATTATCTTGGCCAGAACTGTCTTCAGATTTTAAAAAGGATATAATATAATAAGCCTAAAAAGTGCAAAGGCTGGTTATAAACATTTTAAAGTCCCAACCAACACAATTCAGATTATTATGGAGTAGGCTTAGATCTTCCCTCACCATTAGGGTCTAACCAGACTATATAAAATACTCCTCAGATGAAAGGTGATGAAACACAATATAAATAAATTCATCTTCCCTGTGTGGGATATCTACCTCATATCTTTCAAGCCAATACTCACATGGATAAAGGCAAACTGTTGCATCTTAATCTTATAATGAACACAAACCTGTGGTGCCATCTGTTGGTGTGGTGGTGTTAGCTCCCAAGCTGCAGTAGTACCCAGCACCACACGGACCCGTGGTATTGGTCTGACCCGTGCTCTCACAGTAGAAACCTGAAATACATTTAAATGTATTTGAATATGCAAGCTGTACAAATATCCTGTGCTCTATTAATACAATATATGACAGGACAAAATGTTTTGAATTTCACGCAATCTGCATAAGTCATTGCCTACGGAATTTAATTAAAATCTAAAATATATGGAAAGAAGACTCATTCTTCAACCTTCTTCTCTGACATGAAGGCAAAGGACGTAAATATGTCAATACGAGAGAATCCACCATCTGCTAAGAAGACGGCGGTGCTCTTTTATTTGCACATCTCTTTTCATCACAATATCCCGCTTTACCAGTCAGTCCATTTCAATTGAACACCTCAGACTGTCCAGTGGACATACACCTATGTTGCCTGTTAAGGAATGCCAGTATCATTCACACATTCCATTTCCGAAGACTGCAAAAAACCCATTCACAACTTGATAGACTGAGGAAAATAAAACAAAATAAGTGTCCCAAGGTTACAAGGACAAAACTAGAAATCAAGCCAGTGGTTCTCCTAATGCATATATATGCACAAGACCCTATTCAGTATTTACTGTTTAGTGCAAGACCTTGTCATAAATCATTTTGAAAAGTGACATATGACGGAGTTTTACACTGAGCAGTCGATATTTCTATAGCCAAAGCACAACAGACTTACCAGGACTACAGCTGAGACAGTCTCCAACATCTCCAGCCCCTGTGGTGTCCAAGTACGTCCCACTGGGGCAGGGGTTGGGTGTGGCTGTGCCATTGGGGCAAAAGAAGCCTGCTGGACACACATCGCCATACAACTGGCTTGTTGGGGCCCGCTGCTCTGAGCCGAGGCTGCAGAAGAATCCTGTACACACACAAAAAAAACACCTTTGAAGGAAAAAAATAACCACATTGACTTAGTAATTAACCTACAAGACACAGTTCATGAAGACTGCACAAACCTGCTCATGTTCGCCAAATTCATGATCCATCTCTGCCACACAGTGGTCATTGTGCTCATGACCAAAATTTTAAAAAAAACCTTTTCTCATCACATTCTTTTCTTGTCTTTGAATCACAGTGCATATAGTTGAATGAAAAAACATTCACACAGTATTCAAGCAAAAACACTATTTGACTGAATTATACTACTTTTTCAGAAAGTTAATGTTTCTCACCGATGATTGCCAAACTGTTGAAAAAAACACCTGTTCGCTATCAACTACATACTCATCTGTGGCACTGAATTTCACATTCCTAGCCTGACTTGATTTCTCACCTGCCCAGCAGGGTCCACTGACAGCAGTAAGTCCTGTTACACCGCAGTATTGACCAGGAGTACACAGCTCACACTCAGAACTGTTGGTCAATCCAAGAGTGAAGCTGAAGGTCCCCACCGGACAGCCCACACCGGTTATGCTGCCGGACTCACAATAGCGGCCAGCCGGGCAGATGTCTCCTGTCACCCCATCTGTTGGAGTGGAGTTGAAAGCTCCCATTGTGCAGTAAAAGCCAGGAGAACAAGGCCCAGTTGGCTCAGTGTTTCCTGGAAAAAATTACAAAGAACAAACTTGTAAATTAAAAAGGCAAGAACAAATGTTAACAATCAAAATGACAGAAAAAGCTGAAAAGACTATTGATATGATTCAACAGAGAGCAGGGTTTTCACTGCTTAAAATAGTAGGCACACTGATGTTGTTCGTCCTTCGCATATGAAGATGACCATGACTTCACAAATAGGCACACTACACATGAAAGAAAATGCAGAAGCAGAAGACAAAAATCAACTAACAGAAACAATCTAAAACTATCAGGTGATTAAACATGGATAAAAAATACATTTAAAAATTGGAATAATGAGTTTTAAAAGCTTCTCTTCAAAATACGGGGGGACCTTATAGAGCTCAACTTCAAGCCCCATTTTAGATTAACTCACCAGTGCTCTCCAATAACATATATAAATGTCACCTACGAGTATGTCTTCATCAAGACATCTCCGTGTCTACTTGAGCATAAATCTCTTATCCCCTATAGTAAAAGGTCACGGACTTAACTGTGACATAACATTCTAACAAAAGTCAGGAGCACCAAATATCTCTAAACTGCCATGAATTTCTGTGGTCCAATACACACTCACCTTCACCCAGGCAGAACATTCCAGGGTCACAAGGTGAGCATTGAGTGTCATTGGCAAGGCCTGTCTTGTTACTGTAACTGCCAGCTGGGCACAGGTAGTGGGTCTCGAACTCAGAGCTGTCAGGACAGTATGAGCCTGGTGGGCAGGTGGTAGGTACTGAAACCCCGCGGTAGCTGACAGACACGTTGGTAGGGCTGGAGGTGTTGGTCACATCCAGAGCCAGATAGTCACCTGGAAAAAAACATTAGCGTCAACTCAAAGGCCAGAACAGTGTTCTAATAAAAAATAATTGGCCAGATAATACACAGGGTGCTGTACTTTTTCCTTATGCTTAAAAGCCAAAATTGCCCAGAAAACTTTTCCCATCATTATAAAGTAATTGAGATTCCCCCCAATTCGGATCACATTGTAGGCATTCTAGAGAATGGACTTTTTAAAAAAAATAGCTAATTGACCAGTAAACTACATCTCGTCAGAAGAGAATTTCATCATGCCTAGGAATCAACCCACAGCATCATAAGTGAGAGTCATGCTCTAACTGATAAACAGGAAAATAACGTACCAAAAGCTTTACAGAAGAATCCCGCTGGGCAGGCATCGCAGTTGCTCTGCTGCCAATGTGGCTGGTAGGTTCCAGATGGGCAGCCCGTCTCGTTGTGACTGCCCTGTGGACAGAAGTGACCGGGGCTACAGGCCAGGTCTGTGGGTCTGGGCACACTCTGTCCCTCTGGGCAGTAGAAGCCAGCATCACAAGGAGCCGTAGGTGTAGACAGCCCATACTCCAAGCAGTAGTAGCCCGCGGTACATGGGTCGCAACCAGTCACATTTGTGTTACCTTCACGGTCTGCATTGAGGGAACATAACATCATTGAGGGAACACAAAATCATTGAGGAAACACAGAATGAAAATAAAAGTCAAAATTTGACAATCTATTGCCTACGAGGCAACAACTCAAAAGTGTTTCCTGATGGTGTACTTCTGTAAAGACATGTTATCCCTAGGTAAAAAAAACAATTTAGATAAAGTCAGGTTTTGAACAGAGCTCAGACAGTATTTTGAAGTATTGAAAGCAATATTGAATGTATTTAACAGTAAACATTTGTTTCTCAAATGCCCTCAGTCAGTGTCACTCTAATAACATGAATTTCTTACCAGAAATCTTTTAACATACCAACCTCAGAGCAGCCTCATTTTGACATTTATAAGATTTCATTTGTGGATTGTGCAATTAATAAAATTGTATTTTCCCTGAATACGTAAAGAAAACGTTCAAAGCAAATAGGATAAGATTTTATAAAAATATACAGGTGGAAAGGACATATACAGCATTCTGGAATATGCGAGTCCATATAAAATAAAAGTGGTTGCATCCAAAACGTGTCTCAATAATGAAACTGAAAAAACAAAGCTAAGAGGTGTCATTAAAATTAGTCGTTGGTACAAATCTCAATCGCTTTACACAAAAAAATCCCCAAAAAACCCTTCCTCAATGTTCCCAGGTCCGTGTGGTTTATGAACAAAAGAGGCTGAAAAGACATCCACAAACCTGAGAAGGTACCAGGAGAACAGTCCACTTCCAGGGTGGTGCCCTGAGGACAGTAATGTCCCTTCGAGCAAAGCTGTGGGTCAGGAGTTGAGGAACTTCCATTGCAGAAGTAGCCCTCGTAACAATCGCCTGTGGGTGTGGCCAGTCCATACTGGTCACAGTACTGACCCAATGGGCAGGCAAGCTGCTGGGAGCTTCCAGTGGGGCAGTAAGTTCCTGAACGCATACAATGCAGAGACATGAATAATGAAACTGTGGGAAAGTCAAGTTTTAGTGTGAGGGAAACAGCCGTGTTCACCATGTTGTGTGAGTTGACTAATTAGAACAAATATCTCATTTGTCCGGTCAGTCACCGCAACTAAAAATGTTACATAATTTGCATAAAGAACTTCTTTTTTTTTTCAAATGACTGCATTTAATGAGATTCTTAATATTATGTCATTCAAATGTTCTGACCATTTAAAGTTAAAATAAATAAATTGATATTGAATTGCAGTGTTATCATTGTAAGAATAGCCCGTCAATAACAGCCCACACATAGGGCTCCAAGTAATTAGCACTGACTGACAGACAAACATATCACCAGGCACAAGATTTAGAAAATAACCATCTATGGCAATCAGCGTGATACAATCATACTTGTCAACAACAACAAGTGACAGACCACTGAATTTCTGTAACATGCTAATAACGTTTGGTCATTGATCATAATACTGTACTCGATATGGTCTACTAATCAGTAACATGGCAAAGACCTATGCACTTTTGTTCCAGCCAAAAACTCTTCTTTTTCAATAACTTACCAGGTTCACAGATGTTTCCTGTATCATTCAGGGAGTACGCCGGGCATGACGTGTTCAGACTGTCAAAGCCAGTCACGTTGTTGATGGGTGTCGGTTTGTCTACAAAAGCCCCGCCACTGCAGTACCAGCCTGCAGCACAAAGTCCACTGGGCTCGGGTAGACCTGCACTGCCACAATATTCACCAGCTGTAAATGAAAACAAAATAGTTATTTTGACGATTTGACTGTGGAAATATCAAAACAAAATGAAGGAAACAAAACGAAAATAACTCAGCCCTATAACAGTGAAATGAGCGAAGAAGTTGTGTCAAAACAAAACACTTTCAGTGTTGGACTACCAACATGTATTTCAATATGAAAAATATGCACTAGATCTAAATTCAAGTGAACAAAAAAGGAGAAAAAAATGGTCCTATATATAAAAGAGGTCAGAGAAAGAGAGGAAAAGAAAGTGTGGGAAGTCACTGTGTATTGAACACCAATTTGTACTAGGGAGAGAGTTGATAATGAACAATTACCTGGACAAGAGATGCAGTCGTACATGTTGTCAGCATTTGTCCTGTTGTTGTAGGTACCAGGTGGGCAGTCAAACTGGTGAGCAAATTCTGTACCAGCTGGGCAATATGCACCTGGTGAGAGTGAAAAAAAATGTGGAATGTGAAAGGATGTTCCACAAACTTTTTGTGAATAAATTGTTCATTAAGCAAAGATATATAATTAAGTCTGCAATCTAAGAGGATGTGTTATTTCTAAACCAAAGCTGTGTGTTGATCATACCAATGCAAGACCAGAGACACAGCATTGTGAAAATATCTGCAATCTTCCATAAAAAGAATTTGACTGCATGTAGTATTATGCAATTCAAGCAAGAATGTATTCACATAAAAGGTTAGAATGTAAAGTATATATAAATTACAGCAAATATAAACAGTTTATCTTCCTACAAAATTAGAACAAAATCTTCTGCTTAATAGAAAAAAGACATAATATCAGTCTTGCTCTTCAGAGCTCAATGGGACAGTTGAACAGCAGATTAAATGCAGGTCAGACTATGAATGGAGAACAAAAACTGGCCTAGCAAATTTTAACTTAGGGCCACAGTGGAATTAATAAAAGAGCGTAAGAAAGACACTTCAATATTCTTTACATATTTCAATGGCAACAATGTTGTTGTAATCCTTTACCTTTTGGACAAGGTGTTCCTGAGTATGTTGTAGAGTTTGCCAAACAATAATAACCAGCTTCACACGTCTTACACACATCCTGATTGGTCAAATCATTGTACGTTCCAGCAGCACATCCAATAGGATCAGCTGTCCCTTGAGGACAATAATGGCCAATGGGACAGTCACCTAAGACAAACAATTATCATACACTCATGAAGGAGATTATAAATCTCATGAACCTGAGCAATATTAATACGAACTATGAAGAGTAAATGTAAGGCTCCAAAACAAGGTAAGAGTTAAAATGCTTTTTAGTCATGTTTCCCCATGAAGACTTATGAACGTGAGGTCTCAATGCTTTAATAGTAGGACCTGAGTAGATCACAATCTTTGTCACATTATTTGCTACACTTTGGATAAACAACCATTTCTGATTAATTCTGTTACACAGTCCAAAGTGACAATTTAAAAAATCCATATCACTTTTATTTTTACAGGGGACAGCAATGGTACAAGAAACACTATTCTCTTCAAATGTTTTTTTGACCTAATTACTGTTTATTCTTCAACATTCATGAAGCTAATGACTTGTATTTTATGACGGTGATATTCCTAGTAATCACCTCCAGTGCCTGTGTGTGCTCCATTGGGAGTGGCTGTATCTACACCACTGCTGCAGTAGTAGCCTGCATCACATTGCCCACTGACTGCAAACAGGCCAGGGGTAAGACAGTAGCTGCCACCATCACATTCCGTACATTCGTTCTGCGCGGCCAGCATCTCTGAGAGGAGAACACAAAGGGAAACAATTGTTTTTTTAATTGTAGATGTTTTTACATCCCCATTGACACAATTTAGTGGGATAAATAAAGAAAAGCATAGAGTTTGATATTCACAAAACGAGAAGGCAAAAGCAGTATGATGATAAACTGACCACAGAAACATAAGTAATATTAAATATATAAATAATTAATATACAGTGGCGGTGGGTAGTGAAGGGCTCACGGGCTTGAGCCCCTACCCCCTTCCCATCCACCACCCCAAACTCTATCCCAAAGTAAATGAAAGTGAAAGTTTCTCCATAATGAAATACGCAGTTGAAACCGTTATTACCGCACGCAATGAACACAGAGTGATTAACTTGGCCGCTTGCTCGCTTATCCAATCACTGTTGTGACCGCTTACAACTATAGTAACCCAGCAGCCAATCAAAAGTCTTTAGGGCTTAGCGAAGATGAGCCCTTTTCCCACAGCCCTTCCTTTAATGAAACTCTTCTTGTAAAAAGGTAGAAGACTGGGAAAAAATAACACTGTACCGAGGGCTCACGCTCTCCTAGCCCTGACAGTGGGGTGAAAGTTTACGACACACTTTCCCCCACTGACACAGATACTTATGCGCTCATTGGTTCTTTGTTGGGTGCGTTCAACTTTCTCGACTACACGGCCTAATCCAGCTCATAGAAGTATTATGTTTGAAGTATTGTGTGTGCATGTTTGTGTTTGTGCCGCTGAGATTTAACAGTTATAAACCAGGTCGAACTACTTTTAAGGCAACTTTTTCATCACACGAAAACTAATTACAGGAAATTAGAGGTGAATCGGCTTCGTCCCCACCATCAACAAGAATTTAACTAAGAACAAAGAGATGGAAAACAAAGGCAACTCTTCTCGTGGAATGGTTCTCAAACTGCCGTGGCTCACCGTAAGTATAGAAAAATCATCTCTGTTTAGTTCTTATTTCTTGCTATTTGGTGGTAAAGAACTGGAAGCAACCTAAGCCCCACCAAAATTTTGGTCCACCCACCGCCACTGTAAATATACTTTTTTATCATTGTTTTTGTTACACTATAGTCAGTAGCTAAAGCATCCTTTGATTATAAGCCGACATTCAAGACATCAAAAGCCCACAACAACTTAGCATGTTTTGTGGTCAGTGCTAATAATTTTTTTAAACAAACAGCAGCATCATTGGTGTCACGACGTGGTGGAATCACGCACTCATCAATTTTTCGGCATATGAGGTTATTGGTATCATCTTAAAAGCTGTTCATTTGCCTCCCTTTTGGTGAAAAAAGATCCATCTATGTTGAATAGAAGTAAAAATATATGCAATTGAAGGAGGTCAGGGTAGTCTTGTTTTAGAGGAAAAATTTGAGAGAAAATGGCTGCCAAAGTTTGGTAACTTCCATAGCCTGAAAGTCCTTGGAAACTGAAAATTTACATTTTGTGAGCCTTTAATCAATCTTTTTCAGTAAAATCCACACAAAAAAAGTATTTTTAAAAGGACATAAAAGGTGTTGAACCCCAAAAAAAAGAAAATAAGAAAAAAAATTGCCCATGGGTAAAAAAAAAATGCCGATTACTTTGATTTCATTATTTTGACAAGCACCTGATTTCACTGTGATGCCTCACATTTTAAAAACCTGAGACTCTTCAGCAATGATGTCTTAGTGCAATTTTAATAATGAAGAAAAAGTAGACTTAAACTAAAACCAAGATTCTATGACATTTCAAGGTATGGTCAAATGGGGAACACTTCCCACCTGTTGGTCCATACGTCCCTGCTGGACACAGTGACATGTTGAATCCTGTGTAGCCCTCACAGTAGCGTCCCACGGGGCATGGATCTGCTCGGTCTTTGTTGACACAGTAGTAGCGTTCCGGGCATGCATCACAAGCTGAAGCCTGGGTGTGGTTCATATAAGTGCCTGGATAGGGAAGAAATAAGAACCATCAACCATACAAAGACCACAGTTTAGTTTTAGTATTAGCAAGAGCTTTATGGCCCTTGCAACACAATTGGGTCGTATAAGCATCGAAGATTAGAGGTGTTACTAGAGAGTAACATATAAACAAAAGAAGGAGAAATAAGTAGGATAATAGAAGTTAGAGAAAAGACACTTAAATGCTACAACTCTTGATGACCACATCTTTATCAGGGCACTGCGAAGTGACGACCAGCAATGGCATGTTTGTAAAATTGTGCTGCATTGGTGTAATATTATCGTGTATTTGGTATTCTTTGTATGTATATTTTTGTGTTTAATTATGTATTGTGCATGTATGTATGTGTGTTAGCCATTGTAATCAAAATTTCCACACAAAGATCAATAGAGTGTAATTTATCATTATCTAATATTGGTTTACTTTCTTCAACCAAAAGATACAACTCTCAATTAAAATATTTTTTTAAAAATCAAAAGAATCAAATGTAAAGCCTACCATCATCACAAGGCAGAGGACTGGCTGTTCCTTGAGGGCAGTAGGTTCCTGCTGGACAGATGTCACCTGTGACTCCATCAGTGGGTGTGGCCGAGCTGGCGGCTCGCTCACAGTAATAGCCTGGGTCACAGGAGCCTGCAAGGGGGAATAACACAACTCAGTGAAGAACAATGCTGATGAAAAGTAGTTTACATAAATCAGCACAATAATGGTTACATTCCACAAGGAAGACGAAGGACATTAGATATGCATTTAAAAAAGAAAAAAAATCATATTAAATTATAGAGAGCTATACAAGTTCCGTCCAGCTTAAGAACTCACATACATGAGGGTAGAAAATTACGAAGTGAACGAGTTAATAATAAACTTCTAAAAATTATTAACTCACCTGTAGAGTTAGAGAGTCCATCTGAGACACAGTATTGACCGCCTGGACAGTCCAAACAGTCTGTGTCTGCAGTGCGGCCAGTATCAGGCAGGTAGGTGCCAGCAGAGCATGGGACAGGGGTGCCTGTGCCCTCTGGACAGTAGTGACCGCTAGGACAGTAGTCTCCAAAGGACTGGGAGATAGGGCTTTGGGCATCAGAACCCAGAGTACAGTAATGACCTGCTGTGCAGTTCCCTGCTGGGCTGGTCAAACCTGAGGGTTGACAATAATGCATTGATAAATAACTACCATGAAAATTAATGGAAAAGTCAATGTTACTTTTTTTTTACAAAGTAAAAAGATAGATAAGTATTTGGTATTTACCTTTCACTCTCAAAAAAAGAGAATGGAGCAAACTTAAATGCCATGTTAAAATTTAATTTTAAGTAAGGAAAAAGAGGTATGAGTAATTAAGTTGAAGTTAATGATGGCTACTCATCACCAATTCATGCTAGTCAACTATCTCTTTTTATTAAGAATATCATAACCTTTACGTTCAGATAACATTCAAGACTTCAAATGACAGACAGCTACAGGACTCTCAATAGAACATTTTCAAACGCTTTTATCATCAAACAGAGAGTGTCATAGTATCCATCAAATAACAAAAACTTCCATATTAAATCAGCACTGTCAAAATGAGGAACAAAAATTACATCTGCTTTTTATTTCTCTTAAAAGGATCAAAGTAATTTTTAATAGCTTTTAACAATCCAAAGGAGGCTCTCAAGACTCACAATAACTCTTTCTGTCAGTCAATTCATTCAGTGAACTATGTGATACACAATGTCAACAACATCTAGATGTCAACCCCTATCATTTACATAAACTCTACCTCCAATATCTCCTTCGTGTATTAACAAACAGAGGACAAAAGGAAAAAACACCTCACCTTTCACTTGATACAAAAATTCAGTTGTAGAAGCCAGGAAATGAACCAGTGCTCTTAAGTGCACAATTAAGTAAACAGTAGCGTAGGCTAAGACACCCGAAAAGAAAAGTTAGCAAACTTAAACTTGAAAGCCTCAACTCACCTTCCACATCACAGTACGTGCCCGGTGTACAGGCCTGGCATTCTGTCACATTCTCCAGTCCTACAGCATTACTGAAGGTTCCAGTTGGACACTTGACACCCTGGTCTGAGCCCTTTGGACAGTAGTAGCCGGGCAGACATTCGTAACCGGTGGCACCATCAGTTGGACGAGAGGAATTAGCACCCGATACACACACATACCCGGCATTGCACTGGTCGGCTGGAGCAGTCAATCCTGGTGATGACAAATGTCTCAGTCAGTTGTGCTATTTCTTGTTGCAGTAGAAAAATGAATGTGTTTCTATGTTTGACATATATCTTAACTTAGACCAAAGTGTTCTTTTTTAGACCATACAATACTTGATAAATCTAATATAAAAACATCATCTTCTTCAAAGTAGAAACTTGATGAAATCCAAATATCAGCTCTGACAAATTTTAATGGGATGAACAGGCATGAGATAAAACCAAAAGTTAAAGAATACAATAAAGATATAAACAGCTATTCTCGCTGCATTGTTCAAAAGACAAACATTAAATCAATTGTCTAGAGTAAGACTTCCCCATATGTGAGTTCGAAAAGTGACATATGAGGGCATCTTACACTGAGCTGTCGATATAGTCATAGCAAAGCCTGAGAACCGAAATGATATTTTGCATCTCGTGTAAGTCCCTTATTCCTTCAAATTCTCCATGCTGCTGACATAACTGACTACATCTCTTAGTATAATGTTATTCACTCTACCCTGATTCCCTTTAGTCAGTTCCACATACAGCAAATCGTTGAGTAAAATATCTGTAGCAATGAACACACTGCCTCTCACCATCAGAGTCACAGAAGTATCCCCCGGTGCACATCATACACTCTCCCACAGTCTGAAGAAGGCTGCTGTTGCTGAATGTTCCAGCAGGGCACGGGAAACTGGTCTTCACTCCAGTGTTGGCAGGACAGTAGTAGCCTGGTGGGCAGTCTGCTGGGATGGTCACTCCATCTCCTGGGATTCCTGACAAACTGGCCACTTCAGCTGGGTCACAGTATCTGGATCATCAAAAGTACAGCAAGCATATAAACAAAGGGAACCACATTGCCATGTCTGTACTAGACTACTTCAACATTTAGATAAAACTTTCCATAATGAACACTGGCAAACTAATAGAATTTGGAACAAGTTTGTAAAAGAATAATAATATTGCTTACATTACCATTTCCAAAATGAAACTTAATACTAAAATGCTTCAGTAAACAAAAACCATTAACACATGACTCAAACATGCCTTGTTTTGAATTTTGAAAGCACAGAAATTATGTTTAGTGGTATCAACAGTAGACAAAATAAGCTTGGTTTCCGTTTTCCTTTTTGAAAAAGAAAGAAAGCCAACTTATCACAAGTACACATAATGCACTGATTTCACAAAGTGAAAAATTATAATCAGATTTTAACTGAAAAATGTCCAAAATTTTCTAGTCGATATACAGTGTACCTGTGATAAAATTATACATACTGACCACAGCAGCTATTGTGAAATTAAATCAAGTGATGGGACACAAGTCTGCAAACAAATATTTAAAACTTTCTCTTGAGATCTACTCCTTACCTTCCGGCTGGACAGTCCTTGCATGCACTCTGTGCTTCCTCGTCTTGGTAGTATCCAGGGTTACAGGTGATGGGCTGACCGCTGGCAACAGGGCAGTAATGACCAAGAGTACAGTTGTACTCAACTGGGGCTGGACTCTCTTGACCTGCTGGACAATAATACCCAGCGCTGCACGGTCCAGTGTAATTGGTGTTACCTGTGCCGGCACAGTAGTAGCCAGCAGTACACGCGTCACAATTGGATACATTGACGTTGCCTGGTGTGTTGCTCATCGTGCCAGCTGGGCAAGGAGTGGGCGTGGCGGAGCCTGACTCACAGTAGTGACCAGCAAGACATTCAGTGCTGGGTGGGTCAGGCCTGCTGTCTCCACCAGGGCAATAGAAGCTGAAATAAACCATAATCTCTCCTTAACCAAATGCTCTGAGCACTTCGAGACATAATATTTTCATCAAACTGTTGGCGTTAACATGAACATTAATTTAAAAGAAATAGGCGTACACATTTTGTGACTTCCATTGTACTGTTTTTAAATAGTTCAAATACTGAAATAAAAAACATAATAGACTTATATATATGACTCATGCTGTGCTGTTTGTAAGTAGCACAAGTCTTAAACTTCGAGATTCAGAAATTGACACTAAATGTACTAAATTTTGTGAAAATAAAAATGCACAATTCAAGGAAATAAACCAAATCTAAAACACTGCACTTTTAAACTCACATATGTAAATTGACAGTTTCATGTTGCTACAACACACAAATTAACAAACTGATTCACTGCCATCAGCAGCAATTGTTATGCTGCAAATTTCTACCTATAGACCGCTAAAAAGCACTATCACTATCAACATAGTGCTCAAATTGGATGGATCCTGTCCGCCACCAAATCCAAGTGTGTGTGCATGTATGTGTGTGTGTGTGTGTGTGTGTGTGTGTGTGTGTGTGTGTGTGTGTGTGTGTGTGTGTGTGTGTGACGGTATGTGTGTGTGTGTGTGAGTGTGAGTGTGCGTGTGTGTGTGTGTGTGTGTGTGCGCGTGCGTTTGTGTGAGTGTTTGCATATAGGCTCCTATGAACACCAGTTGCTGGTACTGTACAGGACTCACCCACATTTCAAAACACACTGCCAAAATACAACAATATACAGTGTAGAAATTTATATTCAACAATAATTCAGTCATTGTACAATATAGAATGTACACAACTTGTATTCAACAGTAAATCAGTCTACAGTCTCCTCACCCAGCATTACAAAGTCCCTCCGGTGCATGTAAACCACTGATGCTACAATACTGGCCAGCGGTACAGTCCACAGGATACGAAGCACCACTTGGGCAGAAGGTGCCCGGCCAGCACTCTCCTCCAGTGTAGTTAGCCAACGGACAAGAGCATTGCGAAAGGTTTGAGGTGGTGTTGTCACTGAACGTAGGCATGGAGGAGAACGCTCCGCTAGTACAGTACCAGCCGTCACTGCAGTTGCCAGATGGAGCAGACAGGCCATCAGCTGGGAGCAGTAAATATAATAGTAATAATATATGACATTTATACAGTGCTCAATTCAAGTACACAGGCTCTGAGCACTTTTTAAAAGTTTCAGTAAGTGTTTAACGGCACTTGCAACACAATAAGGTCATATAAGTGCCGAAGATTAGAGGTGTTTCAAGAGAGTAACAAACATTTTAAAAAAAGAGGAGAGATAAGGACAATATATGCTTGATAGGAGAGAAGGAGCAAACCACACCAGAGCACCCGCCAACCACTCATTCTGAGCACTTTACAATGCAACAGTAAAACATATATAGAGTACATTGTGGTCTGACTAAAAATCGCTTCAATTTATGAAATATTCATAAATATAATACTTAACGTCATATCAAGACAATGCTAACATGTCTTGCAAAAACAGTCAATGACAAACACACTTCCTCCCTCCCTCTCTCTCTCTCTCTCTCTCTCTCTCTCTCTCTCTCTCTCTCTCCCTCTCCGTCTCTCGCAATACAGAACAAGAGATCAACAATTCAGTGTATAACTCCTCCACACGCCATTTTGAAAAGTGATGTTTGAGGGTGTCTTACACTGAGCAGTCAATATGTTTGAAGACAACACAAAGTCAAGATTATATGAAAAACCAAGACTCACTCTCACAATACTGTCCAGGTGGACAGGCCAAGCAGTCCATGTCATCCTGGCTCCCGTTGACAGGGTTATAGCTACCCTTAGGGCATGGAAACTCATACGGCTGAGTAGTACCTTGTGGGCAGTAATGACCGGACGGACAGACCTGCTGGTAGTCGGTGGAGTTCTCCACGCAGTAGTAGCCTGCGGGGCAGGGTGTGCAAGTGGCTTGCTGGGGACTGTCACTGAAACACAGGACACAGAAAAAGTCCATTGAAAGAAGAATTTATGCAAAGAAAAACAAGATAAATTTTGTAATTTCAATCAGATAGAGAGTAACATTTAGTAACTTTAAATTAGAGATAATTAAAGGACAATCATAATCTTGTGAGATTACTCTGTTTATGATAAGGAGCCAGATGTGCATGTTGGGAAGTCTTAATTTGTCCACTTTTGATCAATTGTACCAGATTACTTAAAAGCATTAATTTATGGTGTCTGAAAGAATAGCTAGTCTATAATCTTCCACTGTTTCATATTTCATTGTTTCAACGTGGCTTTAAAGTTGTTGATAAGGCAAGTTTACAAACATATTGTAAGCAACGAAATATATAAATATTTCCAGTTTAGAACTGACCTATATTGGCCTGGTGGGCAAGGTATGGGCTCAGCAGTGCCCACTGGGCAGTAATTACCAATAGGACAGATTCCTCCATCACCTGTGTGACTACCTGAGGGGGTAGCTGTATCCACACCTGCGTACATGAAAACAAACATCAGACTTCGTTATACATTTTCTGTTAATTTTTAAAACATAAAACATTTGGCAATTAATGTGTACGCCATCCTCATCCAAAGACTTCCCTAATTTTCAGTTGATTTGTCATTCCAATATCAGTATGAGTAATGTGAGAACAGTGCAACAAAAATAAATTACAAACAAAAAAAATTTGCTATCTTGTTGTCAGAAGTATCCTCATGTTTACTTCTGATATCAGTTGAGCCTGATCTCCATATCAAACAGTAATCAGCTTTGTTTCCCCTTGTCTTTTAGTTTCAGCAAATAGTGTACCATTTAAAAGAGTACCTTTTCAAAACCATTTCGAAAAGACATTTCAACTGGAATAAAAAGCCTTGCTTTGTTGAGTTTCATGAAAGCAATTTGCGTAAAATGGATTAAGCAAAAAGACCAATACTCATTGGAAAGAATACACATTTAAAAGAAAAATTAGTTGCAAGTAGTTGTGGCTAGGCTGTGGTTGTTCAGCTGGACTTTATGGCAAGCCTGCACAAAAGGGTTCCATTCCACAAGGAACAGATTAAGGCAATAGTCACACTGAAAAAGAAGTAGAAGCAACATACTAAAGCATCACTAAATCACCTGCCAGAAAACATCTCCAAACAAAAACAAAACAAAAAACACATGGTAAAAGAAAGGCTCTTAAAACAGAATGTATAAAAGTGAATCATAATCAAAACAGACCAGCCCTGCAGTAGTATCCAGCTGAACAGTCCCCTGAGACAGCGCTGAGCTGCGGAGTGAGGCAGAATTTTCCACCCTCGCAGGCTGTGCACTCTGACTCATTGGCCATGCCGTACAGAGGGTTGTATGTTCCCGCTGGACATGGCTGGAGGTCGGCACCTGTCTGGTACGGGCAGTAGTAGCCGGGAGGACACAGATCTGCACGGTCGCGGTTGACACAGTAGAAACCTGGAGGAGAGTTAACGAGGGCCATTTTAATCCTAATTTCGGAGAAAAAAAATTCTTGTAATTTGTCAAAATAAGCACTCTTACTATGTCTGAAAAATTAAAAAATGCATGTGTGGCATCGTGGTGAAATTAGGCACTCATCAAAATAATGAAATCAAAGAAAACAGCATTTTCCCAGCCGTTGCGCAATTTCCATCAAATTTTTTTTTCGGGTGGGGTGGGGTGGGGGCTCTCAATATATTGTGCCTTTTGAAGGGCCAAACAGACTATAAAAGCCTGACTTAAATAAAAGAAGTGCACAGAAAAGTGTCTTCTTTACTAAACAGGGTTTTCTCACTAGATTGACAAAAAGGAAGACTACTAACTGTGTGCTGACAATAGAAAAGGTTATTATGAAAAAATAATGTTAAACTATTACTTTTGTATCCCTTCCCATCTCAGGCTTGTTTGGCTGCACAGTAACAACCTTTGAACCACTTATTCATTCCAATTTTAAATCTCAGTACCCCTGGGGTAAATAGAGAGGAGTGGCACCCTCAGACTCTATTGTTCACATATTTCTACTCCTGTCATTGCTGAGAACCCATTTACAGCTTGGTGAATGAAGAAAAACTTGTATTCCTTTCACAGGACACGTGGCTCTAACTGGTGTCTGTGGGGTAGCAGTTAGGCACTTCACTGTCACATGCAGGAGACCCAATTCAATTCCCGAGGGAAGAGAAAATTTTTATTGAGTTTCTCAGTCTTTCTGTTGGGATGCTGTACTTCTCTCAGACAGGTTGGCCCTAACAGTCAGGGTCAGAATCCCATCTCCTATATGATTTAAATTGTGCTGATGGAGGCATAAAAACACCTGCATTTAAAAAACAAAACTTTTTAAACATTGTCCTACCGGCTCATGACCCCACAACTCAAAGCCCAACATTTTAACCACAAGACAAGGAAAGCCCTATCAAGACAAAAGATAATGCTACTTTAGGCTTACCTTCAGGGCAGTCGTAGCACTGAGCCGCACCAGAGTGGTTAGTGTACGTTCCATTGGGGCAGTAAATGTGCTGCACTGACTGCTGGGGGCAGTATGAGCCAGTAGGGCAAATATCTCCAGTCACACCGTCAGTGGGAGCGGATGAGTTGGCACCACCAGAGCAATAGAAGCCGGCGTCACAGGGGCCTGCCACAGAGCTACTGCCTGTGCTGTTACAGTAAAAGCCTGGGTCACATGAGGAACAATCTATCAATGCGACTCGCTGAGTAAATGGTTGGTATGTGCTGTGAGGACAAGCATTTGGCTGGTAACTGTGCTCAGGGCAGTAATAACCTGGTGGGCACTCATCTCCATATGTCTGACCAACTGGGTTTGCTTCTTCAGAGGCATTTGAGCAATAGTAGCCAGCTAAACAGGAGCCATTAGGTGCAGAGAGACCTGATTGAGCACAGAACTCTCCCGGAGGGCAGAACGTACAGTCAGACAATGCTTGTAATTCTTGGCGATCACCAAATGTACCTTTCGGACAAGGCTCTGGGAGGGAGGTGCCCTGGACACAGTATGATCCTTGTGGACATGATCCACCTTGACTGTTGTCAGCGGGAGATGGAGAGGTTTGGTTGAGGATGCAGAAGAATCCTGCATTACAGAGCCCTGTTGGAGAGGTGATGCCAGGAGCTTGACAGTAGTAGCCTGCAGAGCACGGAGAACACTCTGCCTCACTCTCCAGGCCTGTTGCATTCCCAAAAGTACCCAGAGGGCAGGGATTTTCCTTATCAGTCTGAGTACCATTGGGGCAGAAGTAGCCAGCAGGACAGTCCTTGGGAGTGACCACACCATGAGACGGGGCACTCACTCCACTTTGTTGCTCTGATATAGCTTCGGTCTGGTCACAGTACATCCCAGCTGGACACTCAACACAGCTTCCCTGACCAGTCAGCGGTTGGTACAATCCAGACGCACACGGACTCTGATCTGGACTGCCCCGAGGACACTGATGTCCAGCTAAACACTCATTTCCTGGAGGTTGAGGCACAGTTTGACCTTCTGGGCAGAACCATCCCTCGTCACAATCGTCTACAGGCTGGTCAAGTCCAGGGCTTGAGCAGTACTGACCAGCAGTACAGGGAAGGCAGTTGGTGACATTCTGGTTGTAGAAGAGGCCAGAGTAGGTGCCAGCATCACAGGCTGTTGGGGCTGAGCTGCCTTCAGGGCAGTAGTGACCTTGTGGACAAGCGTCTCCAAATGTCTCATTGACAGGGTTGGGAATAGTGGCATTGCCACTGCAGTAGTATCCAGCATAGCATTTTCCTGTCTCATTAGCCAGACCATCAGCATCGCAGTAATAGCCACCTGTCCAACAAGATAGACACATGAAAGTATCATCAATTTGTTTAGACAAGACATAAAAATACTTGAGTGAAAATTGTCAATTGCATGAATACAAAGCCAAGGTAACAAAAAGGAATGCCACAGGTTTGAACAGAATCAAGACAGAATGAATGCAAACTAGACCACTGAAAAGAAGAAAGGATAATCTAAATGAAGAAGGATAATCTCAGAACAAAAGTGGAAAATAAACATTTGGCATTCATCCACAACAGTTAGAAGTGTACTAATGTCAACAGAACATTGAGTATTGATACGCATGTTATGCTACCGAATAATGCAAGGTCAGACAATGAAGTCATCCCTGAAGGAAGAATATCAGCAAATTTGTAAAATGGCAATGATAATATTAATCAAAATCTCAGTGGTGAAAAGTTCCAGCATGAATATGCATTTCCAAAAGCACAGAATTATACATAAAGTCTCACTTAAAATGTTTAACTTCACACCACTCATTAAGCAGACTTCAAGCCAGAATCACTTCTGATAAATAATCATACTCTTTATGGCCAGCAATAGGTATGTCAGTTTGCACGACATACCACAAACACTAATCAGCATTGATGATTTAGTGGTAAAGTTGTCAAGCTCGCAACTGAATGGTCATGGGTTTGAACCCTGTCAGGAGCTCACCATTTTGTTGATGGGAAAGGCGCTTTACTCCAGTTTTCCTTATCATCCTGGTCAGAATGAGTACTCAGCTAAAGACGGCAAAATATCTTGTCCGTTTGTTTTGCTCAATTAAGCACTTAATCACTGCATGCACTGTATGCTTCCCAGAAAGCCAAAATTGATTCAAAACATTACAGGGCCTACAGGAACAAAATAATTTTAAAGCGCATTGAGTAGGCCTATGTTGTGGCGCATGGATATCTGCTATATCATTGCAATTATCATTATATCATCAACATGGCATTGGGCTGATGAGAAAGGCAACAGGAAGGAGAAGAACAACAACAAAAAATCAGTAACAAACCTGTGAGTCAAAAACCATGCAGCCTGACTCACCTGTGCAGGGTGTGGGAGCTGTGGAGCCCTCAGGGCAGAAAGTGCCGGCCTTGCATTGACCACCAGTGCTCTGAGCTGGACAGTCACATGAGCTCCCAGTGTCGTTCCCAAGAGTCGCTGGACGAGGGGACCAGGCTCCGGAGGTGCAGTAGTAGCCACTGGCACATAGTGCTGTGAGAGAAGGAGAAGTTTGGGTTTTAAAAAAGTTTTAGTACAAATTTTATGGCACTTGCAACACAATTAAGTCATATTGGTACAGAAGATTAGAAATTTTTCTAGATAGTAACAGACAAATAAAAGAATGAGGAGAGATATGGAAAAGAAGGAGACAAACTATACCAGAGCACCCGCCAACCATCCACTGGGAAAGAGAAGCTTTGATGTATCGCTGTAAACATTAGCTTTTCTACGTATTATCTCTGTCTTCTTTCCTATCTCGTTCTTTCTTTTTTACTTTAAACACTGGACCAAATGCTCTGATTTTGAGATCATCTTTTTGCGTAAGTAAGGTGCAAATCTCTTACAATAATAAATAAAATGAAGGCAGAGTACATAAGTATGAACAAAAAGCTACTGAGGGTATGCTGCCATATGAAATTTTGCCATGGATGGTAAACTATATCAATACAAAATTTCTCTAGTAATTGGAACATCAAGCTATTCTCTTGAATTTAACTATTGTACTCCAAACGCTTGTATGTTATGCACAACTAGAAGACAGAAAATTTTAAAATACCAGAAATAATTTTACGCAGAAATAATTGTATAAAGGTTGATTATAATAACTGATGGAAAACATAAACAGCACATACATTATGGGCTTTTTTAGCAGATCTTGGCTACAGATTTTTTTAAAAATCTAGGGTATGCACCGACCTGTGGGCTGCTCCAGGCCTGGTCCAGCACAGTAGGAACCTGGAGTGCACAACTGACAGGCAGAGTAGCTGGAGCTGCCACTTGCACCATTGAATGTGCCGTTAGGGCATGGGTACTGGACAGCAAACTCTGTTCCCTCTGGGCAATAGTGACCTGGAGTACAGGTGAGAAATTTAAATGCTATCACAATCACAAAAAATTCCTTGGAATATCTGAAATAAGAGAGAATATGATAAATGAGCATATTCTTGCGCTGGGAACACAGATATATATTGTAATATTAGATGGGCATTCATTAGTATTTAAAAAGCTTTAAAGTATTGGGTCTAAACTGTGCAGGAGGCAGAAAAAAACAAAGAAGAACATATTAAATATATATTTAAGGGGAAGGACCAATCAATACACCTTGCAACTACTCTAATAGATACATCCAAACAAACATATTTTCCTTCAAAACTTGCAATGCTAATTTACACGAATGAAAAGAAAATAAATTGAGGGAAATGTTTTATAGGCCTACTAACCATGCTACATGTTCTAGTAAATAAGGACAATGGTGAGTTGTCTGATGTAACCTACTTCATGTATTATGTTTAAGTGCTGCCTTTATCAAGATCAGCTCTCTCAACAAAAGCAACAACACAACAACAAAAAACAGAAAAACAAAAACAACAATGGGTGGTCCTGAAAGAGAGATAAAAATTGATACAATGACTGCACTCAACTGAACTATAAAAAAGCACCTTTTGATTAATTAATGAAAAGAACACACCATAACTGAAGCGTAGAAACTCACAATGCACTCAGAAATGTTTTGATTAAAAGACTAGTGATCCAAGAGGTACATTTTTCAAGACTTACCTTTAGGACAAGTGGTAATGTTGCTACTTCCAGCCTCACAGTAATAACCTTGAGGGCATGAGGTACAGTTAGCAGACTGTTCTACTGGTGTGTACGTTCCGGCTGCACACTGCTGGGGACTGCTAGAACCAGAGACACAGAAAGACCCACTAGGACAGGGCCCACCTGTGGCTGTCACTGAGCTTGGGTTAGAAATGTTGGAGCCTCCCGTACAATAATGGCCTGAGGGAAAAGAAACCATTTTCAGCACAAGCAATTTTATAACATTTCTAGGAATTAGTATTATTAAAAGGATTAGAAAGGACAGAGAGTATTTATGTACAAGAATATAATCTTAAACATTGACTTATGGCTTGTTTCAAAGAGACATCTAACCATTTTGATAATCCATTACCTCAATTACAACTAGAATAACTCTAAAAAGTTTTTAGTTCTGGCAGAAACTGATAGTGGCTGTAGTATTATTTTGGTAAGTATATTCTGATAATGTCAATATTCAATTCAAATCATTGGAAAGTGCTCTCCAGCCCAAAGAAAATGATTTATCACCAGCACTTATGACACTCCTACAGCACCTCTCAGACAAGACATATCAGCATAGGCCTACACCTAACGAAACATTACAACAATGTTGCCAAATTATTAAAGAGGCAATATTCCAAATGTGAAAGCTTCATTCTGTACAATGATCAAAGCACCATCTCATTACGATTATACTGCAAAAACAGACCAAGTATAAGTCACTGGAATATTAGACTACACAAACTTGAGTTTCAAGGGTTCACAAGACTTAAAAATCAGCGCTGAGACTTCAGTTAAACCTCACCTGCATCACAAAGACCAGCAGGGAAGTCCAGGCCTGGCACAGGGCAGTGATAGCCAGGCAAACAAGACTGGCACTCTGCTTCAGCGGTCAGTCCAGTCCGGTTGTTGAAAGTCCCTGCAGGACATGGCTCAGGCTCCTGGGTTTGCTGGACGCAGTAATAGCCTTGAGGACACACACCTGTGAGAAAACATACAACAGGAAGTCTCAAGTCAAGTAGCAGACAAAAGTTGGTTGCTTTTGCTTTCTTTTAGAATGTTTTGCCTAACCTTTTCCTTCATTTACTTGAGTATCCACAAAGGTTTAGAATCTACTCATTGTTTTGACCCACCCTGTGAAAGAGTTCCCTGTTTCTCCTTTTCATCAAAATGGAACTGACATCTCATTCTAAGGGTAAAAACTATTGGAGTCTTCAGCAATCATCAAACTCGTGTTCAACAAAGATAAACGAAGATAAGTCTGCTCTTTTGATACAGAAGCCAAAGTTTTTGTAAGCTCTCAGAGTTCTATTATGCCACTTAAATTAGCAACATTTAGATAAATGACCAAGACAGATTCTTATCCCATCCTTTAAACTTTCAGAATAATAATATCTTTCTTCAGAATTTTTCCCAAAGAAAAGTGCTTATCTTTCATGACAAGATCCCAGATCCATTTCCTGGTAGGTGAAGGCATGTTTGTGGACATTTTTGTTACAACACTCATAACACCTGAGATAAGTGATATTGAGAATGGAACTTTTCTCAGACAAACAGAAAATCTCAGAGGTCTCATGGGCACATTAACCAACTCGCCAGTCAGAAAGCAAACAGTAGCAGGACTGTCCACAGGAGAGTAGAAAATTTTAAAATCTTTTAAAAAATTCTGAAGAAACTGATTGTATAGATAACTTTTGAATTTTTCAAAAATGGTGTCTGCCGTAAAGTGAACAAAAAAGGTCACTTGTGTAAAAATCAGTTGCACCATTAGTGAAAAAAAACTACTGTCGACAAGCCCCACTATCTAGAAAGAGAAACATAAAATACCAAGGTGGAGGAAAAGGGAAAAAAAAGAAACAAAAACCTACCAGCATCTCCTGCCCCGAGGCCAGATGGCTGAATATTATCTGAGCCAGAGCGACAGAAGAATCCTGCATCACACGGTCCGGAAGTGGAGGTCAAGTTGACTGTGTCGCAGTAGAAGCCACCGGTGCATTGAGTGCATTGTGTTACATTAGCCAGACCTACACTAGAGCTGAATGTTCCTGCTGGGCAGGACTGCCACACAACACCCGTACCTGTGAATAAAGAAAGGTTGATGTGATACTGCAAATAGACAAGGAATTGCTTCTAGATCTGCTCCAGAGTCATTACTGTTTTTATCCATTTGGCTCTCCCATTATTTTCTGTCTTTCTCTGCTCATCTTGCACTGTATGCTTCCCAGGAAGTTGAGATAGTTTCTGAATGCTATCAGGTCTACAAGCATAAAAATATCTGTTTTAATTAAAGTGCAAAGAACTTGCTCTTGAGTGAGAATTTGCACTATACAAACGCTGTTTATTATTATCATTATTATATTTTCGAGTCATCAACACCAGCCCCTTTTTCTCTGTCTGTTTGTCTGTCTTTGGATCTCTGTGCCCCTTTCACTTTCCATTACTATAATAACTTTAGTATACTATGAGTACATTAGTCAGGTCCACACCTTCTGGGCAGTAGAATCCCGCCGGGCAGTCCACAGGTGGGGTCTGTCCATTCACACAGTAGTGACCCGGAGTGCAGGGCAGACAGGCTTCATTAAGTTCTGTGTCAGTAAACGTCCCGTCCTCGCATGGGATTGGCTGACCACTCCCCTCAGGACAGTAGTAGCCAACCGGACACTTGTTGCCGGTCACTCCATCAATGGGGGCACTGGTTGTCGCATTACCACTGCAGTAATATCTGGAGGAGCAGTTGGCTTGTGGGGACGTCAGGCCAGGCACAGGGCAGTACGTGCCAGGCTCACAGCCTGCACACTCACTCTCTTGCTGCAAACCTGAGGGAAAAAGTGGAAGTTGCAATAAGAGCATTTAACATCAAAGTAAGAGTCAGATGAACCAATTTCTACAGTTTCTCGAGATCAGTAAATCTATCATACAAAAAAATCCTTCCCTTACCAAGTCTCATCTCATGCAAAAATCTATTCAAAACTGAGGGAGTATAGATTTTGAAAAACAACAACATATTCATAAAGTTGTTTTAAAAAAAGATTAGAGACAAGAGATATATTCATTTGCAAAAAATTCAGTTTCAAATTCTTACCATCTCAAAATATAAAGAATTTTTTTTAAAATGCATGATGCTTTAAACATACATAATTTGAATATCACCAAAAAATTGCTATGATACTCAAATCTGTGTAGTTCACCAATGACAAAATTCAGATAAACAGAGGTGAAAAAACTTACCAATTGGTGAAATTTTACACGTCTCAATTATTAACCCATTTTCTAGCCAATCTGCATTTTATTTAATTCAATTCTGGCCAAAGACACTGCACTGTATGATAGCATAATAACAAGAGGAATAAGGCGGCTCAAATTTGACTTGTATCATGTTTACCTCAGGGTTATCCCATGCACCTTCAGGCCACGTTGCCTTATTACATCAGATTTATTCAGACTTACCATACATGCCACTGTACGTGCCAGCAGGACAAGGCACAGTCACATTTGAGCCGGTCGGGCAGTAGCCGCCCATTTCACAAACATCACCAGTGATGCTGTCGGTAGGTGTGGCGCTCCAAGCACCCGAGGTGCAGAAGTAGCCAGCAGAGCATTGACCAGTGGGGGAGGACAGGCCTGGGGGTCAACATAAGATAATGATAATAAAGAATTTTATGGAGAATAGAGAGCCGAGTCACTTAGGAAGACTCGTTTTAATTTTAAACAGGTAGCAATTCACGTAAAAAGGCACTCGTTATCAGCAAATTGTTTTACTCTTTTAAAGACTTATTAGTGTTGCAGTTCAAAGCATAATCTATAAGAAAAAATTTACTAGTCAGAGGAAAGTAAATAGCAGATGAACATCTACAAATATTGTTATGTGCAGTATCAGAATTTTCTATTAAAAGAATAAAAGGAGGAAATGAATTGTGGAATTTAAACATCTTTAACATTTCTGCTCTCTACCTAAGAGACAAGGATCATAGGGTAGTATTTATTCAGCGCAATGAGGTTAGCTACAACTGCTATGTCACAAGCTCCTTTGCTACACACACTAATCTTTTCCAGACATTACCATGTTAGATAAAAGGCATAATTTTTTTTTCTTTTAACATGTAGGTGTTTTACACCACTATTGACACAATTTAGATCATTTACAAGCAGGTTGGCTTTGACCTAGCCTGTCAGAGCCGGTCTGAAAGGGATAAAACATCCCAGAAGAAAGAATAAGATACTCGATTAAAATTTTCTCTATTCGGGAATCAAACTCAGGTCTCCTGCATGCAATGGCAAAGTGTCTAACTGCTACACCACAGATGCTGGTTTATCATTTTGTACATACTTTTAGTAAAAGAGCAATCTGTTGTTACGGATTAGGCCAAACACAAGCTCACCTTCGCTACCACAGTAGTAACCACCTGGGCATTGTGTGCACTCCAATGAAGACTTCAGATTGAGACTGTCAGAGTATGTGCCATTGGGACAGCCAAACTCTGTAGAATACCTTGTTCCATTAGGACAGTAGTAGCCCATGGGACAGGGCTCAGGATTCTGGACTCCATGAGAGCACACAGAGCTGTTTTGCTGGGTTCCATCACAGAAATAGCCTTCTGGACACTCCTTGCATGATGCCTTAAGACACAGACAAAAAAGGTTTCAATACATTTCTGAGCATCCCCAGTTAAGATAGATCTAAAAATACATCTTTTCTTTACCCATTCAATATATCAATCAGTTCAATGTTGATGAAATTCAGAGGGAAAGTATAACAGATGAAAATACACATCTAATTTATGCACAAACTTCAGCTCACATTCTCTCAAGTGCAGACACGAACACACATTTGTACACAGTACATGTGAAAGCATCAGTTACACAATATATCCGTTTACAAGTCTGATGGCACAGTAATCAGTTACTTCCAATTAATACTATAATCGATAAAACAAGAAGACTTTGATTTCATTACTGTCAACAATTATAAAAAGAGGAAACCAAAATGATATTATCATTCACTATCAACAACTCCACTATAGTCAACAAGACAATGAAGACATACCTGTCCAAAATTATCTTGGTATGTGCCAGAGGCACAAGCAACCAAAGCAGCACTGCCAACTGGACACATTGAGCCAGGGGTACAGATGTACTCAGCTGGACTGCTGGTGTTCTGACCTCCAGGACAGTAGAAGCCGCCCGAGCATTGTGCTGTGGGCTCGAACAAGCCATAGGCATCACAGTAGAAGCCTGGGGAGAAACAATGATAGCCATAAATTAAATACAAACATATCAAATAAAAAACATATAGAAGTTATAGAAGTTCTGAACATCCATTGAAACTATGATCTCAAAAGCTAGGGCATAATGCCAGTTTGGTTATTATAATGACAAAATAGATATTAAGACACATTTTTTTTTCATGCGAATGTAGGAAAACAAAAAAAAATGAATTCTATTATGAGTTTTAACTTCTTCAGTGTCCATTCACAGAATTGCGATATTCAGAGACGGTTAACATGCTGAAGGGCAAAAACCACAAACAATAGTATTAGTGTTCAGTTTGAATAATACAGGAATTTATCCTCCATACATAGAAGATCAGTTTTTAGAAAATAAAATATCGCTCGCTGAAATCCAGTTGCACAGCACACAGGAAAATCAGCAAAAAAGTTTTAGCAATAATCCATCACTAACTTTATCTGGTTGGCAAAACACAGGAACAAACCTGGAGTGCAATCCAAGCAGTCCGAAAGATCCACATTGCCAGTTGTGTTGCTGTACGTGCCAGGAGGACATTTATCTGGAGTGCCCGTTCCTTGGGGGCAGTAATGCCCTGGAGGACACACGTCGCCCGTTACTCCATCTGTCGGGTCCTTCTGGACGGCAGCAGAGGTACAGAAGTAGCCAGCATCACACTCAGCTGTGGCGCTGCTCAGGCCATGAACGTCGCAGTAGTAGCCTGAATGGTGAAAAAGAAACATTGCTTTGTGAACACTTAGTTTAGTTTAGTTTTGGTAAAAGTTTTACTGCACTAGCAATACAATAAGGTCACATAAGGGCAAAGATTAGAAGTGTCACAAGAGAGTAACAAACACAAAAAAAGAAGGAAAGACAAGGACAATTGATAGGAAAGAAGGAGCAAATCACAACAGAGCACCCACCCACCAACCGCTGCTTAGTGAACACTCAATAAACACAGACAGCCTACGTTTTTAAAAATGCAGTATGTTCCCAAGCTTCCTCATGATCTGCCACAAAGAACAAATATTATTATCAACCCTCATTTGATATTTTTTTAACTACAAAGTATTTGGACAACATCTGAGGTAATTGTTCATGTCTAGTTACATTCCAGATGTTCATTAAAGGATAAAATTAAAATCAGATCAACTCAAAACCTTATTTTTATCAGGGGTCACACAGACCTTAATTATCAGACAACAGATTACAAATTAAACAGAAATTCAGCAAAAGAAATTGTACACTAATTCTCGTACCACTTTTTGACCAGAATATGTGATCTTTTTTACAAACCTGGAGGGCAGTCGAGTGGCTGGGAGGAACCGGCCGGACAATACTGCCCAGGGAGACACTGACCACCTGTTGAGTTGACCGGGCAGTGACAGGCTGGGGCGCTATAGTTGGCAATGTCAGTGGGCTGTGATGACCACGCCCCACGTACACAGTACCAGCCAGCGGAGCAGTCTGAACCTGCTGCAGACATGCCTGATGTCGGACAGAACTTGCCAGGGTCACATGGTGTGCAGTCATCAACACTCTGGCTACCTGGAAAAATGAAACAAATCAAGAAATAATTCTGGAACATAATGATTTTACTTGTTCACTGCTACTCTCGTCACTGCTTGTAGTACTCTTTCATTTGAACTTGATACTCAAAACAACAGATGATTTTAAAATGGTACAAAATTAGCTTTTTTCAGGACATTTATTTTGTCTTTGCCATTGACTTAAAAGCAAAATTGCTGTCACAATGAATACATATATATCTATAGAAAGCCATCACCAAATAAATCTACCCAGTGTTTAATGAATTAAAGTTTTTTAAAATATATACTATTTTCAAAACTTAACAAAAGAAGAAAGAAGACTGTGAAATTCCAATAATTCAAAGTGCATATGCAAATACCTGTGGCACCATTGTAAGATCCTTGGTCACAAGGGAACTGTGTTGAATATCCTGTGCCTTCAGGGCAATAATGTCCCACTGGGCAGTCATTGCCAGAGTAGTCAGTGGAATTGAGGGTACAGAAATAGCCAGCAGGACACGTCAAGCATGAATCCAGTCCAGTGGTTGGACTATAAGAGCCTGGTGGGCATCCCAATGGGTATGAGGTTCCATTCGGGCAATAGTGACCCACGGGACACGGTCCACCTGAAGATAACAAAAGAAAAAGATATAGTTTGAAATTTCAAAGTCGTTACACATGCCCCAAAAAATGACAGTACATTATGTCCTTTTTTCGAATACAATGTAATTCACTTCACAAAAACCTGCATATGATAAATTTTCTCTTTAACTATAAGCTATAAAACAATACCGACCCTGTTTCTATTTTTGTTCGATGTTTGCTCAAGCAGTGGAAAGGACAGAAATTTATATGTTTGTCTTAACTGAGCACAAGTCATGTTTAAAAACCTAAAAGCCAACAATATTGGAGAAGGAAAGATAAAGGTATTAAAGTAAGAATTTTATCATTGTAGTTTTATTATGACTTTCAAAGTATCAAACAATTTTAAGTGAGATACCATAAGTACTGTTGACTAACAAGAATTTTGCGTATCATGAATTAAAAAAACTGCAGGAATAATGTTTAATAAGGTCTTAATAGCTACAGACTAAACAGCAACAATGAATCATTATAATGGTTACATTTCACATTTTAATACAACAGAACTACAAACCATAGCAAGAGGCCAGTAGATGCACCCTTTGACACTAAATAATGACACAGTAAAAGTATACGATGAGAATCCTTATCTAAAAATTACTGTTCAGATCTTCCATTTATAAGGTTTATCAAGATTTCCTTGTCCATAAGGACTCGCTTTGAATTCATATGACTCTCATGTCACAGATCTCCTTACCTGTGGAGTCTTCCACTGGGTTATTTGGCACTTGAGCCCCAAGCAAGCAGTAGAAGCCTGCCCAGCATGGACCAGAGGGCTCAGTAAGTCCCGTGTCTCCACAGTACTGGCCATACGAGCAATCCTCACACCCACCCACTGAGGTGTCCTGAGGAAGTGAACATAAATCTGATCATAAGTCTCTCAAATAGCTTTAACCCTTTGAGCCCTAGTCACCAGTACATCAGTGGCGAGTAAAATTGCCTATATGCTTAGCCACTAGTACACCGTGAACAAGACCCTATCCCAAACCCAGCCCATCTGGGACAAAACGAGCACGGAAAACTGTTTATTACACAGGTCATTACTGATTAGACAAATTTTGAAGATCTTTCTGAATTAGGTGGTGGTAATGATGAGGACTACCTTGAATGGGATATGGAATGTGACTCTGATGATGATATGAATATGAGTAATATGTGTGAGAATCGCCCTGGAGCTCGAGCAGATGGTAGCCTCAGGAGGTTAGGGTTCAAAGAGTTAATTCTACCGAACCACTGACATGTCCAGAAGAAGGGAACATCATTCTGACTGTTCAAAACTAGCTTACATTTCTGTAAGCCTTATAGATTTGTAGGAGATGCGCATAGGAGAAGCTATAAAGTTAGTGGGAGACGAGGAAACATTCTTTTGAAAGGGACTGTCTCATTAGGTGAGAATTGGCACAAAGCTGACTTTATATTCAATCCTACAATCCTCAGGGAATACTGTTCCATCTACGCATCTTGAAAAAATTATTTATTTTCCATTGCTATGACCTTCTACTCCATTCATCCATTTTCCATTTACACAACAAGGGAGACTACACACTTCAAAAGACAATTGTTCCCGCAAACTTTGATGAAGCTATTTTTTCATAGAACTTTTAGAATTATGAATTGACATAGATATAAAGAATCACAGATGTATTACACAAGCACTGAAAAGAGAAAGATATCTTTAAATTTACTTCTTAACAAAATCTTGTAACTACAGACCTCAGATCATCTTACCTTAGTCTGGTTATTGTAAGTTCCTAGAGGACAAACATTCGGGGTGACAGTGCCCGCTCCACAGTAGTGACCGGTGGGACACGGACCCGCAGTGCCCTTGAATCCTGTGTCCGGCGTGGCTGTGTCAGAGCCAAGAGTGCAGTAGTAGCCTGGGTCACACAGGCCTGTGACGGCTGTGGCGTTGGGCTGAGAGCAGTAGCTCCCTCCTGTACACTGGGTGCACTGTGGCTCCTCAAAGAGGCCTGTGGCAGTGCTAAACGTTCCAGTGGGGCACGACTGCCACACCAGGCCCGTGCTCTCCGGACAATAGAAACCAGGTGGACACAACTCTGGCTGCACCGCAGACACACAGTAGTATCTGACGAAAGGAAAAATAAATGATGGCTTTGAAACCTAAACTCTTTTACTACTGCACTGGCTGGTTCGAATTGTAGTTTCAAACCCATATTTCATACTAATTTCCAAGGAAAACATTATTTGTACCATTGCAGACACTGAGGCAGGCTCATCCTAAAAAAAAAAAGATAAAGGCACATTTTCATTTTTACAGATATTTCTACTTAAAATGATTTTAAGTAAATCATGATGTTAACAATTAATAAAAATCGATAGGCTATCAATCTGATGCCCATAGAGTCAAAGTTGCTGAAAACTAAGAAGTATCAACAAGTCAAGTGCAAACTAAAAAAATAGTCAATTACTATTAGTTTTAACATATAATTTCTAGAGAGAAAACTCTACAAACCTAAAATAGGAACGCAGGACAATACCACGATGACAAGAAAGTTTCAAGAAGATGGAAAAGACAAGAAAATAGACACAGGGCCTTGAAAACCAATAATCCTTGTCTTCTTTGATGTCATCATCATTATCAGAACCGCCATCAACGTGCACATTTTAGTAATCATCACATTATTATTACAAATTGATTTTTGTCCCTCCTACATTTTTGTTGATTCAAACAGAATCCTGCAATACTAGTCACTAACATGTCAAGGACATAAAAAGAAAAAGTTAAAAACTCATACTGTACTCTCAGAGCTTATACTTGTATGGGATAGAGCACTATATAAATGGATCTATTATTATTGTTACCCCGGTGTGCAGTTCCAGCAGCTAGAGGCTCCCGTCTCGTTCATGTAAGTGCCATGTGCACAAGGAACTGGAACAGCTGTTCCCTCAGGACAGTAGTGACCAATGGTACATGGAGCTCCAGTCACACCACCGTCGTCCGGGACTGGAGTGACCGATGAACCGCTGCAGTAGAAGCCAGGAGAGCACGGGCCGGAGGGTGTAGTCAGACCTGTGCCATTGCAATAATACCTGGAAAATACAAAGATAAAAATATTATGAAATTATCTCTATGATACATAGATCTATGAATAGATTGTTAACCCTTTCCTGTTCATATTCCTTGCTAGCATTGGGTGCCCATTTGTTCAACTTCAGTTGCTCTTGGCAGCTTCCTGGTGTTCACACTCTATCATGCATTGTGGAAGAAATCATAAATTCTGACTGCTGACACCAACTCTGACATGCTTCCTTCTCCAGAAATGAAAACAATTCTACAGCTTAATGTCAGTGATCAACTCTCAGCGTGGCTAACTCTTCAACTGAGGAAACTGCAAGAGAGAAACATGCCACAGTTGGCTGATTTTGGGTAGGCCTATGTCTAACATTAACAACACACTGCTCACTGCAGATAGGATAGCAAAGGGTTAAAACCCCTTGCTCTGAAGTTCACCCCTTTGACTTAAATAAACATACAAAAAAACTGCAGCCAAAATAAGGTAGATACCTCAACAGATTACCAATAACATCAAAGATGCAAAACTGTAGGAATTCAAATTGCCACTTAACTCAATTGTGTTTTAGGCAGATGTTAGATAACCTTACATCGGCAAAAAAAGTGAAAAACCCAAACCATACCTTGGTATTAACTATACCTGTATATCAAACTTACCCGCCCGTACAAGTTGAACACTCCGTCTCCAGAGCCAAGCCTGTGCTACCCGACCATTTGCCAGTGGGGCATGGGGTTGGGTCAGTGGTACCGCGAGTACAGTAATGACCCTCTGGACAGTGGTCACCAGTCACTCCATCTATCGGGGTTGCAGATGCTGATCCGTTGATGCACCAGTAGCGAGCAGAGCAGTCCCCTATAACACAAATCAGTATGATGACTACACCACAAAGAAAACCATAGACTCAACAACCCTGTAAATATTCCTGTCACAGTAGCATTAGTTCACACTTGCTCTTAACGTTCAAGATATCTCAAAATTCAAAGTGTGAAGATGGGAATTAGGTATGGAGAATACATGGTCGCTTTTAAGCACAAGGGGGCTATCACGAAAAATGCTGTTTTGAGAAAATCAAAGGTAAAGCTTTTGGACCCTAGTTCAGTTCCTTTAAAAAAACAAGGAGAGTTTTCTCAAAGTTTTCTCTGTAACCAAACAAATATACACACCAATGAAACCAAACTTCTCCTATAGGTACGGCAATTGTTCACTTTTGGTATAGGTCAAGATTTCTGGAAAACCCCAAAATCTGGGTTAGCCCCTTTGTCCTTAAAAGCGACCACATGTACATGTCAACAAAATCAAAATTACCTTTGTAATTTATACTACAGTGGTAAAAAATCAACCAATGCTTACAAAAGTATCAAACAAAAGCATGAAAAACTAAACTTAAAGTAAATTCTTGTTTCAAAATATGGAACATGTCTCATAAAAAGTATAAGAAGAAAAAGACATTTTGGAACAAAAGGGGCTTTATACAGGTTCATTTAAAATCATATTCAAGGCATACAGCTTGCTAAGAACAAGTCGACTATTTTATGCTGTTTGTTTTTTTAGTAAAATGCCTTTCGTATTTGATGGTAGCTCTAAGAAAGGGGTAATATTTCAAAAATCAATACAAAATTTTTTTATTTACAACCCATTAAAATAACAAATTACCTGTGTAATTACTGAGTCCTGGTGTGCTGCAGTATTTGCCGGTGTCGCAAGCCGTACATTCAGACTCAGCGGTCAGCTGTGTGTACGGATTGTACGAGCCTGCAGGACAAGGGTGTTCCGTTGACCATCGTGTACCATTTGGACAGTAGTGGCCCTCAGGACACAGGTACGACAAATACGAGTCCAGGTTGTCAGAACTGTTGCAATAGTACCCTGAGGAAGAAAATGTTCCGGTCTTAAAGTTAAAGTGATTAACAATCATAATACATCGCACTTTCATCTTTCTTATTGCTTTTCCAAGTTTTCAATCATTTTATGATCAAAATCAAATGCAACAGTTTGTGTTACTTTATTTACTTTATCAGAAACTTTGACTGGCATAAAAAAAACAACTTAGAAAACGACATATGATTGCCTGAAAGGAAAGGGTCATTATAATCTGTTATGATATTAGGTTATGTACTTCAAAACTTGTTGCACTGCAGGTAGGAAACATTATGGTTTAATATCCTAGAGGAATGCTGGAGAAATGGAGAAACAGGAGAATATGAAAAACCCTTCTAGTGTATGGTGGGTCCTTTGACTACAAAGAAGACTCAACCACCAAGCTTTTAACCCTATCCGTACGCCTGGGGTCATTTTGTACCCCAGGGGATGTATTCTTCACATTTTAGAATACTTCTAGTGTGAAGATCTCTTTGAAACTTTCTGTATTTCTCAAAAAATCGTTTTGAGAGACTGCTATGCAAAGCGCACGGATCGGATTAACGAATAAATTTCCTCTTTGGAAAGTGGAGGCACAGAGTTCCCCATGTCGTATGGATACGATAGTAAAACAAGATGTACAGATAGGCTTAAGGATGTGGTCACCTGATGGACACTCTTTGCATACACCTTGACCAGTCTGATCCTGGTAGGTACCAGATGGACAATGGATCTCTTCATGACTGCCTTCTGGACAATAGTAACCTGCACTGCAGGTGAATGGAGTGGCAATACTCTGTCCAGTGGGGCAGTAATAACCTGGTAGGACAAATACATAAAAGGACATTAAGCAACTAATTCATCAAACGACTGTTTACTGCTTTTTATGTTTCACAAAATATTTAACTCTAATCGGCTCTAGAGACTTTAACTTGCTTTGAAAATGTGAGACGTCATGGTGAAATCAGGCACTTGCCAAAAGAAATTAAATCGAGGAAATCAATTTTTTTCCAATTTTCTTCTTTGGGTTCAACAGCTTTTGCTTCCAATTAAAAACATATCCCAGTGTGAATTTTCCTGAAAAACGTAGATCAAAAGGCACAAAAAATCAAAATCAACAGTTTCCAAGGACACTACAGCTTTGGCAGTAACCAAACTTTGGCAGCCAGGCTAACCCCACCTCCTTCAATCGCGAATATCTTCACTTAGGTAATTTTATAAAATCAAAAGAAAGACAACTGAACAAGTTGATGATATCAACAACTCCATATGCCAAAAAATTGACAAGCGCCTGATTCCACCGCGTCATAACACAAACAAGTTGGCAATTTCGGTAAAACTGGAATCATTAAAGTCAAATATCAATCTCCACATCAATATTCAATATGAAATTATATTTTGAAATTATTCAGTATCCTGAATAAAGCAGTACTTCAATATTTTAATAAGGCATTTTTTTCCAGTAAAAAAAACACATAATTTATGCACATCTTGATGGCCTATCTTTAAGAATTTGTACAGTAAAATTTCTGTCATTTGCATAGGCTTCCAACAGTAAACACTTTTAACAAAATTCATCTTAGAAGGCAACTCCACAGCATGATAATCCTAAGATCTTACTGAAATGGAGAAGCAAACAGAAGCTCAGGGAAGTGAATAATTTCTTCAGCATTTCTTAATCAAAAGGTTGTTTTCAGCATAGGTTATAACTTCATTCCTACTTTTAAAAAGTACTCCTAGAAAAAGAACCAGCTACAGCATGGCATTGAGTCAAAGTAACAATGACAAGGCCAAGATTATTCCAATATACCTTCTGTACATTTTCCTGTTGGCTCAGTTAGACCTGGAGAGTTACAATAGTAGCCCTCCGTGCAGCTTGTGCAGTCAGAAACATCCTGATTCCCTGTTTTGTTGGAGAAGGTTCCAGAGGGACAGCGGGGCTGGTCCACACCTGTGCCGATGCCTGGAATGAAAAGCAAAGTGACATGAGAATCATGATTTTTGCCCAATCACTGTTCAGACTTCTGGAAGAATCTGAAGCTGATCATAAATTTGCAAAAGATGATGAATATGTACAGCATCCGCAGAAAAACACACAATTTTGATGCTATCAAAAAGCAGACTGACAAATAACCTGTAAGTTTTGCTGAAGAAATTTAGAAAGAGCAAATAAGCAAACCAAAATTTAAAACAAAGTAGGTTGAACTTTTGTTATTGTAATAAAGTACAAGAAAATAAACTTAAGGCCCATATCTCGGAATCAATAAATTCATAGTAAAGGTCAGAGAGGAACATTAAATTTGGGGGTCTCGCCTTTTAAATGACATCAAAGTATTCATAGGGAAATTAAATTCAGACCAACTTATTCACATCATGTCTCAGACCTATTTTACAAACACCCATGCCACCATACTTGGGTTATACTTCTTTAACAAAGGAAACATCATACAGCATTGCACCTGGCACATACCACAATAACGCCCAGGGGGACAGACATCACCAGTAACACCATCTGTAGGGTCCTCTATACTGGCACCTCTGTCGCAGTAGTAGCCCGCACGGCAGGAACCAGTCACAGCATGAAGGCCTGAAGACAGATAATAACATTGAATTATACTTTTTGATTTCATTTTAATTTACAAGAGAGAAGCAAGTGAGTCTTCTTCTTTCATGGGGGGAGAGGGGGGAAGGGAAGGGTTAGGTCAGGCAAGTTGAGGATGGGGGAACTGATGAATAAATCTAAAGTGTAAATTATGGTCAATGTTAAAATTCCACAACTAGTCTAGTCTAGCATAAGAACTGAACATGGCAGTGGGGGAGGGGTGGGGGTGGGGGGTTGCTAAGTGTTGGGAGGTTTTAAAAAATTGAAATACTGTCAGTTTTGTAGTTGATAAAAGAGTAAAGGAGATCAAAGATAGCAAATATAAATTGTTTGCAAATTCAAAATTTATTTTGATAAACATTTGTCTGATACAACAGAATGCAGTGTGCATGTCCATTAACGGCTTTAAAAATATCTGCCTGTAAAAGAAGAAAAATCAAATCAGTCACTGATATTACTACAAATTTTATTGGAAAAGACTTAGAAAAACACTTTAAGGGGCCAACTTACCTGGGGTTTCACAGTAGTGGCCTTCTGTGCAAGCAATTGGCTCCGAGGAACCCTGAGGACAGTAGTAGCCTGGCTGACACTGACCACCAGTCACATTGCTGGGGCAGAGGCAATCACCGACTGTGAAATTGTCGTACTCCGACGGAGAGGAGGACCAGGCTCCCAGCACACAGAAGTAGCCTGGGACACAAAAGCGGTATTTAGTGGTAAGCACACGTGAATGCGTTGGTGAAGAGTATTTATGCTTTTACAGAGAATAAAATAAGTATTAAAAAAGTATGCTTGTCAAGTTGAGTTTGAAAATTAGAGACTTAAAACTGTTAGCCAAATATCTGGAAATTTTGGTTATGAATAATTTTTCAGAAAAGATTCTAGCTCATAGAATGTGAACATGTGCAAAATTTATTAAAAAATTTGTTTGTTAGCTTGAGACCATATCTGCATCCCAAATAAATTTGTTCAATATATAACTTCAGTGTACAATCCACCAAAAGATAAAAAAAGAAATGTAAGATAGAAATAATTAGTTGCATATAATCTATAGAAAACAACAAATTAATTAGATACAAAGTAGTAGTGTGTTCCATGAATACATACAATTGGAAACACCTTTTGAGCATGCCGCACAACTGATCATCCTAAACTCCTTGTTTTTTAGTTCAGTTTTAGTAGAGGTTTTACTGCGCTCACAACTGCATAAGGTCGTATTAGCGCCATAACTCCTTGTTAATTGAATATCTTAAAATAAAATCAATACAGAATGAAGATAGATAGAATATCATCATCAAACACCCCTCATACCTTGGTCACAGAAATCTGTCGGCACGCTGAGACCCTCTCCACCACAGTACATGCCCGGCGTGCAGGGGAAGCAATCCGACTCGCTGATGCCCATACTCAAGTTTCTGAAGGTGCCCTTAGGACAGGGGAACTGAGTAGACACTTGGGTACCCACAGGGCAGTAGTGGCTGGAATTTTTTTTAAGTGCCATTAGAGAGAGGTATATGTGAGGCATTGTGGTGGAACCAGGTGCTTGTCAAGATCATGAAATCGAAGAAATAGACATTTTTCCCCCAGTTTGGCAATTTTTATCAAATTTTTTTTTGGGGGCTGAACACCCATTATGTCTGCTTATAAAAACATCTCTGTGCGGATTTTACTGAAGAAAGTTGATTCATCATCATCAAAAGCTAGATCTATTGCAGACATCAGCGATCATTGTTCTCCATTCATTCCTTTGCTTGGATGCTCTTAAAAAAAGCTACGTTACCCTGATCTTTTGGCGTTACCCATTTGTTTAAGTTCTCTAAATAGGTTGCTCTGGGCCTACCCCTGCCTCATTTGCCTTCAGTTTTGCCAGTGAGAGCTAGATGTTCGAGACCTATCATTTGTCGTTTCCTGATTGTTTTTAACAGTGAGCGTCCCACGTAGGCTTCATCCCTAAGTCTAATTTGATTTCTTTTCCTTCCATGATATTCTCAGCAGTCTCCCAAGAAACCACATTTCTGTTGCTTCCATTTTATTTTCACTGTCTTTAGCGATTGTCCAACAATTACAGCCATACAGAAGGGTTGAAAGTTGGTTAAAGGCACATAAAATGTAAATTTCCAGTCTCCAAGGACTTTCAAGCTGTGGCATTCCCCAAACTTTCGCATCCAATTTTTGGCTAATTTTATCTCTCAAACCAGGCAACCACCACCTCATTCAATGGCAATATCTTCACTTTTATTCAAGACAGATGGATATATTTTCATCGAAAGCAAGACAAATGAACATGCTTTGAGATAATACCAAAAACTCCACATGCCCAAAAATTGACAAGCGCCAGATTCCAGTGCATTGTGACACAAATAGATGCCCCATTAAAAGCTGCAAGATCGTCAGTGAATATAGATATCATGTGTCATGTCCAGATGAGACTTTTCTCGCTTAGCAAAAGTATTGTTTCATCTCTTTAAAAAAAAGCAGATCAATAGCCACACAGCAAAATAGAGACAGGGGGAAAAAAAAGTCCATGCTAGCAACCCTGTGGGGATACTGTCCTTATACCTCGTCTCAATTATCAATTCAAATTCTGCTCATAGATCAGTTTATTAGCCATATTTATAAACTCAGTTCATCTGGCAATTCTAAACGCCACGATGACTGAAATAGTTCTCCTTTTCTCTGTGGGCTCAAATCCCTAAGACAGCTCTTTTTTTCCTTTTTCACTATAGGAGAAGTGGTACTGGAAAACAATAATGCTTACAGAATTCATAAAAACCCTTCTGCTACGAACTGTAAAAAAAGTTTTCTTGGCTACTACGATCTTCATGCAAAGGCCCCATTATGAGTTTGAGGTGTTGCATTACATTTTGAAGTAGGTTTGTGTGCTTACATGGGAGAAGTCCACTTAGCCTTTAACCCTATCCGTACGTCGTGTTTTACTATTGTATCTATACGACGTGGGGAAACTCTGTGCCACCACTTTCCAAAGAGGAAACTTACTCGTTAATCCGATCCGTACGCTTTGCATAGCAGTCTGTCAAAATGATTTTTTGAGTAATACTGAAAGTGTCAAAGAGATCTTCGTACAAGAAGTATTCTAAAATGTGAAGAATACAACCCAAGGGGTACAAAATGACCCTAGGGCGTACAGATAGGGTTAAAGAGCTCAAACTTGCCTATACTTTGATAAAATAATACATTGGAAAGAGCAAGATAAAGTGTAGATAATGAGCATACTTGATAGACAAAACATCTGATATTTGAAACAATGTAATGTGACATATTGTTGATTATTGAGCTTAAGTCTAGATGAGGAACAAATGCTACTAGCACCACAGGAACTTAAAAAATTTGACGTGAAAAAGCAGTGTTGTTTCTAGTTTTGTAACTCCAAGCTGAAAAATGCTATATACAATTTAGCCCACTGCCATTTTCAGTCAATCTAATGATTCACAAGTAAACTGTTACCATTGTACCCACTAACAAGTTGAAAGTGTTTGAGAAAAAGCGAAGTTGATATGTTCTAAATTATAATATGAAAATTTCTCAAACTCTAAAAAATTTTTTTTTTTTTACATCACTGGATTCATTGAAGTAAACGTCAACATACCCTTCTGGGCATGGGTAAGGAGCATAATCTGTAACGTTTTCAGGACAGAAGTGAGCAGCTGGACAGTCAAAGCACTCTGATCGGCCAGTGACATTGTTGTAAGTTCCAGATGGACACTCCAAGGGGTAGGAGGTACCCTCAGGACAATAGTGCCCAGCAGGACACGGACCACCAATCGCTGGATCAGCACCTGTGGAAAGAGGTCAAATAAAAATCTAAATCGTTATCATATTTCCACATGTTATGAAAAGACAGAGTTATTTTTAAACAAAAAGATACGACATCTGCACACAATCTCCAAAATAAAGATCATTATACTGACTAAGCATGTAAAAAAAATCCAACAACAACCCACTAATCTGTGTATCAGTCAACATGTCTTGTAATCTTAAAAGTAAAGCTCCTGAAGACTTTAATTTTCATAGGCATTTGACAAATGAAGCTGGCCTTGAAATGTGTGACATCATGGTGAAATTAGACACTTGCCAAAATATTGAAATCAATGAAATCATCATTTTTCCACCTGTTGGGCTATTTTTTCAATTTCTTGAAATGTGGGCATAATACCTTTTATATTCATCTCTGTCATGGCTCTACTGAAAAACATTGACCAAAGAGACAAAAACGTAAATTTGCAGTTTTCAAGGACATTACAGCTCAGATTGCACTAAACTTTGGCAGCCATTTTCTTTCTAATTTTGCCTCAGACACCAAGAGACCTCAACTTCCTTTAACTGTAAATATCTCAAATTCTATTCCAGATAGACAGGTCTTTTATCATGAAAGGCAAGGAAAATGAAGAGGCTGAAAGATTATATAAATAGCTCCATATGCCCAAAAATGACGAGCGCCTGATTCCACCACGTCGTATCAGGGATATATTGTTGAAACTTCAAGAAGGCAAAGCATAACCAGCTGTCAGTCCTATGTGCTGAACATACCTGTTGGGTTGGGCTCACTATTTCCACGGAGACAGTAAAAGCCAGGGTCACACTTCCCTGTGGCGTTTGAAAGGCCTTCAGAGCCACAATAGTAACCAAGAATACAAGCGAAACAATCAGTATCCTTGTCAGCTCCCATCTCTACGTCACGGTACGTTCCGTTGGGGCACATGAAGGGATCCTCAGTCTGCTCAGGACAGTAATAACCAGTAGGACAAGGACCCCCAATACCGCTGGTAGTGTCTGTGGTGGGGGTGCTGATGTTGACACCTGGGTACAAAAATTGAAAATACACAAATCAAGTAATAATCCATGAAATATGTAACATCAAATACTCTTTCAACCTGATACAAAATTGTGTCTACCATTGAGCAATCCATATAAAAAAAAACCTAAACATAATAAATTATGAACGCAAAATAAAATTCCCTACTCAAATTCATAAAAGCATCATCAGAAACATTTTGAGTCGACAAAATTAATCCATTTTTTAATTTTTGTCAGAACTAGCATGAGTCGTGGTTATTTCTTTCAACAAATGTTTCATCAAGCCATAAAAAAGGCCTTCCTTTTCTCTCATAGAGGTACCAAACAGTTAGCATGTGGTTTGGAATTTTCAGGTATAATCTGCATCTCTTTAGTAAGGCCTATAATTATAGTCATCATCTGTTCCTGCTAAGATGAGATCACCAAAGCGACAACTCACAGTCAACTGCAACACAACAGCAAAACTGCCACTCACCAAATTGGACTCTGATCAAATGAAGCACTTCACTTACTTCTTGATAATTCTTCATTTTTTTAAGATCTCAGAACACATTTCTCAGACTGGATCTCTTATTTCCTATTTGCTGAATTTTGGTCATTTCCCTTTCTGATGCATATTCTATTTATTTACTTATCTCTAATCTGAGGTAACATTTCGTACTAAATATGACCATTCAATTCTTTTCAAATTCACTGACCTGACTTGCAGTAGTAGCCGGGGGAGCAGAGCCCGACACCTGTATTGTTGAGGCTGGGATCGAATTCCGTGGCCCCAAGCATGTCACAGTAGTAGCCACCGAGACAAGGTCTGCAGTCTGACTCGTACACCATGCCTATAGGGAAGACACAGATGGGTGTTGATGAAAGCACAACATTAACATTTACTTATTGTGCTGACTGTGTTACTGAAGATTTTAATGTTATGGCGTACCAAAAGGAAGAATAGCAGAGTTAGTGAAACAAAAACATCCAAGATATGAAATCCTACATTCTGAAATATAGTATGCTGTAAACTGTCAATTCATTAGCATAAATGTGAGACTTAATAAACTTTATTATTATTCAAAGTTTCAACACTTTTATGATCCTGCTGTCATTGAAGTAGAGTTTTCTGATTTAACAAGTTTTGGTTACAGCTCCTCAAATGAAAAAAATGAACATAAAATGAAAAGACTAAACAAACAACGGCCAAAACCCTATGAAATATCTACTTCATGATTTATTTCTTCTTTATCCAAGCATCCTGGAGGTCTTTACATCCAGAACTGAAGTTTGGACTTCAAGCCTGTTTTCTTAGAAAATATCATATTTAGAAAAACAAGAGTACAACTTAAGAATCAGTTCATGAGTATGGAAGTTGATTATGCACTCAACATACCATTTTCTGAAAAAGCATAACATTTTTAAAACTTCAATTTTCTGGACACAAGAAAAAATAATTTTCAAAAACAAGGTTTATTATACAAAAGCAATTACCAAAGTCAGGATTGTAAGTTCCCCTTGGACAGTATGGCTGGGCAGCAGTATTGTTACCAGGGCAATAGCGGCCCCGAGGACACCTGAGGGGTATCTCCCCATCCACACAGTAATAGCCCGCCGGACAGTCGAAACAGTAGTCTAAGCCAGTCACATTAGTGAAAGAACCTGGTTCACATGTCTTTGCCTCTCCCGTGCCCAGTGGGCAATAATGACCTGAAAACAAAAGAAGCAGTAACAACACTTTTAATCAGATAGTGCTACAAACTGCATAATTTTAGATGCATACAATGACATGACTGTTTTCTATACATAGAGCAAAATTTTGAAAGATAAAAAAGTAGCAGCCTATGTCTGCGACTGTCCTCACTGATTCAGTGTTGTATGAGCTTTTTGCCTTACTGCATAAAGTTAGAGAGTAGAAAAAGCATATTTCAACAGCTCAGTGTAAGACTCCCTCATGCATTTACACTAAGAAGTTTATTTGTTTTATACACAAAGAGTTAGATATACAAAGAGTTGGAAATTGCCAGCGAAGATGTAAGTGGATAAGGTCATCATCAACTGTGTCATAGTAGAAGCTGCACATTGACCAGGAAGCATGATGTTGCATCTTTAGTAAAAGTTTTACAGCACTTGCAACACAAATAAATCATATAAGTGGCAAAGATTAGAGGTATTAAACAAAGAAAAGGGGGATGTGGGGCTGGGTGATAAGATCAATAGATGTTTGATATGAATAAAGGAGCAAGCCACACCAGAGTAGCCACAAACCACTCAACATGATGTTGCAGTTCGATTCGATTGAGGAGAACACTTAAAGGAACAAACCTTGATCAAAAGCAAAAGACAACTGTTATGTTTCCCCAACTGAGGTTATTTATAGGTCTTTCTTATAGACTTGTTCATGTAGGCATATAAATACAGCTCTTCAACCGGTATTGATGGCCATTCTTGGCAAAGGTAGACTGCACCATCTCATATCATGTCACGACTACTCCACACCCAAGAGACAATACTATAGTTGTTCAGACCTAAGTAAGACATTGGTACTACAAATCTCAAAAGACTGGAATGGTAATTTTTTATTTCTAAAGTGAACAGCTTGACCCATCCAAAAATGATTACTAAAGAGACCACTAAACCGACAGAAAAATATTCAGTCCTTGATATACTGGCAGGCAAATATAAAAATTCAACACATTGAACTGCGACGGAAAAAGAATAAGAGCTTAAACACTACTCTCTTGTACCTGAGAGACACATAATGATGGAGCATGGGAGTACATTATTTCCTAGAATTTGCTGCAAAAGGCATTTGCTGACACTAATTAGCCTCCATAGCCAGATGAGTTGGTATGACAGAAAATAAAATGTAGACCATTACAGCCCAAACAGTGTCTCTGCTGACAGAACAAAGTGAACTACCATTCACTTGTTTTACCTTTGGGACACAAATCACCAGTGGCACCACCATCCTTGGGTTTGGTGGTGTAGGCTGAACCTCGACAAAAGTAGCCTGCAGCGCAGATTCCATTTGGTTCGGTGAGACCATAACCAGCGCAAACAAGACCAGGGTCACAGGCAATGCATTGGGATTCATCCGTCAAACCTGCAAGGAAGAGGAAGAACTCAACTTGTTATGAAAACTACACAGCACCTGCATCTTAAAATATTACACACAGCTACAACATTCCATATAACTACCTGGAAATTAGTAACAACAAACAAAAAGTCTGCAATCAGCTCTCAACAACAGTAACAGTTCTTTTTTAAGACAATGAATCTTTAAGTCTGCAACAGAACCCTGTAGACTTAAGTGCATGCAACAAAACACAACAAAATTAGTGGCAATGACTAGTTGATTCAGTGTTCTCACCAGTGAAATTACTGTAGGTGCCATTTGGACATCTGGTGTCATTGTAAGAAGCCGTGCCCTCAGGGCAATAGTGTCCAGGTGGGCAGACATCTCCAAAGGACATTCCAACAGGTATGGTTGTGTTTGAGCCTTCCAGGCAGTAGTAGCCGGCACTGCAGGGTGTAGTATCTCCGTCTGGCATACCGTAGCTCTCACAGGCATAGCCCTCAGTACATGCCTGGCAATGGCTCAGTTCATACCTGTGTATGAACAGATCAGAAAGACCAAATTCAATTTCTTAATCTAGCTTTTAAAAGATTGCTGAAAAAGAATTTACAAAACTAGTAAAAACTTTGCAGAACTCTTGTTAAAACAACAACAATTCGATCTACTACCAAAAAAAAAATTAAATGCACAACTCTGTTTTTATAGTGTTCTCTGTCAAACAGTAGAAGAGTCCCAGTATAAAAGTCCCACTGACAAGGATTTATCTTTATTTTCCCAACTGGCAAAAAAGTCAACTTCATCCTGATAGTAAACTAATTTTACAGCAAAGGTTAACTTGGTTTCAAATAATTCATCTTTCCAATTAAAAATTAATCTCTAAAAATAAGTACAAAACAGAAGTCTTTTATTGATAGTCTTTTGTACATCAAATGCTTACATTCCAACATCCTTCAAGAACGTTCCGGGAGGACACGGAGTAGGAAATTCACTGCTCTCTGGACAGTAGTGACCAGCTGGACACAGGATCTTTTCGTAGATGCCTGTCCCATTACAGTAGAAACTCTGCGGACAGGAGAGGCAGGAGGAGGCCCTCTCCGTGGGCTGGTACTGTCCGGCCGGGCAAGGTTCAGGCTTGTACGCTCCCGCCTCTGTGTAGTGACCCCTCGGTGTGTCATACTGTGTGGGGACACCCGCTCCACCAGTGCAATAGTAGCCTAGCAAATTTCAATAAAATTTTAATTTTACTATTCCTTTCATGCACTCAGAAAGGAGAAAAATTCTCATTACCAACAAGGGTAATAGCAGGAACAGAATTTCATTTGAAATTAATTAAGAAAATCTTGTTTAGCTTTAGTTTAAGAAAATATCTCAATATGATGTCAAATTAGAGGACAAGCTATACGGACCAACAGAGGAACAGTGCTGAACAGTTTATACAATAGATGCCAGACATCTAGTATGATGCAATGGAGAAGAAGAACAGTTGTCATATCTGAGTCTAATTTCTAAGAATACTAAAGTCATTGAGGAATCTACAAACCGATTAGTTTTTTCGCAAGAGATATACACAACACTTCAGATACTTATAAAATGCCTAGAAAAACGCAGCTCAGGTTCAACACTATAAGGTAAACAAACAACTACTGGTCAAAAAACTATTTTGGCAAGAAGAAAACGTTCTCCCTCATCAGCTCTAAAGATGATGAACACATGGGGGCTTTTGGGTTCTTTTCATTGTTCAGTAATGCATTTTTTCAATTGCAGGAAGGGGTGGAGATGGTTGAGCTTTACCTGGGGAGCACTGCTCTGAGGCCTGGGTGCTACTGCTGCCAGCACAGAAGAAGCCTGGGTCACAGGGGATGCAATCAGTCTCGTCTTTGGCACCATCTGATTTACTGTACTTGCCCACTGGACAAGGGGTGGCAGTTGCTGACCCTTCTGGACAGTAGCTGGAGACGTAAGAAAAATTGTTTTTATGATGCAGTTGTTTGATTCAGAAAATATTGTTATAAAAAAAGTGGTTCGCATTATAATCAAAATGAAATAACTAACCAAACATAACACATCCACATGTGCACTTTGTTTGATCGTTCTGTGAACTTCTGTCTCAAGGCAAGTAAAAAGAAAATGTACAGAAAGTGTGACAACCTTTATCCTTTTGTGCACAGAACAAGTGCTTCAGAGTGCGCTGGTGAACATCTAGTGGTTGAACCAAGTGAGCACAGGAGCACAAGTCCCAAAGTCTCGGGCATAGGGGGGGTTCAAAGATCTATTGTATCGTTAAGTAATAAAATTTTTCCTTAAGCTTACTGATTTGGCTTTTCTATAGCTCAAAGTATGTATTTCTCCTCTGAAAACATTCACGCTGGAATGTACTTTATCAACTAATACTTTCCGAGATGAATCAAAAGTACCATTCTCCGCGGTTTAATCCTTATCATGACAGGTCACATAGCATAAGCATAGCTATAACAATAATAATAACAATAATAATAATGATGATAATGGTGATGGTAATAGTAATAATAATAATAATAATAATTAATAATAATAATAATAATAATAATAATAATAATAATAATAATAATAATAATAATAACAATAATAATAATAATAATAACAAAAATAATAATGAGAATTCATGTAGCACCAAATCTCTAGAAGGCTGTAAGTGCTGAACAATGCAGAATTATAAGTCAGTCCACTCACCCTCCAGCAGGACACAAGCCACCAGTGGGGCCATCTGGAGGTGCGGAGGTGTAAGCCTTTTCTCTGCAGTAGAAGCCTGGATCACACAGGCCTGCAGGCTCTGTTCGACCAATCCCATCGCAGTATTGACCCCCGGGGCAGGGTGTGCAGTCTGTCGAACGTCGGAGGCCAGTGGAGTTGCTGTAGGTGCCCAGTGGGCAGGGCTGAGGGGTGATGCTGCCGCTCACACAGAAGTACCCAGGGGGACAATCTATGGGCACAGCCAGACCCTCGACGTCACAGTAGTAGCCAGAGATACACTCAGTGCAGTCCTATGGACAAGGTCAGTTTTTACAGGTGTCAGTTTATCAAAAGCTGCAAGCAAGTGATTTCAATGCCACATTCTTTAAAATGAAAGTTAAAAAATATTATAAAACCATAATGTTTTCAGTAATCCGAACCTCTCATTTTCCACAACAATATGAGCCTTAAAAGTGAAGCTTTAACTCTTTCGGTACCATACATCGGTAAAGCACTCACTTTCAGTAGGCCTACACCAATTCTGACATTAAGTTGTTTCCAGACACAAATTTGAAGACAAATCCCCCATATAATAAAATGAATATATTTCTGTTTGCCAGACCTCATATCAGTAACTTACTTGGAAGGACTCCCTGGCAGAGCTGTTTCTGTAGAAGCCGATGGGACAAGGGAAGGAAGTGGAGGCACCAGTGCCAAGTGGACAGTAGTGACCACCAGGGCAGTCGCCAGCCGGGGCTGAGAGACCTTCTGAGTCACAGTACATGCCTGGAGTACACTGGACACAGTCATCCACAGTCTTCCGGCCTGAGTCAGACGAGAGGGGAGAGAGCACAACATGTAAGTTTAGCTCATCATTTCCGGAGGCGGTTTTCTCACTATGTTAGAACAGCCCTTTTTTGGTACAAATCCTGAAAGTGACATATACGTCACTAAACTGGTCATTAGACACAAACAAATGAACCTAGTTTAAAAGTTCTTCATTCAATGAAAGTAAGAAAGAACCATTATTGACAAATGCTGATAATTAATTAATGTCATCATCGAACAGGAATTTGACCGAGCCACTAACAATAGCACAGCCATTTCAATCACAAACCGCTTGGAGTGGATTGCCACTGAAGGAGTTAATTCTTTTGCTACATCTAAAATAATTACATATTTTCATAATGCTAATCAAATCAAAGAAAAGGCAATTCTAAGTAAAACTAAAGAGCACTTCTTAGTGGCACAAAAAAAGAGATAGAAAATGACTGCAAAAAAATAAAATCTCTGCACATTTATTTCCATGAATTTTCACAATTACAATCTTTCAAATTTTAGTTTCTTCAAACCCACCTGTATCTGGGTTGTAAGTTCCAATTGGACATTTTACAGGGTAAGGTGAAATGTTTCCGGCTGGACAGTAATAACCAATGCGACACTCATCCGAGATGAGATCGGGTTGTCTTGTCATTCCAGGAGGGCACTCAACACCCGCTGGGCAGATGCGGTAAGTGTTCATGAAGGTCAAAGACGTGGTATTTTGGTCGCAATAATGACCGGCCTCACATGTTGTGCAGGAAGCGGCACCTAAAACAGAGATGTGAATTTTGTTGAATAGAACCAAAGCAAAGAACACCATTGCACAAAATATAGTGAAACAGGAAACATAAAGTAGATCAAATCCATGTATATAATCAGTTTTTGCTTGTTGCGATTGCAGATCACAGTAGCTTACTGCTTTTTTGACAATACTATCCTTGCGCACCTCCTCCTCCCTTTCAAAGTATGTACAAGGGTAGGCCTATTATTTTTTTATGTGTATTTGTTAAAATGAAATGTGATGATCTGACAACTGGTACAGAGGGTATGGTAAGGACAAAGTATTTCTTTGAATACAATACCATTATTTAAACATTGGGGGGGGGGGGGGAGGGGGGGGGGCGCTCTTTCAATCCAAGGTACATTTTTAAAACTTCAAAGCTCCATGAATGCACCTGTATCAGAGTAGTTTCCTTTGTCACAAATGATGGGGTCCACGTTGCCTGTTCCTGGGCAGTAGTAGCCTGCTGTGCAGTTCAAACAAATATTGACATCTTCACCCTTGATTTCACTATTGAAAGTACCCCTGTAAGATAAAACGAATAAGACAAGATAGAAGAAAGACTAGAAGAAATGGGAACAAAAAACAAACGACATAAACCCACATTAACAATTTCAAAACTTCATTTTCAGAAAGGAGTGCTAAAATTATTTATTATTTCTTCGACAAAAAGTGTTACTTTATAAAAGATACACAAGGATTGTTTCAATATCTAGTACACACTGTAAATAGTCCACTCTGTAACAAAAGTAGCACTGAAAGCAAGTGCAGACTGACACAGCATGAACTACGAAAAACTGCAGCAGTGAGAACAAATTCTTACACATTTCTCAATATTATCACACATCATTTATTAATCACAACAACAACAACAACAACAAATCCTTACGCTAGGCAAGGAGTTGGAGCAGTGGATGCCTGTGGACAGTAGTGTCCCTTGGTACAGTCTTCACACTGTTCCCATCGAATGTTGCCAGTATTCCCGCTGAAGGAGCCAGCATGGCAAGGGTTTTCATTACCAGTTTTTGTACCTAATCAAAATAAATAAACCAAAGATGAACAAAGTTTTCTTCTTTCCTAAATCATGAAAAAGTACATTATCTAGACTTGCACTTTATCTGAAAATAATAGGAATTATGCTTGTTACAACGCACAATGACAAGAAACAAAAATTTTAAGAATACTGAGAGATAACCTAATCCCAGTCATATTTATTTATCCATTTTTTATTTGTAAATGGATCCAGACTTACTCTCAAAAGCTTATAAATGAAAAGTATACAGAAGTGCCAAGTGGCTATGAAAAAAAATCCTCAACTTCTGGGACTCCTTGAAACGCATATGACAGGACTAAAAATTGCTGAATCCCATTGTCTCATACATCAAACGGAAGTTGTGCAAACCAATTTGTTAGACACAGTACCTGCAACATTGTCCCTTTCCTCCTCCCCTACTCAATGATAGAACAGACTTTCTATCCGCCACCCAAACTCATAACCACCTAAGCCACAAGGAAAATCAATTCAAATCGACTACTCAGTGTAAGACTCCATTTTATGTCACTTTTCAAAATGGCAAACAGCAGAGTTTTACATCCCCCCGGGGCAGTGTCACTGACTGTAGTGTCTTTAGGCCATTCCCGAAAGGGGGCCATTTCTCGTTCAAGCACAGTGGAATTGTAAATGGGCTGATTCATGTCACGCTCATAACTGTGCCTGATCTAAAACAGGGAGCTGCTGCTTTTTCTTTCCTAATCCTTACTATTGTCATTTTCCTCTACTTCTTTTGTATGTTTGTCACACTCTTGTGACCTGCTATTTCCGGGGTGCCTTGATAGTTGAAGCAGACCTTGTGCTGTTGAAGCTAGAGAGGTGAGCAGAGTAAGTCTGATTCCCTGTAAAGACTTCTCTGTTGACACCCACCCCTTGGCGCTCATATGACCTTATGCAGTTGCGAGCGCCGTAAAACCCTCTACTATAACATAAAATAGTCTTAGACTAAGCTGTCAAAAATGCCAAAGGCGGAGCAGTTTGTAGCAATCTTATCTCATACCTGGGGGACACCAGTGGCCTGCAAAGCAGAGAGCGGTTGGAGCGGAGGACCCTGCCACACAGTAGTAGCCCTTTGTGCAAGTGTAGCAGTCTTCAGAGCGGTACAGATTGGTCAGGTTGGTGAAGCTCCCAGCAGGACATGGGTACTGGTTATCGTACTCTGTGCCCAGCGGGCAGTAGTGACCAGTTGCGCATGCTTTGGGAGGGTGATTCACACCTCCAGTTGGACTTAAACAGGCAATCTGTTTGGTTGAGACAACACAAAAAAACAACCTTAAGAGTAGTGACATAATAGCTTAAAAGAAAGCTCATTTGTTTTGCAATGACATCAGAAAGCATTTAAAATCAGCCTTATTTTCTCTGTTTCCTGTTGTTCTATATCCGAAACAATAGGTGATATTCCTAACTAGACACCACGGTTGTCACAACAAAATGCTCCACTCCCTTCGGCTCTGCTTTACAAAGTGAGTAAAAAATATTGGATTTGCTTTTGGCAGTAACCAAACACACACACACAAAAACACACACACACAAACACACACACACAACACACACACACACACAAACACACACAAACAAAGGCACACACTCACACTCTCATTATGACTCATTGAAATAACTCGCTTCAATGAAAAATATACCTAACTGTCTTGAATAGATGTTGAGATATTTGCAATTGAAGAAGGTGGGGGTCGCCTGGTTTCAGAAGTAAAAGTAGTCAGAAAATGGCTACCAAAGTTTTTTTTTACTCCCATATCTTGATAGTCCTGGGAAACTTGAAAATTTACATTTTTGTTTCTTGAATCAACTTTTTTCAGTAAAATCCACAAAGAAATTTGTTTTTAAAAGGACACAAAAGGTGTAGAGCCAAAAATAAAAAAATTGGATAAAGAATTGCTAAATCAGCTGGAAAATGCCGATATCTTCGATATCATTATTTTTACAGGCACCGAATTTCCCTATGATGCCTCACAAACACCTAGAGCTGAAAAGTTCACCTTTTCTGGGCAGGTAGTACACTGGGCAGGTGACGTCAGATTGTTGAAGTTTGTGTACGTCCCAGCAGGGCATGGCTCAGAGTCCGGAAGAGAGTTCCCACCGCTGCAGTAGTGACCTGGGTCACATCGTACATTGGGAGCAGTCAGTGCGTTTTCAGTGCACGCCCAGCCAGCCGTACACGCTTCACAACTTGCTGCTGCAGACCCAGAGGTGTGTTCATTGAAAGTGCCAGGGGGACAAGGTTCTGGGGAATCTGTGCCAGACAGACAATAGTAGCCAGCAGGGCAGATCTGAAAATGAAATTTAACCATTATCAAAAGGAAAATTCTCTGTACCTGAAGAATACATTCAGTACAGTATGATAGACTCCTTTTTGTATTTCAGTGAATCTTCTATTCGAATTGCGACCGAGATTTATATTAATCATCTCTCTGCAAAGATGCATTTATAATTCATGTTAGCTATACTCACCAAAAAAATAATCAAGAGAGCAAATGCTCACATCACTTTTGATATTTTAGTTTGAGGCCTGAGCCAAAGTGCAGCCACCAAAATGGAAGCTTGAGAAGATAAGAAAACATCCCCCAAGAAATCAATAAGCACCTGAGAAAGGTATACTGAGACCTTCAAAAACAAAAAACTATTACTACAGCTGAAACCACTGACAAGGTTAAAATAAACAACCTAATCAAACAGACACAATACACATTCTACAGTATAAATTGGTGTAACCCTAGTGAAAAATTCACCTTGCAAAACTCCACCCCTGTGGAACCTGTTTCCTCTGTGTACAGTCCAGCATTACAGTTGATAGGTGAACCAGTGGAGGCAGGACAGTAGCTACCCCGTGGACACACATTTGAGTCGTAGTACGGATCGCTGGTACCTTGAGGACAGTAACGCCCCCTGGGACATGCTAGGCACTCGGAGGAATCGACAGCTCCGAGGTAGTTGTAAAACGTTCCTATAAAAGATTATAAAAGATGTATGCATCATACATCTATAGGGAAAATGGAAGGGGATTTTTACTACATATGGCACGAAATGAACAATTATGATACACAGTAAAATCAAAGGCAATAAAAATATATTTATTAAAGAAGAAGAGAAAATGAAATATTAATAATATAAAAAGCAAAAAATGTATATTTATTTAAAGGAACTTGACAAACATATTTCCAAATTTCAAAAGTAGGCCTACTGCATAAATGATTGATTGCTTACAAGAAAAACACAAAATGTTTGTTAAACTAAACCTCTGTAAGCTTCTCCATTTTGCTCAGCTCTTGAAAGGTGTCACCCGCACATCCACATAGAGGAAACACAATTTGAATGCCATTTCACACAAACTGTAGTGTGGGGGAAACTTTTTGAAAGAACAAACTGATTCTTACATGTCATGCCCTTAGAATGACAGGGTTCTAACTCCATGTTTTGCTCAAACTGAGTTACACACTATACATTACTGACAAAGATGCCCTGCTCACTGTGTCAAAGGCTCGGGACAATCTGACCTGTACTTCTTCAGTCTGACACTTAACAAATACAGAGAAAAAAAAGATTCTAACTATCACAGTATGAATCTTTGAAACCCATTTTCTCAAAAGTATACATCATGGAGTTAGAACCTTGTCATTCTAAGGGTGAAATATATGAAACACAAAACATAGGAACATGTGTCTGTAGCATAGCTGTTAGGCACTTCACTGTCACATGCAGGAGACCTGAGTTCAGTTACCAAGAGGTTTCTAAAGTTTTATTGAGTATCATGGTCTTTCTGCTAGGATGTATCCCTCTCAGCCCGGGTTGGCCCTGACAAGCAGTGTCGGAAGCCCGCCTCCTAAATGATCCAAACTGCGTTGATGGGGACCTAAAACATCTTCATTTTAATTAAAAAAGGAAAGAAAATGGTCTGGCTTTAAAGCAATAAAATGACCTGTTAGATTAAAATAAAGACTCACCACCAGGACATGGGTTGTCTTTGTAATCTGGAGTCGAAGCCGGACAGTAATGGCCTCTCGGACAAAGCAGATTAGACCTCGGGATTCCAGCCGTCCCCTCTAGACAATAGTAACCTTGAGGGCACTCTTTGCAGTCAGAATCAGCGGTCAGCCCAAGGTCGTGTCCATACTTGCCAGCAGGACAGGGAGTGGCAGATGTAGCACCAGACAAGCAGTAGGAGCCAAGGGGACAGATGTCGGAGGGTGGGGCAGCTTGGGTGCTGCCTTCTGTGCACACAAAACCTGCATCACAGTCAGTGCAAGAAGTGGCAAGCCCAGTGCTGTATTTGCCAACTGCACAGATCACGGGCTCTGATGCCTGCAAAGAGGGCAGAATAGAATGGATAGAATGCGTCCCTGAAGACCCCAGTTCTTGAATCAAGTAATCAAAGACGGCAGAAATAAAATGGAATATAATCTTAGTTCATGAGATAGATTAGTCAGTCGGGTTGGTGGGGGGGTTGGAATTATCAAATTCTCTCCTTAAAGTAAGATTTTCTTCTGTCTAAAGTTTAGTCATGTTTTTGTTTGACGGTTATAAAATGTTTTGCTCAGAAATTTTATTACTGCTGCAACTTTTTCAAGATTTGTAATGATTACTCTGCCTTGCGGTTTTCATCCTAGAAGTAAAGAGTTACTAATCAAAGCTGAATTATCCTTACTAAAACTAAACTAAACTAAACTAAAAGCTGAGTTAAATACTTTTACAGAATTCATGAAAATTGTGGACAGAAACAGATGACATTACAAGTGACAAGAAAAAATAGACAAATAAATAAAAAAAAGTACAGTCAAAACTGTCTAAGACAGCCACCCGTTGTTGAGGAGAAAAGTGGCCATCTTACACAGGCCCATTATAGAGTAAAGAATATACAAGAGAGGAAATGGAAAGTGGATGTTTGAACAGGTGGACTAATACAGGTGGCCATTAGAGCAGGTTCAACAACACATCATTATCTCACACTTACAATGTGGATAGGTGGTGGGTGCTCTGGTGGGGTTTGCTCCTTCTTTCCTATCAAACATCTATCGTCCTTATCTCTCCTCCTTCTTTTATGCGTTTGTTACTCTCTTGTAACACCTCTAATTTTTGGCACGTATATGGCCTAATTGTGTTGCACTGACTGATTGCTTTCAAGAAAAATCCAAAATGTTTTTTAATCTAACCCAATATAAGCTTTTACATTTTGCTCAACTCTTGAAAGGTGTCACCCCCACATCCACATATCATCATCATCAAGTGCTAGATCTGCGGCAGACATCGGCGATCATGGTTCTCCGGTCATTTCTTTGCTCGAATGCTCTTAGAAAAGGTAAGCTACCCTGATCTTTCCCCGTTATCCATCTGATTAGGTTCTCCTAGTAGGTTGCTCTGGGCCTGCCCCTGCCTCCTTTGCCTTCCATTTTGCCAGTGAAAGCTAGATGTTCAACATATATGCTTACTGAAAACAAAACAGAACACTCACAACATTAGGACACTCATAACCAGCAGGACAAGCTGTGCAAGAAGCCTGAGCTCCCAGACTGTAGTAGCCGCCAGTACAAGCCGTGCCTGCAGCGTTGGTGTTGGGACATTCTTCACCAGCAGGGCACTCCGTGCAAGTTGTGGCACCTGTCTGAAGAGATAAATGAATTGGATTGGAAGGAATGCATAAGAAATTATTTTTATGTAATGTTCTCTATTTACAAATCTGGCAATGGCCAGCATTGTTTCATATTACCTATCGAAAGTCCATCGCAGGGTCAGATGCCTGACAGGCACATCTGTTGAAGAGGTATTGAGTTGTGTTGGGTAATAGTTCAGAGGAGTTGGCACAATAACAGCCACATTTTGTAAGGAAACTAATAAGAATATGACAATTTGAAGTAGCACAGGAACATACCAAGGTTCCCACCAACTGCTAACCTTCTGAAGAGGTATGCAATGGACCATGACCACCAAATTCTACTCTAACTTCATCAAGACTGAAAATTATAAGGCTGCCAATACATTTGATTTGAAAACAAACAGGACACAACACATTGTATTTGAGTACATTGTATCATAAAGAGCTTAATATAGAAAAAAAACTGTTCTCCTAAACAGGTGACTGTTGAATTATAAAATCACTATACTAAACTAAAATAATTATGCCCAACTATGTTGTCAAAAACTTCTCTTTCTAAAAAAGCTTTGCTAAAAGAATAAGTGAGCTCACTAGTGCATAGTAGCCAGTAGGACACTGCAGCTTCAAGTCATCATAGATAGAGGGACAGGAGTATCCGTCAGGACACTGTACACAGGCCGCTCGTCCACCTTCGCTGTAGTAGCCCGTGCTGCACTGGGTTTGTGTGGCCACAGTGGTGGACGGGCACTCATACCCTGCCGGACAGATCGTGCACTCCTGCTGACCACCCACTGAATACGTTCCTGCAGCACATGTGGTCTGAGTGGCCGAGGTTGTCTCTGGACATGCTTTGCCAGCAGGACAAATTGTGCAGCTTGTGGCAGAGCCTGCAGGAAAAAAAAAGTTTGAAATACAGAGGCCAATTTATACAAATATGTGAGAGGTTTAGCTTGCATTTCAGAATAAGAATAAGAATAAGAATAAGAATAGGCCTAATAATAATAATAATAATAATAATAATGATAATAATAATAATAATGATAATAATGACAATAACAATAATAATTGTTACAATAACTACATTTATATAGAGTATTTCCATGCTCAACAAAATGATCTATGCACTTTACAACTATTATTACCCCAGAAGACCCTAGAACATGACTCAGAAACATTTTCAGTTTCCCGGGAAGCATACACAATGCAAGCTGCGGATTGATGTGCTAAAACACTAACAGAGTTAATACAATATACATGATAACAGTGTCTCCAAATTCATCAAACCAGTATAGTAAAAAATAACATGGGTAGGTACTTTCAATTTGTCATTTTGAAGCTGCTTTTATTTTATGTTAAAATACCGACTCGTATTTTTAAAAAATTTTTTAAGGTCTCTTTAGAAACTACAAAATCTATGTGAAACCTAAATAAATAAAAGACAAGATAATCTGACCAGTCGAGTAGTATCCCGGTAAGCAGACTGCGTTCTGGGAGCCATCTTTGTTAGGACATTCGTAGCCAGCTGGACAAGGTGTGCATGAACTACTCCTGGACTCTGAATACTCTCCTGTGCTACAGGGTGTTTCTACGCTGCTGGTGGGGTTTGTGCAGTAAAAGCCCGGGGAGCAGTCTGTGCAAGTGTCTTGACTGCCCACAGAGTAAGAACCTGAGAGAGAAAGATACATTTTCCTTATACATGCAGAGTAGCTTAACCCTTTATCTCCAGCAATCCGCTCCCAGTGGCTTACGGATGGAACCACTGTGCCGGTGAGCTGCTGGCAGCAGCTCGAGCAAATTCCTTTACAATGACTTCGACATCAGATGATATTTCGGCAATTGCCAAAAACAGGTCTTTTTTCCCCAAGAGTTCTTTCATTAGATGAAGAACTATCAAAATAGGTTCATTTGCTTTCATTTAATGACCAGTTGGGTGACATATTTGTCAGTTTTAGATTTCGTACCAAAAAAGGCTTCGAGAGTTTACTCCCTCTGGAGATAAAGAGTTAACAACTCCTTATACGGAACTATTGGAGAGTTACAAGAGACTGGAGCACTACATGGCATTGGGCCATATGGCAAAAGTCCACCAGTATCAACAATAATGTAGATTTAAGAAAAAAATTTCATCAGCTTTTCAAATATTTTTAATAACCAACTGAAGTGTACTGAAGGACATCATTCTGAATATTCAATTCCTTGTAAAGTGATAAAGAAAACAAGAACCTTTTAAAGATTTTCTCAGGTGTTGAATTGTGCACATCAACTTGTTCTTATAAAGAACACCTTCTTTTAGATTTCCTAAGCGCTCTCTTTTTTAGTTTAGTTTGGGGTTTTACGGCGCTCGCAACTGCATAAGGTCATATGAGCGCGCGAAACACAAGTTAGTTTTATTCGCAGTTCACTGTACAGCTGGGTACGGGTCATTTGATTTTAAAACGTTGAAATATTTGAAATTCAGTATAAATATATATCTTCAATTTAAAACAACTTTCCTAAATAACATTAAAATTTTAAATACTTCAATTTCGCTCTACAATTTCCCATAAAGGCCAATGGCCTTCATAAAATCCAAAATTCTGTTGGGATTAATGACGGAAAAAATGTCTTGCAATTTTTTGCATTTTCGAAGTATTTCCTTCGGTACTCTCTGAAGTCTAGACATTCTGTTAAAATGTGTCTAATGGTAAAATCTGTGTCGCATCCGACACAGAATTGCTTCTCTTCTCCCTGAAGGAGGTATTTGTGTGTTAGAGCCGTGTGCCCGATGCGTAATCGAGTAAAAATAACTTCGTCTCTTCTGGAGAGGCCCATGCGCTCTCTCCATTGCCAAGTGTCCCATAAAAATGTGGAAAAAGCTATACTTATAATAGAGAAAAAAGGGAACAAGCAGTAAAGACAGGGAACGTTTTATGAGTCATAATTTTTTTAAATTTCTTTTTGATACAACGGAAGTCATATCAGGTTAAAAAGTAATAAACATAAAGTAAAATCTCGGTAGGGCCTATAACGTACACGTATTAACATCTGTCCCCGCGGTTTTATGCAAAAAAAATTATGAAATTATGCAAGCCCGAAAATGTGAAATTTTGTGATTAAGTTATATTTGTAATTAAGAAAAATAAAGGACAATAATAAGAAATTATGCAAAAAATGATCAAATTTTGCTAAATTATGCGGGGTGCATTAAACCCCGGGGACAGAAACATCTATTATCGGCTGTAACGTTCACTTTCTGAAGCCCCAAGTGCTATTTAGTATTTTTACTCTTTTTGGCTAATAATGTACCTCAGCTAAGATATTCAAACTATTGAGTCTAAAGGGTGTTTGTTATGCGGAGGTTTTACTGTACATTTCAAATATCACATTGTCACTGTCTCTCCACAGCCACAAGTGCCCAAATCATTTTTCAAAGACAGCGCCCAAATTAGAGACATGGCTTGAGCACTCATTATTTTTCAACTAAAATCTTGGAAGGAAATGATTTAACAGAATAAATCTATATTGTAAGATACCCCTCGATATCCTTATTTCAATAAAGACTTTAACTGGAAGCCCTCAGAAACTGATTTGGGCAATTGTGGAATGTCGCTCTGTTCATCTAGTTTAAAGAGCAAGCCTCTCTCTGTTTACTACAAGAAATTTTTCATTTCAACATGTTCTTCTCTCACAAAATTTACGTACAGGGTGTGAAACAACTCTAAATACAGTTAAAACCGTCTAAGGCGGCCACCCATTGTCAAAGAGAAGAGTAGCCATATTAGACAGGTGGTCGTCTTACTCTGTGTCATTATAATGTAAAAAATATGCAAGGGAGGATATGGGAAGCGGGCATTTGTACAGGTGATTGATTGTCTTTTACAGGCTGCCTTTAGAGCAGGTTCGACAGTATATTTTGCTATGAATTCTGCACTCACCAGCAGGGCATGCATACTTGTCAGCAGCTGTGGCGATCGATGGGCAGGCATAGCCAGCATCACAAGCTGTGCAGCTGGTCTGGCTCCCCATAGAGTAAGTGCCGGCTGCACAAGCTGTGGGCTGAGCACTGGTGGTGGGACACTGGTAGCCCGCCGGACAGGCTGTGCAGCTCACTGACCGCTCCAAGCTGTAGGTGCCTGATCCACAGCTTGCTGGGCTTGAGCTGGGCGTGAAGATAAGGTGGAAGAAATGAAAATATGAGGCATCGTGGTGGAATGAGGCGCTCGTCAAAATAATAAAATCGAAGAAACAGCATTTTTTCCGCCAGTTTGGCAAATTCCATAGAATTTTTGTCTTTTGTCTCTGAAACATCATTTGTGTCCACATAAAAACATTATTTCCATGTGAATTTTACTGAAAAACGTTGAATAAAGGCATAAAATATGTAATTTTATTGTTTTCACGGACTCTTAAGCTATTGAAATTTTCAAACTTTGGTGGCCATTTTCTCACTAATCTTACCACTGAAACCAGTCGACCTCATCTCCTTCAAACGCAAATATCTCGACTTCTATTTAAGATGGATGGTTATTTTTTCAGTGAAAGCAAGGTAAATAAATAAGCTTTCAGATTATAACAACTCCACATGTACAAATATTGACGAGCATGATGCAACTGATTCCACCAATTCGTGACACAAATATAACCTCAGTAGAAGCAGGAGTAAGTTGGGAAGTTTTGAAAAGCATCTTGCACTCAATGGCAGATAATTAAGTTGGGTGTCAAGACAATGACAGAAAATGAGACATAAATCTTAAGACCATCAAAGCAAGTCGCGATGTTTACTATGATAAACAGTCATCAACTGAGGGCAATTGAGTACATGGACAAAGATATAAATCTAATCAAAGTACATAGACTGAGTGACAACATAGACAATATGGTTAATGAACAGAAGCTGAAAACAGGGAAAAGACAAAGGTGCCAGTCTTAAAGAAAACAGCAGTATAGCACATAAAACTCAGTTAAGAAAAAAACAACTGACTATAAATGCACAGGATACTTTCAAAAACACAATCAAACACCCCATCTTGAAAATTTGAGCAGGGAAAAAATCAAGAAAAGCCTCTAATGATTCTTTTTAAAAAAGGAAGAAAGATTAATCTTGTAATTAGGGGTGGGCACTAATCGCTACTGGCCTATATCGAGTACATTATCGACTAAGAGTGCCAGATATCGATAAGAACTCAATACTTACTAAGATTAACAAGGGGACCAAACAAAAGTTTCTCACTGTAATAATGTCAATCACTCTAGACAATAAAAGGCCATGAAATGCAGTAGCAGGTCTCCATGCGTTAGCCTGAGCTGTGTCTATTGCTGTTGTTTTTTAAATTAAACATTATTTTTATTTTGGTTTTGCTTTGTTTTGGGGGTTTTCTTTTTTTTTTTTTGGGGGGGGGGGAGGCTTTATTTCTTTAAAAATGTTATTCTGACTAGGCTGAACCACTGATAGTTGCCTTCTGAATTTTTGGGGATCAACTGTTTTCTCGAAATCTTGGAATCCTCCAACTTCCACCATGGAAATCGGTTGCATGTCTTTGTATATCTATCAAGGACAATAGTTTTTCGGTCAGCGGCATTTTCAGTGCTTTTCAGTAAAAAAAAAAAATATGATCATTCTAAAACTTGAGAACTGATTAGTATCGACTATAAGCGACAAAAATATCTAAGTACCTACTAAGGGGGTCGTTCTTAACAAGAACTGAGTACTGGTATCGATTAGTGTCCACCACTTCTTGTAATTACCTGGTAGATGGACATTCTGACCCAGCAGGACATGCGGTGCAGGTTGTGGCAGCGCCCAGTGAGTAGGTACCGGATGGACAGTCAATTGGGTTGATGTTCTGGAAGGGGCACATCTGACCAGACGGACACACAGAGCAGCTAGCATGTCCTGCCAGGCTGTAAGAGCCAGAGCTGCAGGCAGACAATACATCCAGGGCTGGGTCACATTCCATTCCAGCTGGACATTCTATGCAGTAAGAAGTACCCTGTTGAGGTTAAAAACAGAAAAAGCCTTTATGAATCTTGAAACACTGGAAGAGATGACAACTTTTGTGTACTGGAAAAGCATTATGAGAATGAAGGTGACAGGGGAGAAGAGTGAGCATCATGAGACAAAATGAGCCTTTACTCAAGTGACAAGGGTTCACAATCTGACAATGAGCATTTTTTACATGAAAGTTTATAAATAGGTAGACTGAACAGCAATGTTAACCCTAAGAAGTCAGCACGTCTTTTGACTAGACGCTGTATTTTTTTCTTCTCATTTTTCTTTTCGATCACAAATATTTGCTTGCCTTATCTACAACTGTATCTTCACATCACATCATTATTCTTTTCTGAACATTTTGGTGGGTAATACAAGCTTGCAGCTTGGAACCTTGTCTTTTTTATGATAAAAATGCTAACCTCTGCATATTTTCATCAAACTTACAGCAACAAAACATTTGATACCCTTACAACTTGCAAGTTAAAGGCACACACCTAAGTCTATGTCCACACTGCTCTTTGAATGGTTCAGAAATGTCTGTAAAAACAATGTAGAGTCAAACCTGCTCTGATAGCCACCTGTATAAGGCAATCACTTGTACAAACAGCCACTTCCCATTTCCTCCCTTGCACATTTTTTACATTATAATAACACTGTGTAAAATGTCCATTCAATTTGTCTAAGACAGCCTCTATTCTCCTCAACAATGGGTTTGACCGCATTTTATTTTTCTTTGCCCATTTGGCTATCATATCATCTCACTCTATCAATTTTTATCACAACAACATCCCACCAGTAACTCTGGTCACAACCACCGTATACATCTAAAAAAAACTAGTACAATTTTTACTTGGAGGAAGCAACTACTAATGGCAGCCTGCAAATCATGGAAGGCTTTATGACTTCAAGATGTACTAACCTCAGGACTGTAGTGTCCTGAATTACAGTTTACAGGAGAAACAGAAGCATCCAGACAAGATTGCCCAGTGGGACACGGAAGGCAAGCAGTGAGTCCGTCAGTCGAGTACGTTCCACTAGCACAGGCTTGAGGTGCAGCAGAGGCAGAGGCACAGTAGTAACCAGCTGGACATATTGTGCAGCTCACCGTCTGCGGCAAGATGAAGAAAAAGCAACATTGGTGTTATAAATAAGAGCCCTTTAAAAAAAAAAAAGTTAATTAGAAGTCAACACAACAAACTTACTGAACAAATTTTTTAAAAATAACGACATCATGCTAAACAAATACAAAGACTTATAAAACTAAAACAGAAGTCATCGGTCATTTTCAGCTTTTAATAAAAATGAGAGACTACGTATTCTGACATGCTCAAAATAGATTATGCTTACTAATGTAAAATGAGAAAATAACAAGCACTTGCTTTCCATTCATATTTTGAAACTAATTCAATCATGCCGACAAAAAGAAAACAAAGAAAAAAACAACCCGCTTCTGCACATTATCCTTAGCCAATGAATTTTGCACGTGAGAATGTATGTGGGCCTGTGTGTGTGTGTGTGTGTGTGTGTGTGTGTGTGTGTGTGTATGTGGGTGTGTGTATGTGGGTGAGTTTGTGTTTGTGGGATTACATGTGTGTGCATGCGTGTATCGTGTTGTTGTTGTTGTTGTTTTTAAATGGTCTCACAATGTCCTTTAATTTGATTTGTCAGTTCAGTCAAGTGATAATTCTGCACTGTACAGCACTTAAGAGCCTTCTAGGGATTACACGTGATATAAATTCTCAATACATTATCATTTATTATTATTACTTATTTTTTAATCTTTTTAAATTTTTGTTATTATATATTATTATTATTATTCAAATCACACCACTCACAGTGCCCAGCAGACTGTAGTAGCCAGAAGCACAGGCCTGGGGGCTTTGGGCCGGGTCAGCACAGGAAGAGCCAGCCGGACACAGAGAGCACTCCGAGGCCGCAGTAGAACTGTATGTACCTTAGGTCAGGGAAGGAAAACAATATCTATGAACTCTTTAAAGTCAGCACATCTACTGGCTACATGCTGCATTATTGGTTGTTGTATTTTTTCGTGTTTTCCTCATTAATAAGAAATATCTTAAAATCTTGCCTATACAAAAACTGGATATATACCAAATATGTTTTGGTTGGTTCTTTACAAATATTTGTGGGCAATACATCTTTTAGCTTGAAACCTTTCTTTTTAATGTTGAAAATGCTAATGCATACATATTTTAACTAAACTTGCCAGGACAAAGCAGGGAATAGACTTTCAACTTAGAGTTAAATTATTCATCAAGTCATTATCAAAATAAAAAGTCCCACATTCATTCCTTCAATTATGAGAAAAATAAAATAACTGGAAAGCATTTCTTTACCCCTGCACTATTTTTATTTCTCATTTTATTGTAGTTTTGTCCATTTTTCAGTTTAATGATCGTTCAGCCCTTTGAGTCCTTGCCACCCGTACACCAGTGGCGCGTAAAATTGTCTGTATGCCTAGCCACGGGTTCACTGGTGAGTGAGACCCTATCCTCAAACCAGCCCACCTGGGACAAAACATACATGGAAAACAGTGATTACTACACAGGACATTATGGGTAATTTTAAAGATCTTTCTGAATGAGATGCTGGTAATGACAAGGACTACCCTATGTGGGATATGAAAAGGGATTCTGACGATCTTATGAATGTTAGTAATAATATATCACTCTGGAGCTCGGGCAGGGGGCACGGTAGCCTCAGAAGGTCAGGGCTCAAAGTGTCTGTCCCCGTGGTTTTATGCAACCCGCATAATTTAACAAAATTTGATCATTTTTTGCATAATTTCTTTTTATTTTCCTTTATAATTCTTTGTTTAAATTAACAGAATGGCATAATTTCACATTTTTGGACTCAGTTTGCATAATTTCAGAATTTTTTTGCATAAAACGAGGGGACAGAAATGTTAGAGACATTGTAAGAAGGTGATACCTGATGCACAGCTGGAGCATGTGGTTTCCCCGGCAGCACTGTAGGTTCCGGCCGTGCAATCAACGGGCGTTGTGGCGCTGACACCGTCGAAACATTTCTGACCTGCTGGGCATGAAGAGCAAGAGCTGGCACCAGATGAGCTGTAAAATCCGTCGGGGCATCGCTGAAAGTACAGTTGCAATGGGGGGAAAAAACATTAATTTCTTAACTCTTTACCTCCACGGGGTGTTAACCCACTATGCTGAGGCCATCTTTTGGTGTGAAATCTAAAAGTGACATATACACGTCCCTAAATTGGTCTTTAAATCAAAGCAAGTGAACCTATTTTGATAGTTCTTCATCTAATGAATGAACCCACGCTTAAAGAGACCTGTTTTCTGTAATTGCCAAAAAAAAGTAATTTGACGTCGAAGTTGTCATAAAGGAATGTGCCCAAGTCCCTGTCAGCGGCTCGTCGGCACAGCGAATCTAACTGTGAGCCACTGAGAGCGGTTTGCCGAAGATAAGGAGTTAATTTAACTAGCTCCCTGAACCACTGAGAGTGCTGCTTGAAGTGTACAGTCTCAATTATACAAAGATAAGAGTTATTCTGTAGTTGAAAAAAAAAAAGACAAAGTCTGCTGAAAACATTACAAGTTTCAAGATTACCATCAGCATACTGAGACATCCCAGCTTAGCAAAAAGGGAAAAAAAAAAAAACTCTCATGTTCAGAGAGGACAACCGCTTGCACACTTGAACAAATGACAGCAGCAAACGAATTTGAGCAGTGCTATCCTACATCCCTTGAAAATCAGAGACTAAACAATATTATAAGCAGGGAAGCAGGCTAGTCCACTAACAGTATGGATAAAGAAGCAGACAAAGAACAAGGTATTAGCATGCCAAAATCTATAACCGCTACACAAAAATCAAAAACAGTTTATTTTGCATTCCATTCTTCTCACTTACTGTGCAAGTTCCTTCAGCTGCAGCACTGAAGAATCCAGCGGAACAGTCTACAGGGGCTGCACTCACATCCAAACAAGACTGACCAGCTGGACATGACAGACAGCTAGTCTGACCTAGAGAGTCCTGGTATGTCCCATTCACACAGATCTGTGGGCCGGACAACGGTGAAGGACAGGCATAGCCGGCCGGGCAGTCAACGCAACTGCTGCCATCACTATACTGGCCATTCTGAGAAGCAAACAAAAAAAAATTCTTATTAATGCAGAAAGAAAAAGAAAAATGAGTGCATAAAGAAAATGTAAGATGACAAAGATTTCTGCATTCATTAAATGACAGGGCGCATAATGAGGTTGAAATCCTAAAAATGTTACTTTCACTTCAATAACAAAAAGGCATGATAAATTTTTTTCTTCTCCTCAACATCTTGAATTGTCTTGCTACCAAACATACCTGAGTAAATAAAATAGGCATAGTACGTATTGCAACCTTCATACCCTTCAATTAAAAAATCCTTACGGACAAAACATCTTTTAATTTTCACCTACACATCCCATAATCTATTCATTTGCCTGCTCCAAACCATTAAATTCGAAATGCTAAAAATATTTCAGCAGTAAAAACATTTGAAAAGCAAAAATACAAATCTGTTATGATAAAACACTATTGACTCTCACAATCCCATGTGATCCTGATGCAAACTGAAGTTAATGACAAGACAGATAACATTGCATCAACTTTCTGTTAATCTTGTGAATATATAAACAAGTACAGCAGGCCATAATAAGCCGGAACTGTCTCAGCTCAAAACTTACAGCACATGTGGTGACCCCTGATCCTGAGCACACAGTTCCAGATGGGCAGGCAGTGCAAGCGGTGGCTCCCGCAGAGGAGTACTGAGGATTACAAAGGCAGAATTTAAGTCACAGGTGCTACTGAGTTGCTGGATTGTTTTGTTTTATTTTTTGTTCGAGTAAAAGTTTTATGACACTAGCAACACAAATAGATCACATAAAATCCCTTGGGTTGAGGTTTTACTAGGGAGTAAAATACAAAGTAGTAAAGGAGGAGAGATAGGGACGATAGATATTTGACAGGAAAAAAAGGAGTAAGCACCCGCCAACCACCCACATGAAGGATTTCCAAAAGTTACGGGGAAAAAAAAGGAAAAGAAATTGTTGGTATCCCAAAAACAAATGTTTCATGACACAGTGGAGTCAGGCATGTGTCAATTTTAGGGCATGTGGAGTTGTTGGTATGATCTTAAAGCTTGTTCATTTGTCTATCTTTCAATGAAAAAGCTACACATCTATCTTGAATGAAAGTTGAGATATTAGTGATTGAAAGAGTTTGGGGTCACCTGGTGTCAGAGGTAAAATTAGCAATGACAGCCAAAATTTGGTGACTTTCTAAGCTTGAGCGAACTTGGAAACAGCAAATTTATATTTCTTTGTGCCTGTGCTCAAAGTTTTTCAGTAAAATCCACACAGAAATGTGTTTTTAAACGGATATAATGGTAAAATAAAATAATCCTTAAAAATTGCCCAATGGGCCAAAAAATGTCAGTTTCTTCCATTTCATTCTTTTGACAAGCACCTGATTACACCACCATGGGGATTTTTTAGTCGCCTTTGCCATAGTTGAAAGCTTGAAAAGGAAAATTGAAACCTCATATGAGCTAACAATAAAAGAGAAGTACAAGCATAAACGTTAACAATCAAACTACAAACATCAATATATATCTATATATATAGTGATTGCAAATGAAAATAAACTTAAAGGCAACTGGTCCTTTTTCCAAGGATGGAGCACTTTTTAATCAGCTTTATGTACATGCAGCATGAGCTCACCTCCCCACTGCTACAGGACACGGGAGAAACAGAAGGATCGGGACATTTGGATCCTGCAGGGCAGATAGTGCATGTAACGCTTCCCTGACTGTCAGCATAGTAACCAGATGCACACTGTGAATAAACACAAATAATAAGAATAGGTGAGACACAAAAGGATTCCTTTTTCTTCTCCATTGCGTTCCCTTTGCTAAATCTCAGAGGTCATCGACTGATTCTTGTGTATGTGGCCATTTTTCCTACTTAGTAGGGCCTCTTGTCTTCCGGCAGCCACATTCCAATTTTGAAGATACTATAAATATTTGTTATACTGACTAAAGTATTTTTACTTTTGTTGGAATTAATTATGAATAAGATAAGACAAATAACAATATCATGAACAACGGACATTTTCTTATTGATGTGCCAACAAAGACCAATACATTTATAACAAAGTAATGTAATTTTCTATTTCTCTCTCTCTTTCAGTAAGTCAGTGTTTTAGCAGCCATGAAATGGCACATAGCACATCTAGATTCTATATATTTCCCAAGAAGTTGAGATTGTTTCAGAATGCTATCAGGTCTGTTGGCTTCATACAGATTGTAAAACTTGCTGTTGAGAGGAACTGTACACTATACAAATTCTATCTATTTATTATTCATTACTCTGAACACATTTAACAACAGAATAATAGGGCAACTCACGGATTTACAAGTCTCCATTCCTCTGCCATCCTGGTATTCCCCCTCAGGACAATCAACAGGGTTAGATGTTCTGCTAGCGCATTTTTGACCTGGGCACAGTAAAGTCAAACAAAATTCTCACATTGTCCAGGACAAAATTCTTCTCATGCCTGTGATAACTTCTCTGCACTGACATAATTTTTTTTCTTTTTTCTTTGTTAAAGCACAAAGTTGTTTGAGTTCATATGTTTCACGACGCAGTGGAATCAGGTGCTCGTCAATTTTTGGGCGCATGGAGTTATTTGTATCATTTTAAAGGTTATTCATTTGCCTTGCTTTCGAAGAAAAAAATATCCATTTATATCTTGAATAGAACTCAAGAGATTTGCGATAGAAGGAGGTGGGGTCACCTGGTTTCAGAAGTAAAATTAGTGAGAAATTGACTGCCAGAGTTTGGTAACTTCCATAGCTTGAGAGTCCTTGGAAACTGAAAATTTACATTTTTTGTGCCTTTAATCAACGTCCTCCATAAAATCCACACATAAAAGTGTTTTTGAATGGACATACAAGGTGTTGAGCCAAAAAACAAAAATTCGAAAAAAATGTCCAAACTGGCAGAAAAATGCCAATTTCTCGGATTTCATTATTTTGACGAGCACTTGATCTCACCACGATGCCCCACATATTCATAATGGGCACCTTCTCCAGATTTTGTCAGAATAAAAAAAGGAAACATTGTTATAAAAATATGTATAATTCAATACACCAAGAATAAGCATACTGAAATCATTTCTTTTCACATAAGTCACAATCTAAACAAATATAGAAAGTTCCTTTATCTTAGTTAAAATATGTTGCTTGTATACTGCTTCCAGAATTCAAGACATTTCAAGAAAAGTGTCACCCTTGTTGCCAGTCCAATGAAACAGAATACAATCTGTTGCCATTTTAACTGTATCCATCGACCTAAACCCTTGTTTTGACGTAGCCTAATCTTTAATTGTCCACAGCTACCATACCAAAAACGCCAGAGAGTCAATTTTGTTCTGCAACAGCCCCGTAAAATTATACATCCGTATGTCTGTGAAAATGGGTATAAATAATTGTGATCCAATATTATTCCCATTCATTACCTTGTGGGCACTCTGTGCAACTTGTCTGACCAGTGCCAGTCTGGTACCAGCCAGCAGCACAAGCAATGGGCTCGGTCATGCCATCACCCGGGCAGTAGTAGCCCTGTGGGCAGGTGGTGCAGCTGGTGCTGGTGTTGCTGCTGTAGCTACGGCTGGTACACAGGACGGGCGACAGTGATGCATCGGCACAACTGTAGCCTCCGGGACATGCCAGACAGGCTGTGGCACCTGCCTGAGAGTAGTAGCCACTAGCACAGGGAGAAGCTGGGGAGAAAGGTATAAAAACTCATATACAAAAGACCTTTAAAGCTGGCAAAACCTAACAAATTTACTATAAACTGTACATTATACATGAAAGCAAACATATTTAGAACGTTTTTGCTTAAGAAGAAACTTTCTTTTCATATATTTTTTTTTAAAATCTAAACAAAATTTTTTAAGTAAGGAATGAGTAAAATTATTTCAACAGGAAAGAGTCCTTCCTCTGTATTTCCATAAATTCTACATTCCGTACTTACAATAAATATTAGGGAAGACAAATAAAGCTTATTTCAAAATTTAAAAAGCAAACTGGGTGCTCTCTTTAATTATTTCTGCAGAAGCAAGAAACACTTCCTAATCAAAGACACGATTCAAGGCAAAGTATAGGCGAAAGATTAACAAGAAAGCCATACAAAAACTGTCTGAAAAACATAAAAAAGATATGGATAAAAGTAGGATGGAACCAGAAACAAATGTACATTGGACTGATGTTGTGCAATGGGTGAATTCGTCAGAGAATGAGATAGAGGTCAGCACATGCACATGGTACCTATGATCATCAATGCTGACACCCACACTGACCTGCAGTCTGGGTGGGGCATTCACTGCCTGCAGGACACGTCTGACACGAGCCAACACCTGATGATGTTTTGTAAGTGCCTGACCCGCAGGCAGTACAAGCAATCTGGGTGCCAGTGCTGGGAGGGAAAAATTATTACATTCTCATTATTTCTTCGAAGTAAATTCTTTTTAATACAAAAAGAAAAAGGAGTGAAATAAAATGCTCAGAGTATGACACTGCAAGATGCTATAGTGAATAGCCTTCTATTTAACTATGACTTAAGTTCCATTGCAGGTTAGACTTGAAAGAGTAAATATCAAACTTGCTCCAATGGCTATCTATTCTAAACAATCAACTGTTCAAATGACCACTTTGTTTTTTTCCCCCATCCACTTTTTAAACATTATAATGACACTGTCAAAGCCGACCGAGTAATCTTTTTAGCTGATGCAAGAATATAACTTTATTCTCGTTGTCCGGTTACAACAACTTAATTACAAGCAAAGTTACTACAGAAATATTTTGATCCAACAGAATTTAAAAATCTACCAAAAAAAACACAGAAATGTTGCAATACCTTTACCAACAGGAAGCACATAACAGTACCTTTAATGAGACAAAGTTGTTGCCTCCAATACAGGTAAAAATACACCATTAAATTACGTTGTTTTAATAAGGGATGCCAACAAGAATAATAATAATTATGGAACATAATAAGTAATGTAAACGAAAGACATAAAAGTCGACAGCACAAATAGAAAATATAAAGATGGGCCAATCACACATTTCCAAGTTCCAGAAATTTCTAGAAAGTTAACAAACTCAATACGCTAATGTTACACCATACATACCTGTATTCTCCTGCATTACAGGCCACAGGAGCTATAGCTTTGTCCGTACATTGAAACCCCTGAGGGCAAGCATCACAGCTAGTTGCACCACCCGATGAACTGTAGTACCCATCTGCACATGTGGTGCACGTGACATCACCGGCTGCACTGTATTCTCCAGCCAAGCAGGAGATCGGGCTGGATGAAGTACTGGGACATCTTTGACCTGAGGGGCAGCAAAGTGTAAATAACACATTACGATTCTTGATCAACTGAACTGAAGAAATAAAACTAACTTTGTCTTGTTTAAAACAATACAAACAACAAACTGCAATAAGTAAGTCAGTAATTGAAAAAAAAATACATTCAATCTTCACTGCTTAGTTACTTTAGACATCTTCTTTCACCAGGAATCTGAGGACAATTAAAAACTTATTGTCTTGTTGCATGACGAAATTAATGCACACTGAGACAAAACTCTTTTACTTCTAGTGGCATTTTAGAAAAGTAAAAAGACAATAATAATAGACCAAGAGGAAAGACATAACATCTGACTGCTAATTACAAGTAGAACTATATTCCTGCTACACAGCAAGACATGAGGAAAAACCCCTTTCAGTCAGAGCAGAGAGTCTGCAAAAGACAAACCAAAGTGGCACTATAAAGAGAGGCAGACAAAAAAAAATCAGATCTATAGAAGTCACTCAAAATGATGATCAAATTCTAAAACACATTGTGTCAAAGACAATTATATTCAGATTTTATTCTGTCTGGCCACCATTTCTGACCATTATCCCATTCAAATATAAAAAGAATATATAGTAATCTAAAAAGCAATGTGACATGTTAAATGCTAAATCTCACCTGCAGGGCAAGTAGTACAGCTAGTCACGCCAGTGGTGTTACTATAGGTGGCACCAGTACAAGCATCCTGTGCTGTCATACCATCTACTGGACACTGATAGCCAGCATCACAGGAAAGACAGGCTGAAGACCCTGCTGGGGCATACGTGCCTGCCAGGCACTGAATGGGACTGCTTGTGCTGGGGCCTGGGCATTCAGACCTGTGACACGAAACAGAAACATATGAGTTGCCCTTGTCTTTTACTAACAATTTTATTAGATAAATTTGTTTTTAAAATCGCTCAGGCTTATCACTTGAAACATAGACAATGTCATTATAGGCCACAAACCACTTTCTTAAGAGGTTTCTTCTTCCCCATGTTCTTTTTCTAATCGCAGATATACAATTTTTAACTCATCATTTTCTCCTGTTTTAAAACTTTTTATAAACAAAGAGGACCAATGATGGAGAAGCGCATACTCACACAAATACCCATCCACTAAATCAAGTTTTCAAGTAAGAAATATTTGACCAACCATGCCTTTCTCAGAAGTCCATTATCAACCTTTTGCCACATTCAACACAAAGAAATTCAGCAATAAGAAAAGATCTTTGATGACACCAATAAGTATAATCAAAGGTTTGTTTCTTTTTATTTTTATTACTCTAGTGGTGGAGGAGAGTTGAGAAGAGCTGAGGACGGAAGATCTCAAATGAAATCTTGAGCTGCTTAAAAGGTGTTTGAACTAATCTTGAAATGATTAAATGTTCCAATTGATACGGAAATATAGCTATTCGGGGATAAATTTATAAATTTACAACTGCATTTTTAGCACAGTATTCTAAACTATTTTTCAGCAGTTTAAGTCAAACAATACAAGGGGTAGCACATGAGTGCACCTCCAGTTAAACAAGTACAACCCACCCAGCTGGGCACGTGTCACAGCTTGTAGCCCCGGCACTACTGTATTTGGTGGCTCCACAGACAGTCTGGGTGGTGGAGGTGCAAAAATGACCAGCTGAGCACTCAGTGCAGCTGCTCTGACCAGATGATGAGCTGTAGAAACCTGAAAGATGGAAGAAAAGCAGTTCATGAACCGGTAAACTTCAAAGTGATATATTATGGGCCTCCCCAAAGGAAATGGACCCTATGCTGTATAGAGTAGTAAAGAGAAAACGGATCATGTCTAAAATAGTTATAAAGTGTACTGTGGGGAAGAACAAGCAGGAAAAAGCAAAAGTGGAAATGTTGAAGAAGAACTAATAAGTAACAAGCATACATTGATCAGCACTGAACGTGTTATGATCGTCAAAATGCAACACCTGACATTTGGATTAAAGAATGGCACCTGAACAATATTTCACTTAGTCTGTGCAGAAGTAAATCAAAGACTCTCTAACAAAACAGGGACTTGGCATGCCAACCAGCAAATCACTGCCCACTTCTTGCCCCTTCTCCCACCCACTCCCTCCAGCCCCTTTTTCTAAAGAGTGAGTAGAACGAGAGAGTTCTTTCAGCTCTGGTTACCTGTAATGGCATTATCAACCCTAGTTATCAAACATTAACACTAATTACAGTTCATAGTTCTACACACCTGATGCGCATGAGGTACAGGTTATGGCCCTGGCTTCTGAGTACTGCCCTGCTGGGCATGCAGCAGCAGTGGTCGGGTCAGAACATTCACTCCCAGCTGGGCAGTCATCACAGGATGTCTTTCCAGTACTGGCCTGGTACTCTCCGTTTGGGCACTGTGTCGCGCTGGACATGCCACTGCTGGGGCACTTGTGTCCTGAAAAAGAATTTCAATTTCATTACATTAAGATGACCTCACTTGAAAAAGCATTTAATATTTCCTTTGAAAGAGGAGCATGGTGCATTCTTCTTCTTCTTCTTCTTCTTCTTCTTCTTCTTCTTCTTCTTCTTCTTCTTCTTCTTCTTCTTCTTCTTCTTCTTCTTCTTCTTCTTCTTCTTCACA